CAGGAGCAAATCTACATCAAGAGAGAGAGTCAAAATGCAAGCAAACAGCAAACTGGGAGAATATAGGCCCAATAAAATTGAATAAAAGACTTTAATCAGATTTTAAACATGCTTAAGCTAGAACAATAGCCATAAAATAATGAGAGGCAGTGAAACAGGAGCTGATAATTATGAATTAAGGTCAAGTAGATATGAAATACTTGAACTTTCAGGTAAAAAAAATTGTGGAAATAAAAATGTATAGGATAAACAGTATGTTGAACAGTTGAATAAGGAATTAATGAATCAAATGATAAATAAATACAATACAGCACAAAAATAGAGATGGAAAATATAAAAGAGAAATTGAGAGAAAGGAAATAGACTCTACCATATATATATATTTGAAGTTGCTGAAGGAGAAAATAGAAATAGCAAGCAAAGGCAATGCTTGAAGAGATAATGATGGAGAATTTTCTAGAATTGAAACCTGACATGAATCTTTGAAAAAAATTACTAAGAAATGCTTGAAGAGATACTGATGGAGAATTTTCTAGAACTGAAGGCTGACAGGAATCCTTGGTTGAAAAAAAATCACTAAGAAGAACAAATGAAACTGTAGAATTTTAAGGATAAAGAAAAAAAATCTTAAAAGCTATTATAGGAAAAATGAATTATTCTCGAAGAACAGTTATATTTTTGGCAATAGATCCTCATCAACAATAATAATTACAGAAAACAGCAGAGGGTAATATCCTCAAAATATCAGAAGATAATAACATGATACAGAATTCTGTACTCTGCTAGCATTCCAAAGAAGAAGACATACTTATATTTTCAGATGTAGATATTTTCAGATCTACAAAGAATAAAAGTTTACCACCTCAGACCCTTGCCAAAAGAACTACTAAAATATATGCACATCAGTAAGAAGAAAAAAGAACCCCGGAGGAAGGTGTGGGATACAAGAAGCCTTGGTAAGCACAGAAGCTGGTAAACTATAAATACAAATTTGTGAGTGTAAAACCTAAATTTTTATGCTTAAAAACAAAGTAATGCTAAAATCTAGACAGAAATAGTATGTAATTCAGCAGGATATGTTAGAAAGTTCAAAAACCATGTTAGAATTCTTGTGTTGTTCAGGAGAGAATAATCAGGTACTGAATAACTTTAAAGAATCTTTTTTTTTTCCTAAGAAAAATATATTATTAATCAGAACAAATACAGACCTGTTCAACTCATTTGTTAAAAGGGCAGAGAATTTTGAATTAGATTCAAAATCAAAATCTAGCGAGTTCTGTTTTCAGGGGAAAGAACTAAAGCAAAATAACAGGGAAAGATTGACAAAATAATGGAAAACGTTATGTAAGACAGTATTAATATCAAAATGGAATTTTAAGCCAAAATTATTCTTAGAGATAAATAAATGCTTCCCCCATTAGTATAGCAATCAGTCACTTATCAGTATCTAACATCTACCCTCCAATTAAAATAGAAAATTACAGTTACAAGAAAATTAGTTCTACATTTCTACTCATAGGATTTTTTTCCCACACTTCTCCATGAAACTGACAGATAAAACAATTGCTAAGAATAGAAAAATCAAGTTTGTTCTTAAAGAGAGCTATAATTTTGTTTCCAATAAATATGGAACATGTTATTTTCCAATGCATTGAATATACATAAAAATGATACATGATGGGCCACAAAAAAAGTTTTTAAAACAAACTTCTTCATCCTATGAACTACATTCTCTGATCTTTTGTAGTTTTAAAATTACAAATTGACAATAAAACTTTTTTAAAAAAATCCCGTACACTTAGAAAATGAGGAAAAATACCTTTACATGATTCATGAGTTTAAAAGGCAATCACAGTAAAAACTACAAACTAGTTGTTATCACCAAAACTACACATTAAAACTTGGGAGAGAGGATACAGCTAAAGTGGACCCTAGAAGGAAAATTGTGTGTGTGTATGTCTGTAATGAAAGGAAGTGAAACTACTCAAAGAACAACAGCACAAAGAAGGAAGGACATAAGGTTAAAAAAAGTTAATATTGAGTAGTAAACAAAAAAAGAGTTTAAAAAATAGGGGTAAACAGCAAAATAAAAGATGATTTTTTAAAAATTCTTAAATAGATAAAATAAGACCAGCTTTTTTCAAAGGGGCAAAAGGCACAGATCCATGGTATAAACTTAAACGGAGTTTTAACTTTAATATAGTAGAGAACTAAATTTATAGGGCAGTATAAACAATCAGTTTGAATACTTAGATGAAGTAAATTAACATTGATTTTTTCTATAAATTGTCAAAAATGATTCCAGGAAATTCCCTGGTGATCCAGTGGTTAGGACTCTGCACTTTCACTGCTGAGTTCCCAGGTTCAGTCCTTGGTTGATGAACTAGGATCGCACAAGCTGCATTGTGCAGCGCAAAAAAAGGAAGTTCTAGAATCACATACCTCAATAAAACAATAACTATTTTACAAATTAAGTCAATAGTTCAAAACCACTCATCTCCTAAAAGGGTAAGAGCATCCCAGAAGGATTTATCAGTGAGCTTTACCAAATGTTCAAAGAATAGATAATCCCTTAATTTTTCTAGTTACTCTTCAAAAAAGAGAAAAGTTAAACTGCACAATACCTAACTTTGTAGAGGAAGAAAAGTTAAACTGCACAATACCTAACTTTGTAGCCTTGAAAAGTAATTTTGTAGCCTTAAAAAGTAATTTTGTATATTTATGCAGGGAAAAAGCATGATTTTTTTTCTAAAATTTTATTGATACTGAACAAATATTGGCTGAAATAATAAGCCCAACATTCATAAGTGAATAGTAGTACTATTCATTAAGTAGCCAGCAGACCTTCTAACAACATGGGGGTTAGGGATGCCCACCTGTGTAGTGGAAAATTTGCATGTAACTTTACCCATGTTGTCCTGGGTTCTGCATCCCTGTGATCAACCAACCACAGATCATGTAGTGTACTACTTAGTTATCAACATATAAATGGACCCACACAGTTCAAGCCCCATGTTATTCAAGGGTCAACTTTACAAACAAATTTGATTCCTATCCTAAAAGAAGGACTTAGTGATCAGATATTTTGGGTCAAGTGATATATGTTGTGGAATATACATTTTTAATTTTAGGACAAGAAATGTAAATCCATTATAAAATTGCAGGATCGTCTTATCAGCTGTTTCCTCAAACATAATTATTCAAAACCAAAGGAATGAATGTATATTTATAGGAAGGAAAATAGGAAGCTTTTAACACCTTTTATTTCCAAAATTTTATTAGTATGTTGAATTTTGAAATTTCAAAATTGAGGTGAGGCTCTTGGGATTATACTCTTTGATTTCTTATTTTTAACAGCTATGGGAATATTTTAAATATACAGAATTAACAGTTAATTAAAAGTTTGTTCTAAACAGGGCTTTCAGAATCTTTTGTCTTTGTCACTATTCATGGGATCTAGTTGCATTGATGGGTGTCACTGCCAGGCTTAAGAGATAAGAAAGCCAAAAAAAAAAGGAAAAATGACACTAGTGTTGCCCACCCATGATCTAGAAATAATGTATCATCTGATGTAGATAATCAATTTCTTAATCTAATTTTAGCTACTACTTTTAGTTTATTGTTAACTTCTCTTTCTCTTATTTACCTAGTAGAAAATTTAAACTTCAACCTTCATTTCTATGAGAGGGAAGATTTGAGAGGTCAGTTATGCTTAGGTACCTTCTTGGTAAACAGTATTCAAGTACTTAATTGTTTTAGATATTAGGTATATAATGGTAAACAGAAATGGACATGATTGCTGTTCTTACGAAGCTTGCATTTTAGTGGTGGACATGTTACCCAAATAGTTACACAAACTAATATGTGTTTGGAACTTATGAAGGAGCAATTCATAGAACTCTTTATAAGTTGATAGTAGGAAAATTGATCTAGTCAAGAAGGTTCAGGATGATCTTCTTTGAGGAAATAACGCTTGAAACAAGGATGAAAAGGAACTAACAAAGCAGTGTTACCGGGAAGAGATAGCAGCTTAAGGAAAAGGGCCCTGAGACAGAGGGTAAATAGCAGTTGTTAAAGGAGCAATTTCTTTTCCAATGTTTAGCTGATAGAATTCCAGTGTATAGTGTATTGACATGACTTTCTGTGTCTTTCTGAGTACGCTCTTCATGATGTGTATTCTGTTTTGTTTGAACTTAATGGCCAGAATATTACATTTATCTACATTTGAATTTTAAGTTCAAAATCCATTCTAAAACCACATTATTTTGGCATTGTCTATAGTTATTCATTCTTCGTGTGTGTGTGTGTGTTAGTCGCTCAGTCATGTCCAACTCTTTGCAACACCATGGACTGCAGCCCTCCAGGCTCCTCTGTCCATGGGCCCTTAGAGTTAATAAAGAATGGTTGAAAGCTGTTTTATCATTCATTCTTCTTGCTGGTAAACTTCCTAGGAAGAACACTATCTTTCTACTATTGTAAGACTGCTTCTTTTGTCTTGACTGTTCAAGCATTTAATTTTACTCTAAAAAATTCTGCTCATTTGTGTTTTTCTTTTTCCTTTTCCCTTTACTCCTGAAATACCAGTTTTTCTTCAGACTGGTTTCTCACCTGTGATAGAACTCTTACTGGCTTCTGATATGTTGTGATCCTCATAACCACCTTGTAAAATTAAGGTTCCTTTTTCAGAGTTCAGATGAATAATTAGGGAAACTTAGTATTAGAAAAAAATGCAGTTATTTCTCTTTGGGGACCAAACTAAACATAAGTCTGATTTTTAATGGTCACTGTTTGGTGTGCAAAACTGAACTTGCTCTTAGAAAGTTACACCAACTAGTGTGGACTGAAATTAATCCTGTATTTTCGAGGAATTGAGGTAGGTAGCCTAAGTGATTGCATTGAGTAAGTATTAAATCTTCATTATTTCTTAGGTTGTTGCTACTAAGTGTTTAAGACAGGTAGTTAATGAATTGGCACTAACGGATTATTTTATGTTTCTTTAGGAACATGAATCTGAAGGTGGAAGAACACCTTTAATGAAAGCTGCAAGAGCTGGTCATTTGTGTACCGTGCAGTTTCTTATTAGCAAAGGTAAAGAAAGTACAAATGAGAATTTTCAAGAAGCTGCAACTTCTGTAAAAAGTTCCTAAACTGTTGCAATTCATGTTAAAACTACTTTACCTGCAGTCTGAGTATTGTATTCTAGTCTTTTATTGCTGTATATTCTTAGGAAGCAGAGTTCATAAGGTACTTTGCTGGAATCTTTATTAGTTTCAAGTTTGAGTTTTCATCAACCAAACAGTATATACTTACTCCCAAAAGTTGAAAAAGTCAAATGTGAAATGTCCAGCTATATATAGTAGATACAGTATTGTTCAGCACTTAGGGCAGTTCTGCTGGAAATAGGGAAGGATAGAGGGGGGAAAGTCTACTACCAATGTTTATGGTACAGTTAAGTCAGCCATATTAACTTAAAAATAATCTCATGTTGCTAATGTAAGGATGTTTATTGGTGTACCTTGCCTTTCCCAAATGTACTTCCCACCCCCCAAAATGTACTTTAATGTAAGTTAGGATTAGGTTCAGCTGGGTAGTTTTGAAAATTAAATAAATAATAGTTTTCCATAGGTTTATTTTTCTTTCATAAAATAAATCTGGTATTAAGGAAGAAGGAAGACCAAACATTGCTGTAGTCTTAACTATCTAATTGGATCCATTTGGGATTTTAAAATGTAGTTGAACTAAAAATAATGTCTTTTTTTCCTGGGGATCAAAATTAATTTACCAAAAAAAGAGGCTAAGAAAAGATTTTGCATTTAGATTTTTTTAGATTATATTGTACAGAGCTATTGAACAACTTACTAAATTGCCTTTCAATATATTCAGATGATCTTATGTCTTCTCTTCATATCCAGGTCTCTAACTCTTAAAATACACAATATGAAGAATTATATTTCTCTTAAATATTGTTTCAAAAGTTCTCTACCTTGAGACCTGGCTATACTGCCACATTTTAGAAATAGATCAAAAATGTCTTTAGAGTTACATACAATGGTATTATTTGGTGCTCGTATATATATTAAACTATATATATTTATTAATCTAGATTTTTCATCTTAGAAGTGGTATTGAATGAATGGACTGCAACAATGTAGATGAGTCTCACAAATATTATATTGAGTGAAAGAAGCCAGGCACAAAAAGAGTTCACTATATGATTCCATTCATATAGAGTTCAAAACCTAAAATCAGTTTGGAGGTCAGGATAGTACTTATCATTGGAGGGGTGGGTAGTGACTGAAAGAGTATGCAAAGTGGCGCTTCTTGAATGTGGATAATCTGCTTCTTGATTTGGGTGCTGGTTACACAAGTGTGTTCACTTTGAGAAATATTTCATACTATACACCTATAATTTTTGTACTTTTTTATGTTTATGTTGTACTAAAGAAATGTTTCAAAAACCATATTGTCTGAGCTGGCTTTGCTAAGATTGCTTTTTATTTTTCTTTGAAGGTGCTAATGTGAATAGGGCTACAGCCAATAATGATCATACAGTAGTGTCACTGGCATGTGCAGGGGGTCACCTGGCAGTGGTGGAGCTACTCTTGGCTCATGGGGCTGACCCTACTCATCGTCTCAAGGTATTCTACTTCAAAATAAGGAAATTATATATCATTATTAAAATATATTTCAGATATGTTAGTGCTTAATATTATTAATATTCATTACTGTTTAAATAAGTTTTGATTTTATATGAGCTAAGAAACTAAATGTGTTTAGTAATCATATTATTAAAAGAAATTGACAAATAATTAATTACAATATCAATTTTTCTCAGGATGGCTCAACAATGCTCATTGAAGCTGCAAAAGGTGGTCATACTAATGTTGTTTCTTATCTTTTGGATTATCCAAACAATGTTCTGTCAGTTCCTACCACAGATGTGTCTCAGCTTACCCCACCTTCTCAAGATCAATCTCAGGTAATATAAAATAGAACTTAAACTTATAAATATTCTTCAAATTGGAAATTTTTGTTTAAAATTAGTCTTATATAAAATGGGCTTATTTCTCTTTTAAAATTTGAATAAATCTTGTCCTAAATTCTTTTGAGCTTTTCTTGAAAAGTACATGGAAATTTTTAAATTGTTTTTACTTACTGAAAATAGTGTTTAGTTCTTAAAAAAAAAAAAAACAAAAACACACACTTGATACCATATAAGTATTCCAAATTGTCCTTTTATTCAGCTAGGTCTTTAGGGTTGTTAAACAAGAGAAAGCTCTTCCCTTAGTACCTCCCAAGAGTGTTAATTATCCTAGTTGTTTTTATTCAGTTGTTAAGTCGTGTCCAACTCTTTGCGACCCCATAAGCTGTAGCATGCCAGACTCCTCTGTCCTCCACTGTCTCCTGGAGTTTGCTCAAACTTATGTCCATTGAGTTGGTGATGCTATCTAACCATCTTATCCTGTGCCGCCCGCTTCTCCTTTTGCCTTCACTCTTTCCTAGCATCAGGATTTTTTCCAATGAGTCGGCTCTTCACATCAGGTGGCCAAAGTCTTTTTCGGTTTCAGCAGCAGTCCTTCCAAAGGATATTCAAGGTTGATTTCCTTTAAGATTGACTGGCTTGATCTCTTTGTAGTCCAAAGGACTCTTTAAGAGATATCCTGGAAATACCTTTTTAGAGATATCCTAGAGATAGCTACTCTTGTCAGTGAGGAAAGTGAGTGATATTTGCACCAAAAATTCTTTAATTTTTAAACCTACCTGAAAATACAGAGAGAATGTAGAGAGTATAATAAGTATACAAAGTTGAGTGACGTTTTAAGTTGTTTTCTACAATGGTATCCTGAGAACTGCTAAAATACACTAATTTGGGAAATATGTTGGATTTTTTTCTTTTGTCCTATAGAATTTGAACAAGGGTAAATTGATCAGTTGAATATGTTACTTTTACTCCTAGCTATAATTGAAACCAGCAAGACTTGCTCCTTAACAAGAGAGTGATATTAATTCCATTTAGCTTAAATCATGGACTATGTGTAAATTGCCTGAATTTGCCTTATCAGTATTGTCAGAAATTATTGCTTGGTAAACAATGCTGCTTCTCCTTCTTTTTCATCTTTCACTCTTCTTCTTTTAAAGAAACAAAAAAGTTAATTAAGTGGTATATGAAGAAAATCTTAAACAAAATCTCTGTTTCATTTATGGACGTTTGTTTTATTCTTTGGTCTGAGATCATTTTTTTCTGAGTTGATTTTTTAGGTTCCACGTGTGCCAATGCATACTCTCGCCATGGTTGTACCTCCTCAGGAACCTGACAGAACTTTACAGGAGAACTCTCCTGCCATTTTAGGAGTACAAAAAGGTTAGTTCTTGAATTATTTTCCTTAAAATGGGCATTTTTATCACCTAATGTGTGAATCCATAAAGATACTTTCATGGTACACAGTTACTGTATATCTAGAATTGAGGTAGGTAATTCTGACAAATGCTAATCATCTTATATACCATTTAAAATAGAAAAGACAGAAGTACTAGGAAAATGATTTATTAAAGTGGTAACATACTTCTAGGTGTAGTTTTCATCTGGCACTGCCAAAAATAAGCATATACCAAGTACTTCATTGTATTAAAGTAGCAAAAATGTTATCAGGCATTCATTTTTCATTTTACAATGCTTTAGCTAAATAATACTATAATATGAAGAAAGAAAATATGTGTTTGCTGTCAGTCAAGTCCTATTATCGTTGATGCAATTCAGTGAGTGTCAATTAAAGAATTATATTTAGTTTCTTTCATGAAATCCATTTCACTGAATGGATTACCATCTGTTAGTATGTGAACATAGACAAACAACTATTAAAAAGTATATGAGTAACAATCAAGTGGAATATTAAGGAGGACGATACACTGTTTAAAGGACTCAAGTTTATGAGCTCTGTTGTTTTTCTGCTATATTTTCATTTGTAGATATAAAATACCTACACTTGATAATCATGTATGGTTGTCATATCTGAGCTCTCTGAAATAAATAGGTAGTATGTAAAGTATTAAAAACTATTACAGATAAAACCAACTTATAAGCATATTTCATTCATTATATGACAAGTTTTAGATGTTTGAAATCATAGTCAAGTGTGTAAGTATGTTTTAGTATCTTTAATACAACTTTTTTAAAAAATATAGCTTTAAGTAAAGTTGATAAGGAGTGACTGTATAACACCAAACAGAAGCTTCTTTCAAATTAATGTCAGTTTTAGTAATTTAGAGTATTGAGTGCCTTTACCAAGGATTACTTCATTTCTAAACTGTTAATTTCAAAAATAAAAAACCTGTAGTCTCTCTGACTTAAGCTAATTCTAGCAGTTTTCCATTGGCTTCCAAGCTATTCTAACTTCAGAAAATGAAGACTGCTATTTTTAGTCTTAAGAAATAAAAAGCAAATTAAGCATGTACTTGTTAAGAATCTGAGGATCCTAACCAACTAATAGACTTTAGTAAAGTATTTCAACCTAAAAGCCTCAGTTTTTGTTGTTTTTTTTGTTTGACTATATCCTATAGAGGACTGTAGTAACTTTGACTAGGGAAATTCAGTACTAAGTAAGAAATAATTGAAAAAGTATTGACACAGAGCCACAGAATAACCAAGAAATGAGCTAGGAAGGACACAGTATGTACAGAAAGGAAGTAAGACATTTTTAATTTAGATCTACTATGTAAGTCAACTGAAATGTTTGGGACATGATTTTTAAGTTGATACTCAAGTGAGTAATCGTATTTTTGCTTACTGAAATATCTTCTTATACTTAGTATCTACTTATTTTCTTCACTTTGATGTTTTATTATTTACTGAATAGTATTAAACTGAACATACCTTTTACAGAATCTTTCATTTTACTAAATTATTAAGGAAGGAAAAAATTAACACTTGTATCTAGACAGTTGACACTTGCTGTTGCCAGATACCAAGCGGTATTGCCAACCCCAACATTTTTTTTGCAGGATGAAACTGTAATAATGCATTGTGTTTGAGTGCATCATAGAATATTATATGACTATAAATTAGGAAAAATAAATTGATGATGTAAAAGTACACCTGTGTGGATAGAAAAGGCTATCTTAAATTATTAAAGATATATTATTTTCTTCTTAATTTTCCTGCCTAAAATTTTTCACTTATGTCTCTGGAGAAGTTCCTTTGAGTGATGAATTTGCTGTTTGGTCCTTTTTGTTTTTTCTAAGTCCATAGATATCTGCATTGCATATGTAACTAGGGTTGGAGAGAGGATTCTTATTCTCTAGGACTCTTTTCCTCTTAGCAATTATCTTTTCAAGTTTATAACATTTTACTCCTATCTGAAGTTTTTATGCCTATTTGCATCCTTTTAAAATGCATTCATGCCCAGAAGTCTTACCCAGGTGTTTTTTTATATATTCTACTCAAACATTCTTCTTTCATGTGCACCATTCGTCCAGGCTCCATCCATTTTGACTATAGTCTCCTGGTTTAGGCAACTGATTTCACTTGTCCATTGTTAGTTCTCAAAGATTTGAGATCCTAGCTGACATTGATAAAGGCCTCATAAACACCTTTATTAAAAAAAAAAAATGAAGCTGGGTAAGAGTGATACACTGTTTCCTAGCATTGCTTTGCTTTGTTTTATCATCTATAGTTATGAGTACACTTGGGAGAGGATACATAAGTAATATCAAACCTTTGTCTTTCCGTATTTAATTTTTAAATAAATTTATTTGCTTATTTATTTATTTTTGGCAGCACTGGGTCTTCATTGCTGCACATGGGTTTCTTTAGTTGTGGTGAATGGGGGCTGCTCTCTAGTTGCAGTGTGCAGGCTTCTCATTGCAGTGGCTTCTCTTGTGATACACAAGGCTTAATTGCCCTGTGGCATTGGGATCTTAGTTCCCCAAATAGGAATCAACTCATGTTCCCTGCATTGACAGGCAAATTCTTAACCACTGGACCATCAGGGAACATTGCTTCCCAGGGACCACCACCACCCAAATTTAATTTTGTAAAGAAATTTGTTGACTGAAGCCACTTCTTGCATGTAATTTATTTGTAGTAACTGACTCTACTGAGATCCTAAATTATGAGTCTGATTATTCTATGCAGTTGTATAGCTTAGAACTAACTAATCTATTGCAAAACATTAAAATGATATCAAGATAAAAAATACACTTCTTTAGTGTGCACCTCAACCCCTCTTGAGGAGTCATTTCTTTTCCCTGAATTCCTGTGGTACTTTATTGGATCTTCCTTCTGTCTGTGGTCACTCCTGCACCTTCACTTCCCCTTTGAATTTCAAGTATGGAAGGTTGGGTTAATCATACTTAATTCCTGGACTTTGTCATCATGGTTCCTGTCTTGTTTCACTTTATTCCTTTTTATCCCTCTCTCCATACCCATACGTATTTCCCTTTAGGCAGTCATTCTAATGTGTTTAATTTGTAGATTTTTTTGTTCTTACAAGTTCTTATAAGATGTTCACTTCTTTATGTATATTTTAATCTACACAAGTGATATTATGCTGTATGTCCTGTTTGGTTTTTACTTTTTTCATTTAATATTTTTTTCAATATCTTTTATTTATTTATATTTTGCTGCACTGGACCTTTTTTAGAGTGTGCAGGCTTCTCATTGAGGTGGCTTCTCTTATCGAGGAGCACATGCTCAAGGTGTGCAGACTTCAGTAGTTGTAACACGTAGGCTTGGTAGTTGTGGTGCATGGACTTGGTTGCCCCACAGCATGTGAGATCTTCCTGGACCAGGGATCGAACTAATGTCCCCTGCTTTAAGGCAGATTCTTAAACACTGGATTACCAGGGAAGCCCAACACTCTTTTTAAGATCTATCCATATGTCTACCTCTGGATTGTTTCTACCTGTAGCATTGTGTTTATCCTGTATATCCTGTTTTTCACTTGTCCTTTCTCTCAATGATGGGTACCCAGATTGTCTCTCATTCCCTACCAACACAGACAATGCTATGGTGAAAATTCTGGTACAGTCGCCTTATGGATCTGTGTGAGAATTTCTTTGGGATAAACTCAGGAGCAGAATTGCCTGTCATAGAAATGCATAATGTTTATATGACAAAGTACTATGAGTTCACTCTCTAGAATGCTACAGCAGTTTACACTCCCACCAGCAATTTGTTAGGTTACTATATTTTACACCCCATTGCATTTCCATACCTGCCAGTGCTTCAATTTGTACATTTTTATCTCCCCTTTTAGACTGTAAGCTCTTTGAGGGCAGGGTTTATGTTGCTCGTCTTTGTATGGTCCACTGTGGCTTGCTTGTACTAGCCGTTAAATATTTGTTGAATAAATTAATAAATGCCAGGATAAGAATATAGATTATTCTGAAGGCAAGAGAAATTTATTAAGAATTTTTAAGCAGAGTAACATTGTATTTAAAGAGGATGTTTAAGAACTTAAGAAGTAGTATTCTAAACTGTAGGGAAAAGATTGAAAACAGAAATATACATTAAAAGTAAGCATTAGGTTAACATACTTCTTTATATCCCTGAGTTGTTTATTGGAGTAGGTAACATGAAAAGTTCTCAGTTTAATAACAAAGCATTAAAATTATATAGAAAAATTATATGTACAGTAAATGAGGTTGAATACTCCTGTGGAAGTTTTACTAATAATATTCTCTAGTAGATTTCCATTAGTAATCATGGCAGTATGGATTTACATTTGCCCAAATTTAATATCTTCACATATAACTGCTTATAGTAAAAGCAGTTGATTTAATCTGTTGGCGTATAACACAGATACTCTATTTTTGGACACTGACTTAACCTTGGTCCAGTTGTATGTCATTCATTATTTTCCTTTGGCCATTATTTTTCTGTTTCCCAGTGGACCAGTTGTTTAGACCCAAAAATGATTAGTAGAATTAAACTCATTTCTATAGTAAACTAAATATTTGACAAGTATATATCCATCTCATTTTCTCACTTCCAGTAAAAAATAAAGGCCACGTTCCAAGCTCTCTCTGTATCATAGTTATCCTGTTGGAAACATTTTTAATTAATGGAGGAAAAGTGAAAGTTGAGGAAGTAGAATAGAAACCACGCCAAAGAGATAAGATGGTAACTTCACCTATGTTCCTAAATATTAATTTATGATATCACTCAGTGCTACCAAATGAATAATTTATTTATTTCTCTGACAGTGCAAGATGTTTGAGGAAGAAGGAGCTCTTTTATATAATGACATCTTATGCTGCTACTTTCCTACATACTGAAAACTTTGTTGACACTTGTTTAACATTCTCTCCTTTTCCCCCAAATTGAAGGAGTTGCTTCAGCTTCTAGGAATATTTTTCACCAACTTGACTTATTCATGATATTATAGCTTTTATTAGTGCTTTGATGTGTATCTAGGCAATCGCACACTTCTATGGTTACTGATATTGAGTCATTGGATATTTGGGGAAGAACTGCCTTTTGTGCATTTATTTCACCATTCTCTGCTTTTCCTGCTGCCTAAATTTTGGGGTTTTTGGTCTCAATTTCAGTTAAATAAGTTACTCTTTTTAATATTTTGCTCTTTGTATTTTATTTGTTAACAAGTTAGAGCCATTTCTTTCTGTTACTATTCTCAAAATTCTTGTCTTATTTTGGATCTTACTATTTATATAAGATTTTAAATCTGAGAATGTCCAATGTGGTCCTAATTAATTACCAGTCTTAGTGTTGACCTCTTAACCTAGTTTTCTTAATCTTAAATATAAATTACGTAGGAACTATACAAGGGTTTTTTAAAATAATGTTGGAGGAGCTTGCGGAACTTAAGAATTTACTCTGCTGATGTCATTGAATTTGTTACACAACTGAAAATTTCCTTGCTGAGCTTGCAGATTCTGTGGCAGTTAAACTCCTTTTTCCTACCATTAATTGTCGTCATGAGGTACTTTGAACAAGTAAAGCAAACCATGGTTTCCTATATAATCTTATGGAAATAGGTATAAAATTATCTCACAGGCTAACAGCTTTTGCTCTTTAAGGATAAAGTCTCTTCCCACCACTTTGCTCAGATAGAAATATAAAATTAAATGTGGGTAATTATCGTAGTGATTTTGGAACTGGTTGTATGACCTTGTTAAAGACAGTATCTAGGGGCAAATCTGTTAGGCTTTTTATGATAATAACATGTTGCAGTTGTTTGAGCTACCTGCAGTTTTGAGTCCTCCTAACAAAGAAGCAGTTAAATCTCTGATTTTTTTTGTCAGTCTCTGGCAGTTCAGAGCAATTAAACATCTAAAGGATTATTTTTTTTCCTTTGGACCTAGGAATAATTTTGAATGCATTGGATGAGCTAGTTTTTGAAACTCTGAAGTTACATATGTTATTCATATATATTGACCACAATCCTTGAGAATAGACAACTATTTTCCACCTTGTTTTTTTTAAAACAACTTTAATATTGCTTAATTTTCATACCATAAAATTCACTCATTTAAATGTACAATCCAATAACTTTTAGTAAATTTACAGAATTGTGTGATCATCACCTCCATCTGATTTTGGATCCATCACTCCAAAATCTCTCATGCTTCTTTGTGATCAGCCTGCATTCTCACCACTATAATCCAGGCAACCACTATTTTCCTTACCTGTCTCTCTAGATTTGCCTTTTCTCTATAGATCTGATATAAATGAGATTGTACAACATATGTTCTTTTGTGCCTGGACTCTTCACGTAGCATAATGTTTTCAAGGTTCATCCATGTTGTAGGATATATCAGTAGTTTGTTCCTTTTTACTGTAGAATAACCCCAGTTCTTCCTAAACAAGATTAAACCTTAAACTGGCCTCAAAGTGGTTATTAAATATTTCTTCCATTTTATGTCCAGATGTTAGAATTATTGATATTGATAATTATTTTGCCTTTGGGGAGTAAATTTAAGTGTAACTGAAAACCTTGACTTAAATGTATAATTATTTCATTTTTAATGTACACTGCCAATATGAGTACTCCTGTATGGGAAGTCTGATTTTATCCCAGGTAATGTTCATTGTTTCTCTCATAGATTTTTACGTGAAGTGTTTACTTAAACTCAGAATAATTGTCCTTTGTAATATAAGTTTAATAGGGTGTTCAGGTAGTGAACTTAAACACTTATGGAAGTGTTTGACTTAATTAATGAACAGTTTAGAAAGTTATAGCTTAAGAATAATTTCAACCTATATTTTAAAATAATAAAAGAAACATTTTGGTAATTTGAAAAACACTTTTCCCCACTTTGATCTACAAATTATAATTTCTTACAGTAATCTATACTTACACAGTTAATATTGTAAAAAGAAAAATTGGGCAGTTAAGCTAACATTTATGATACCCTCAACATTATTTTGGTTCTGCTTTAGATTTTATATTCTCTAGAAAGTCCAATTTAATAAGCAGAATTTTGAGATTCTTTCCTCTTTGATTTTCCTTTTCTCCCTACCCCTGTCTTGTTTTCCAAAATCATCCAATCCTAAATATTGCATTTTTTAAATTTAAAAAAGTCACATTTTTTTGATTGGCAACATCCCTGTTTGTGCTATGTAAAATCGAAGAGTTTGGTCGTTGGCTGCAACTGGTATGAATCTTTGAGCATTCATTCTACAGCATTAGTTATATGGGTTTTGGGAGGGAGGATGCTGGGGGGTGGGGTGGGGGGAGGGCTGGTTTTTTTTTTTTCTTTCTTTCTTTCTTTCTTCTTCTTCTTCTTTTTTTTTTTTTTTTTAGCATGGCACATTTTCAAACATTTTTCATGTGCTTAGGTACATCCAAGCAGAAGTCCAGTTCCCTGCAGGTAGCAGATCAGGACGTACTGCCACCTTTTCACCCATACCAGCCTTTGGAGTGCATAGTAGAGGAGACTGAAGGAAAACTGAATGAACTGGGACAAAGAATTAGTGCTATTGAAAAAGCACAGCTTAAATCATTGGAGTTAATTCAAGGTGAACCTCTGAACAAAGATAAGATAGAAGAACTTAAAAAGAACAGAGAAGAGCAAGTCCAGAAGAAGAAGAAAATACTGAAAGAACTGCAGAAAGTGGAAAGGCAGTTGCAGATGAAAACACAGCAGCAATTTACCAAAGAATATCTGGAAACCAAAGGTCAGAAAGACACAGTATCTCTACACCAGCAGTGCTCTCATAGAGGAGTCTTCCCAGAAGGGGAAGGAGATGGTAGTCTCCCAGAGGATCATTTTTCAGAGTTACATCAGGTTGACACAATCTTATTTAAAGATAATGATGTTGATGATGAGCAACAGTCTCCACCATCGGCAGAACAAATTGATTTTGTCCCAGTCCAGCCTTTATCATCTCCACAGTGTAACTTTTCCAGTGAATTAGGTTCTAATGGGACAAATTCTCTTGAACTTCAGAAAGTATCAGGTAATCATCAGATTATAGGACAGCCTCAGATTGCTATTACTGGACATGATCAGGGGCTGTTAGTGCAAGAACCAGATGGACTAATGGTTGCAACTCCAGCCCAGACGCTTACCGACACTCTTGATGACCTGATAGCAGGTGGGTTAAGAAATATACCTATAATAATTTCTCTTTAATTTTTGTGCTCAACTTCTTTACACAACTTTCCAAAAACACCAACTTGGTATTTTTCCTTTTTTAGAACTATGTTTTTAAAATCATTTCTTGAGGTGTTTTGGAAGTGACTTTAACTAAACTCAGCAGCATTAAAACACAAAAGTGTGCTTTCCCTCTTCTTTTTTGTTATTTGCAAAAGCAAAGAAATAAAGTTGTCATGATCCTTTATTTTAGACCTTTGGTATCAAAATCACCCTGTCTCATATCTTGGGTAGGAGATCTCAAAGTAGAATTTCTTTGCAGGCTTTAGAGATAATCATATAAGATTAGACATTTAATTTTCCTATTGGTGATTTTCATATTTGGAAAATCAGAACTCTAAATCACTTTGCTTTTTCTTCATGATTTTATTACATAAATTTAAACATTCTAATTTAAAGGGATATTCAGAAAAAAACTGTAAGCATTCCATATTGTTAAAATATGTGTGATTAGAAGATTTAATATACATTGAAAGTATTGTCCATTTGATAATGATTTGGAGATTGGGCTTTTTGTAGTAACTGTCTTGATGAAAGCACACAGACATCCAACACACACTCAAACACACACAGAGGTAATCACCAAAGCAAAAAAGAGACCAGCCTTATAAATTTAAAGTATATGTTTCTGTTTATTGTTGTGTGGAAAATTACAACTAGATGTGAAATGAGGTGCACAAGTTTACTTTCCCTTTCATTGTCCTTGCAGCAGTGGGAAAACAGTGCAATTAATCATTTACCTTCCTAAAGATGGCTGGTGAATGTATCACCTCCATGAGAGCGCAGTTCAGAAATGCAGCCAGAATGGCTGTTGACAGTGGATGAAGACCAAGAACTAAGATGTAGCTGGAGTGATATTCAAAGGCAGGCCAGTCCTCTGTCTCTTGATTGCAACATTTTTTTTTCTTTACTGTTGTCTGTTTCTTCTTGTCATATTCTCCTCCCCTCCTCTCATCCCAGTTATGCTTTCCCAGTTTCCTTTCTTCTTCTGTGAGCTTTTAGTCTTCCTAAACTTTACTGAATCTTTTAAATGTGGAATAAAATTACTTAATTCAGGAATTTTATTGGGCATGTATATGACTTCCAGTGTTTATTGTAAGAGTGCCTTTGAGGCTCCTCTGATATGTAGTAGGTATTGCTGTGCAGAGGAGGAATGTCTTAGTTTTCATAAAGAAAATTAAAATGCTAGGAAATGTTTTAAGGAGTTAGATTCTTTATTCTTTAATTTTATTTTTTATGTCTTCAGCCCACAACCACTTCACTCAGATTAACTTTGTGTTATTAGCATTGCAAGTTGTTATAAATATTGAATAACTTTATAGTTATTTATGGTTCTGATTTCTAATTTGTTTAAAGCAGATATTGGAGTGTAAAGTATGATTAGGATTAATAATAATGAAACTCATGACCTGGAAGGAACATATTTAAGACTTAGGGTTCTATAAATATCATTATAATGTTCCTAATTAAGTACTCCATTTGCTGTTATGAAATCCGCATTATTGATCAGTTTAGTTTGTTGGAACTTAGGACCTGTCCTTTTTATTTTTAAAGAATGGAGGAAACATCTCTAAAGGGTACTTGTAGGTGTTAACTTTATGGTAGTATTTAAGGCTATTTTTTGTAGAGGAGGTCAAATATTGTTTATTCCACTGAAGTATTTGTTAAATTGAAGTGACCTTTTATAAAGTTCACATGAAACTTCAAAAACTCAGTTTAGAAAACATCTTTTAATTATATTTAACATTAATCTAAATGAATAAAATTTACTTTCTTTTAGACATTAATGTCTCGTGACACCGTTGGCCCACCATATTGTACAATACTCTTTTGTTAATAAGCTTTAAAGTATAAATCTGTCAATACATTAAAAATTATATGTGGCATAGCTTGTGGGATCTTAGTTCCCTGAACAGGGATCAAACAAACCCTGGTACCCAGCAGTGAAAGTGCCAAGTCCTAACCACTAGATTGCCAGTGAAGTGAAGTGTTGGTTGCTCAATCATGTCCAACTTGTTGCAACCCCATGGACTGTAGCCTGCCAGGCTCTTCTGTCCAGGGAATTCTCCAGGATTGCCAGGGAATTCCCTAAAAATTATCTTTATTTAAAAACTTTTCATTTTGTTGAAGCTTATATTTTAAAATATATAGCAAAAAGGATGACTTGCCTCAAAATTTAAAATGTTATTAAGTCTGAATTTCTCTTAATCTCTTAATTGAAGGTGAAAAAAATTAAATAAGGATGAATTAGGTAAATACCTAGTTCCCTGATTATACGATATGTTAATATGTCAGTAAAATTATAGGTTGGGCCAAAGATATAATTAATTTTACCTATATCAAATCTAGTTATCATGCCTTTATATGATATCATGCCTTATTAATAAAAGAGAATACATCTTACAGTTTTACTTTAGATAATAGCAGTAAGTCTTACTCTAGGAGGGTTTTTTTTTTTTTTTTTTTTTAATTTTCCCAGCACGCCAGGCATGTGGGACCTTAGTTCCCTGACCAAGGATTGAACCCTCACTCCCAGCATTGGAAGGCAGAGTCTTAATTAACCACTGGACCACTGGGGAAGTTCCAGGATTTTTTTTTTTTTTTAACTGCTGTTCTATCTCAAAATATTTGTCATGAAAGCAAGTTAGTTAGATATATAATTTCTTAATGTTATAACTTCAGTAGTTGACTGACAGCAGTTTAGTATATAGTCTTAGATGTATCATACTTGATATAGTCCCAACCAGAATATATGTATACTTTCGGATTGGAAACATGGTTCTTCAGGTCCATTTCTTCTGAAAGTAAGTGCTGGGCTTTTGAAGTTATCATAATAGCAAGTGATTCTCAGTTCAAATGTCTAGAATAAAGGTCTGAAAATAAACAGCAATTTTAAGAAATTCAAAATAGCTTTGACCATTGAGCAGTTCTAGAAACATCTAGCAAAATTTTCATTCTTAATATATAAAGTTCCTTAGTTAAAAAAAATTAATACCACTTTATTTACATTTATTGAGTGCTTGCCATTTACCAAGCTCAGTGCTAAATGCTTTTACATATGTAATTTCACGAGCTATTTAGTAATACTAGAAAATAAGTCCATCTCCCATCTATTTTTCTGTTGAAAACTGAGGCTAATGGAAATTAAGTTGCTAGCTAAATGTTAAGATTCAAAAATTCAGCCAGGTTTAAGAACCGTAGATACAGTAGGCATCCATTTGATTCAACTGGAAGTTCTGAGTTTATATTTAAGATATTATTTTCTTAGAATTCTAAGTTTTATCAAATAACAATTTCCCTTATTATTTTTATATTAAGATATGATTTGTGTATATGGTTTAATACAGTTTTGTGACTTTAGAACATTGTTAATGTTGTTGGCATCTTAATAGGCTCTCAACACATTACAATTCAAAAGTATCTTGCTTTAAGCAATCTGGTGATAGTCAATTTAGGTTTTAGAATAAAGGAATTGAAAATTATCTTTGAGGGAATTTACAATAAAATGTCTTTAATAATTTCTTTTAGTAGATGTTAATATTGTATTTATAGATTGTTATTTATATGGAAATGTTTAATACAATTACTGTTACCTAAATTGGATTACAGTGATTTAATATCTTAAGAACTTGCAGCATTACTATCTTCCATATTGCCTACAAAACTGTCTTAAATTTTATAAAGAATTAAGTAAAATATCACCCCATTTTAGGATAGTACATAAATTTAATTTGAATTATGTAGTGATTTTCATGATAATGATCTGTTTTGGTCATTTTCAGAGACATTTGGTTCAGACATAGGAAGCATTTTAGGATTTTTGAAATTGTCATAGTCCTGGTATAATTTTATCTTAATAAATCCTTTATTCCACATATACTTTTTAAATCTTTGCTATTTTCTAGTTTTATCTGTAGAACTTTTCATATGTAATTAATCCTTTTAAAGTCACTTCTGTGGAATGTTTCTGATTGTCATTACAGGAGGAAAAAATGTTTCTAGGATACTGTTGTACCAAAATGCACAATCAACGTAGCAACACTTTTTTGGTAATAGAGCTGTTAAATGCACTAAAGTATTTTTTAAAAACCAGCTCTGTAAAAAAAAGTCTTTTATACCATCACATTCTGACATAGCACTCCAGTCAACTATTTAAATTCTTTTTAATATCTGTTTTTCATAATCACAGAAAGAGATAGCATGAATAAACAAATTTAACAATGATAGAAAAGTAATTCTTTAGTAAATATATGTTAATGAGTATGAGACTGTTGTTAAAATCTTACTGTTAAAAAAGTGCTATATATCAAAGTTTAGTGTCTTGTTTCTGGAACTTTTTTCCAATCTTATCAGCTGTTTTGAGGGGGGCAGCAAAATACTATGTGCTTTTAATTCATTCAGTGACAGATTTTTAAAACTTTGTTTTCATCATGCACATTCTTGTAAGGCAAAACAAATGTTTATAATCATTTTTATTTATAACCATATGGCTAAATATTTATGTGTATATTTATGTGGTAATGGAAGCTGCAGAAAGTCATATGAACAAGATGATTTTATATATATTGGTTGGGAGGAGGGAGGGACAGCTCCTGTAGAAACATCCTTAAAATTTGCTATTATTTATAAAGAAGTAGCATACTACACTTAATCTTTCATACTTGTTGTGGTCATAAGTATCCTTGATTGGGATTCAGCCATATTAAAATTCTAGAGAGAAAACATTCTCCAACCATTGAAATGCTTAACATTTTCCTTTATGACTTAAGTGTTTTTGATTGACTTTTAGCATGGGTAAGAGGAAGTTAATTGCCATCACTGAAACTTTGTTGTCTTTTTCTATATTATTGATTATATATTTTTTCTGAGTTTTTTCTTTCTTGAGTGAATTGTAATGTTTTATTTTTCAGTGCAGTGATTGATAGTACTGAAGTCCTATAAAATATCTGATAATTACATATATTGGACACTTACCATACCAAACACTGTGTTAAATGCTTTTTATATATTATCTCACAGACAATTCACAACATCCCTCTGAGATGGGTCCTGTTTCCCCCTCCATGGGGCAAACTCTTGTCTTTTATGAAAGAAAAGAAATATGCAGAGCCACAAAGATATAATTTCATTTAATTCAGTTTCAGACACTAGATTTTTGAGGTCCCAAATAAAAGTTCCAGTGTTCATTTTTAAAGCAGTTTGGTTTTCAGACACTGATTCATTTTAGCAAATTTTCAGAGTAAATATTGAATTTTAAAAATACAGACTCTCTGCTATTTGTGAGAGAGATACTCTAACTTGTTCTTTCCCTTCTTCTACATCTTCTTTCTGTTTTTCTTCTTGTTTTAAAATTTGCATTATTTTCAGGATATTTGTATCTAACTGCCTTTTACAAACTAAGATTTACAATTCCTTTTTTTTAAATTGGAAACTATTTTCTTCCTATTGACACTGTAAAAAGCTGCTGTTTCTTCTGTATTCACTAAATGCCAGGTACCATGCTTGGTATTCTATTCCCAACAACCTTACAATCGAGGTACTAATCATCTCATTTTACACATAAGGAAATTGAGGTTCTGAGAGTTTAAATTACTTGCCCAAGATCAGAAAGTCATTGGTAGAACTGGGATTCAAACATATGTCCATCTGACTCCAAACTTGTGATTTAACTACTACATTGTATTACTGCTATTGAATTTTCTGTTTTATGTGTTTTTCTGTATAAAAATGACTTTATTCTTTTAAGTAGAATTCAGCAATATGAATATTGTTTTTCAGCTGTGAGTAGCAGAGTGCCCACTGGCTCGAACAGCTCTTCTCAAAACACAGAATGTCTTACACCTGAATCCTGTTCTCATTCTCCAAGCAATGTGGCTTCCCAGTCTATACCCCCTGTGTATCCTTCAGTTGACATTGATGCACATGTAAGTAGACTGCTTTATTTATATTTATTTTATGCACATTCCAATTATCTTTGGAAAGGGAAAGATTCATTGTACATTAATTGTGGAAATTAACATTATTGGCTCTTCAGTCAATAACACCACCATAAACAAAAAAAAGTTTACCTCTTTTTTGTTTCCTTTTCCTAGACTGAGAGCAATCATGACACCGCATTAACCCTAGCTTGTGCGGGTGGCCATGAAGAGCTTGTATCTGTACTCATAGCACGAGATGCTAAAATTGAACACAGAGACAAAAAAGGTAAGAAGTGTTAGAAATAAAGTCTTGAGTGTCAGAAAACAATTTTTTTTTTCACTATGGGTAAGTAGTTCCTGGACTATTCAGTGAAAAGATGGGTTAGCATATTTCAATTAAATATATACAGATTTGTTCATCTACAGAGCCAAATTATTATTCAGAAATTCAAAAATTATAGATCATCCAGGGAAGTACAGCAAGTTGTGTTTGCTTTTTCCTTGGTCCAAAAGTAGAGCATACAAAGGTATCAAAGTTTATTATGAGTATAAACTTGAATAGTTTTCTTTGACCTAGCATTTTCTTTTTATCAAGTATTTATGCGATTTTGTCAGTAACAAATTAGGGTTTAAAGGAGTTTTTAAAGGAGTTTTATGATTTTAAGTGTCTGTCCTAAAGACTTCTTCCTCCTAAAACAATAAAGAATTTAAAAAAACAGTGGATTAATAAGTAAAAAACACAAATTTGACCGAGATTTTTTTTTCTGATTTAGGTTTCACACCACTGATCCTGGCAGCAACAGCAGGACATGTTGGAGTTGTTGAAATCCTTTTGGATAAAGGTGGAGACATAGAAGCCCAATCGGAACGAACTAAGGATACTCCTCTTTCATTAGCATGTTCTGGTGGACGTCAGGAAGTATGCTGATGTTTATTTTCATTTTGTAAACATTTTATTTGTATTTTAAATATGCATGTGCTTAGTAGTTTAGCTACAATGAATAAAACTTGCATGTGTTTTGAAATGTTCTTTATATTAAATTTAATGAGAATAGTAAATGTCCTTTTAAAAGAATCTATTTCATGCCTTTTTAGGCAAAATAGAAATTCTCTGTATGCTTACATTTACTGAGTCTAAATGGAGCAAAATCCTGACACATGAAATGTAAATTTGTCACTTAATAATTGAGGAAGCGAAAGAGTAACAACTTGTTATTTCAGTATAATTAGGATTTCATAGGTCTGAATTCCTTGATAAAAATTGAATTCATTTATCTAGTACTGGTATTTGAATATTTAGTATCTGATTAAAATGATAGATATTTAGAGAACTTAAAGATCCCATTTCTTTGTGCTTCTTTCATTATAAGATGAACCCTTGGTGTAAACTAGATTTCTCTGTTCCTGTTTTACTTTGTAGGTGGTAGACTTGCTGCTGGCTCGGGGTGCAAATAAAGAACATAGGAATGTATCTGATTATACACCACTGAGTCTAGCTGCATCTGGAGGATATGTTAATATCATTAAGATTCTGCTTAATGCTGGGGCAGAAATTAATTCAAGGTATCTATCACCTGTTCATTTTATTATTCATGATTAATAAATTATGACCTTGGAGTTAAGTGTTTTCCCCTAAATATTTAGACAGATACCAGTTTTAAGCAAGATAATACTAAAGTTGCAAGGCCAACAATTATTCCTGTGGTAATCAGAGCTTATTTCAGCTAACATGGCTGTTTTCAAAGAGGTTTCATTTCAGAAAACTCTTTGTTATATATATAGTTAGAAATTTATAGTCTCTGAACAGGGGTTGTGTTTTTAATTGTGAGATTTTTCTTAATTATGAGATTTTCTAATTATGAGACTAAACAAATAAAATCTATTCTTTGGTGGTAGAAAGCTTTCTTTTCACTGAAACTTTTTCATTTTTTATGTTCTCTCTGCTTTTAAAAAAACAAAAGGCAACATACTATTTTAATTTTCTGAGCACATTTCCCCCCTTAGGACTGGGAGTAAACTAGGTATTTCTCCCCTGATGTTGGCTGCAATGAATGGACATGTTCCTGCAGTGAAACTGCTGCTTGACATGGGTTCAGATATTAATGCCCAAATAGAGACCAATCGGAACACAGCTCTCACCTTGGCCTGTTTCCAAGGCCGAGCAGAAGTAGTGAGCTTGCTTCTGGATCGAAAAGCCAATGTTGAACATAGGGCAAAGGTAAGCATTTTATAACTTATCAACTACTTCAGACATATTTCTAATAGAAAGAGCATAGTATAACATGGCATAGCACACTCAAATTGAATGTGCTATTTTAAATTTTCCTAAGCTAAAATTAGGAAATTCCTGCCCCAGTGCAGGATTGTAGAATAGTGCTATCCAGTGGTCGGTGACACACTGTCACCGTTCATAACTTTATTAAAGACAGCTAAGATCTCCTTTAATGAGACATGTGCTTTAACCATTGGTAAAAATCTCAATCAAAAATTAATCAAAAATTACTTTATAAATTATAAAACTGAGGGAACTGAAATTGAGGCATCTATAATCTGATTGTAACAGATTATGACAATTTCATGACAGTGTAGCATTTAGAAAGTAGGAGTTAGTATTTCAGTGTTTATAATTTCTCTTCTTAGAACTACTAGGTACTTAGAGGCCCCGAAACATGTAGCTCATGTATAATTCTTTATAACCAGACAATGGTCAATCTAGTAGTCATTTCAGATTGAAAATGTCTGAATAAAAGTCTCTTATTTTTTTCCCTGATTATCACTTTTTTATTTCTTAAAAGAGACAGTTACTGTCTCATGTAGATTTATAACAACAGAGATGTTATAAACTGTTTTTTATTACCATAAGGTAGTATAAGTTAATTTAGTCTAGCATGTCTTAACTGAATCTAACAATTTTCCCTTGCTATTTTAGTAAAGCTTAAGAGTGAATTTTGCTTAGCTCTCTTGGGAGAGAAAATCAGAAATAGAATCCACTTACAAGTCATTTTTCAGTCCTTTAAAGAAATCAATATAATTTACCCACATAATTTTTTGGTTTAAACAGACTGGTCTTACCCCCTTGATGGAAGCTGCTTCTGGAGGATATGCAGAGGTTGGAAGAGTTCTCCTAGATAAAGGAGCAGATGTCAATGCCCCTCCTGTGCCTTCCTCAAGAGACACTGCTTTAACAATAGCAGCGGACAAAGGTCACTACAAATTCTGTGAGCTCCTGATTAATAGGTAGGTAAATTTTATATTTGTAAAAATTTCCTATGATCCCTTTCACTTTTCAGAGCCTTTACAGTTAATAAAATTGTTTTACTTTATTTGACATTTAAAAGAACAGAGTATTTGTTTGAACTTTATAAAAGAAAAAAGATAAATTAGAGAAAGAAAGGAAAAGTTAGCCCCTTCTCATAGGAAGCAAGCTATACTAACATTCTTTGATTTGTACAGGGGAGCCCATATTGATGTTCGCAACAAGAAGGGAAACACACCACTTTGGTTGGCATCCAATGGTGGTCATTTTGAAGTGGTGCAATTGCTAGTGCGATCAGGTGCTGATGTGGATGGAGCTGATAACCGGAAAATCACACCTCTTATGTCAGCATTTCGCAAGGTAACTCGATGTGGACAAAAATGACAGAATTTGTTTAAAACTACTGAATTTTAAGTTGAAGTCATAGGAGAAAGATTGGTCTTGAGGAATTGACACTGTTTCTATATACACACCTCTGCTATGTTGTACTATCTTTGTGGCCAAATTTAAGAGCTGTATAGTAGTTCCCTATAAGCAACTTTGCTGTTAAATAACTTCGTATCTTGAAGAGTTTTGTTGTATTTTTGTACATAAAACATGAGATTTCAGGGCAGATATTACAAGTAGATAGATGTTTAAGAGGAACAAAAACAAGTAGACTCTCATAAAAATTTATTATACCTCGTGTATATATTAAGGTTCACTTCTCTGCTCTATATTACAAAGCTTTCCCATTAAAATTGTGATAGACTATAAACTACTTAACATGGCTTACAAGGCCCTGTATGATATGGCTCATGCCAGCCTCAGACCAATCATTTCTACTGCCCTTCCCCTTTGCCCCTTTGCTTACTACACTTCAGCCACTGGCCTAGAATTCACTAAATTTTTAACTTCCTGAGGCCCTTTGCTCACTGGTTTTCTTTTCCTGAAATATTCTTTCACTTGCTTTTCACCTGGCTCACTTCTCCTCATTCTTTAATGTCTACTCCTTTAATATCATTTCTCAGAAAGTCCTTTCCTAACTTGCAATCTGAAAAGTTTCTCTTGTTCTCACTTACAGTTCACCATTATTTTCCTTATCTCATTTTGTAATTGTACATGCAAACATATGTTAGTTTTTTAATGCTCTTTTCCACAATTAGGGGCTTCCCTGGTGGCTTGGACAGTAAAGAATCTTCCCCAGAACTGGGTTCGATCCCTAGGTCAGGAAGATCCCCTGAAGGAGGAAATGGCAACCCACTCCAGTATTCTTGCCTGGAGAATTCCATGGACAGAGGGACCTGGCAGGCTACAGTCCATGGAGTCGCGAAGAGTTGGACATGATTGAGTGACTTTCACTTTCACTCCCTAATTAGACTGGAAGATTTATGAAAGTGAAGATTCATGATTGTCTTTTTCACCACTATTTATACCTAGTTGTTCAGCATAGTGCCTCACACACACTAGATAGTCAGTAAATAGCTATTGAATGAGAGCAGTGTAAGTTACCTGTCTTTTAAAAAATCTTAAATATTTTTTCCAATTTTTTTTCTTTAAATTGAGATATAATTTATATATATTAAAAGTGCACAAATCTAAGATGCATAGTTTAATGAGTTTTAATAAATGTATATACCTATATAACCCACATCCCATAAAGATAGAAACTACTTCCATAATCCTAGGAACTTTAATCATGCCCATTCTCAGTTAATTCCCTGCCCCAGAGGCAACCACTTTTCTGGCTTTTGCCACCATCAGACTAATTCTTTTTTTTTTTGTTTATTTTTTGGCTACACCATGGCATATGCAAGATTTTATTTATAGTTATCCCACCAAGGATCAAACCCATGCCACATGCACTGGAAGCACAGAACCTTAACTACTAGACCACCAGGGAATTTTTCCCATCAGATTACTTCTAGAAGATGTTTTAGAACCTTAATATTAGGGGAAACTATGCAAGTTTCATTGTTAAAATAGATGTACTTTTAATGATTACAGATCATCAAGCCTCTGATAATACCATCTAGAAAATGTTTCACCCTGATTCAAGTCATAGGACTCAAATAAATATGACAGTCCACCTTGTTTAGTTTAGTAAGATAGAGCCAAAGTTGTTGTAGTTCAGTCACTAAGTCATGTCTGACTCTCTGCAACCCCATGGACTGCAGCACACCAGGCTTCTCTGTCGTTCACTATCACCTGGAGTTTGCTCAAATTCATGTCCATTGAATCTGTGATGCTATCTAACCATCTCAGCCTATGCCACCCCCGTCTCCTTTTGCATTCAGTCTTTCCCAGCATCAGGGCCTTTCCCAATGACTTTTCAGGGTTAATTTCCTTTAGGATTTACTGGTTTGGTCTCCTTGCAATCCAAGGGACTCTCAAGAGACTTCTCCAGCACCACAGCTCGAAAGCATGAGTTCTGCACTCAGCCTTCTTTATGGTTTAACTCTCACATCCGTACATGACTACTGGAAAAACCATAGCTTTGACTAGATGGACCTTTGTCAGCAAAGTGAAGTCTTTGCTTTTTAATGCACTGTGTAGGTGTGTCTTAGCTTTCCTTCCAAGGAGCATGCTTCTTTTAATTTCATGGCTACAGTCACCGTCCACAGTGATACCAGATACCATGATCTTGGTTTTTTGAATGTTAAGTTTTAAGCCAGCTTTTTCACTCTCCTCTTTCACCCTCATCAAGAAACTCTTTAGTTCCTCTTCACTTTCTGCCATTAGAGTGGTATCATCTGCATATCTGACATTGTTGATGTTTCTCCTGGCAATCTTGATTCCAGCTTGTGATTCATCCAGCCTGGCATTTCGCATGATGTGCTCTGCATATAAGTTAAATAAACAGGGTGACAATATTCAGCCTGGATGTATTCCTTTCCAATTTTGAACCAGTCAAAATTACCAGTTCCATGTAAGGTTCTAACTGTTGTTCTAACTGGAGGAGGGAATGGCAAACCACTCCACTATCCTTGCAGTGAGAACCCCATGAACAGTAAGAAAAGGCAAAAAGGGGCAAAATAATGCTTTGGAATTTAGAACATCCTCTTTTAGATTTAATTTCCCTTTTATAATGAGAGAGATTTCACATCACCAGTTTTTATTTTATTAATAGATTTATTTCTATTTCTGTTCAGAAGTATTTCTATTTTCAGTGGGATGTGAGCAAATTAAATTCAAGAGAAATATCATTTGGTCTTCCATGTATTTCCCAGCATGTTGTACTTACCTCTTTCTGTTCATATTTTCATAGTTTCAATTGTTAAGTTTAGTAAATTCTGAAGTGTTACTATACCTTTTACTCTTCTAAGTTTTTGAGGATATGTGCCAGCTTTCATTGGTTTCTTTTGTGTACTTTTTTTTGTACTTTTTACAGGGTCATGTAAAAGTTGTTCAGTATTTGGTTAAGGAAGTCAATCAGTTCCCTTCTGATATAGAATGCATGAGATACATAGCAACAATCACTGATAAGGTAGGTTTAATATGCTGTTGAAGCACATTTTTATTTTTTATGGAATTATATACCAAAGTATATGTTAACAGCCTGTTCTTTTCATCCTTTATAAGACAGATAACCTGATTTTTCAATGACTAGTTTCTCCATTTGCAAATGAAGAATGAGTATAATTTATAAATTATTTTGAGATTTTCTTCCTAATATGGACTGTAATTACAGCAACTGCATCTAAACTTTATTGTTAGATTATTAGCCTGATAAGACAGTTTTCTAAGAATGCAAGCTTTTTAAGGAAATGGTAGCTTTTTTTGATTTTTCAGTCAAATTCTAGGTTCAGAGGATAACTTGATTTGGTTTAGTAAATATCCAGTAATTTGGACTTTAAGCCCTGAACTTTGGTATACTTAGCAGCTCAAGTTTTATTGGCCTCTTTATGTGTTTCTGTATTTATATAATTCCATTTCTGGTATAGGAACTGTTGAAAAAATGTCACCAATGTGTTGAGACAATTGTGAAGGCTAAAGACCAACAGGCTGCAGAAGCAAATAAGAATGCAAGTATTCTTTTAAAGGAACTTGATCTGGAAAAGGTGAGTGAGAAATATAATTTTCCTTTTTAGAACTGGTTGAAAATCTAGTAGAATACATTTGCTACTACTTTGACTATAATCTTAACAAAATCTCTTTTTATGAAATGATAAATTATCAAACTACCATCAATTTTTTTTATTCTAACCTGTTATACAAAAAAATATTTTTAACCATATAAGTGAAGAATTAGTTTTTAAACATGTCACAGTTTTCTACGTGATACTATTGCCTAAGTTGTTTTACCATTAGTGTATGCAGAAATTTATTAAAACATTGGAAATCTCTCATTTATTATAAGATCTGGGGTATCGGTGGTTTATTGAATTCTTAAAGAGTAAGTGTCTAAATTTCCTTGGATGTGCTAGTATAATGGAAATTTTTTTTTTAAAAGATCGCTTTTCTGAGGCTCAGTGTGCCTCAGAAAGTGAGGGTGTTCTTATGAACCCAGAAGTTATATTAAAAGAATAAATACTATAATCAAGTAGAGTTAGAATGTGGGAGATAGCGTAACATTAAGATATTTTATTGATGATAAAAGAAAGGGGAAAAATCACTTTAGAGATGCTAAAATTTTGAAACCAATTCTTAGTTTGTTTAAAAAAAAACAAACTTGTTAAAAAACAGAATAAAAAGTTGCTTAAAATCAATAAGACAAAAGATAACTTGCCCAGAATGAAAAATAATTTCATGGGCAATTCACAGAAAAAGAAATATAAATTTTCAGTAAATAGATGGAGAAGGCGCAGCTTCATGAATAAACAAAGAAATGTACAGTGAAAGAGTGATTTAAATTTCCTTTGCCAGACTGCTGCTGCTGCCGCTAAGTTGCTTCAGTTGTGTCTAACTCTGTGCGACCCCATAGACGGCAGCCCACCAGGCTCCCCTGTCCCTGGGATTCTCCAGGCAAGAGTAGTGGAGTGGGGTGCCATTGCCTTCTTCACCTTTGCCAGACTAAGGAAACTCAAAATTTAAATGTTTGGGGGAAAAAATTTAAAGGTTTGATAATAGCTGTTGATGGCTAGGATGTGGAGAAATTAGCATTCTGGTATGACTTTTGATACATGGTGTAAATTAGTGTAATTATTAATGGAGATGATTTGATGAATTAAATTTTAAAAAGTGCATACCTTTACTCCAGTCATTCCTCTTTTAGAAATTTAGCCAAGGTAAATACTTTGACAAATGCTCAAAGATGCAAGTGTATTAAAGGACATTCACTGTTAAATTGCTTATAATAAGGGGAAAGGTAAAAACTTATCATTAGGAAATTAAGTAAATTTTAATACTTCCATGATAAACTTGATTACAGTTAAAATCACAAGTGGAAAAAATAATACCATTTTAAAATAAAGGGAAGTTTAAAGTTTGATGACTTCTATGTTTCCTTCCATGTCTGTAATTTTATTTTTGTGTAACTACCCAGGGGTATGGTCAGCAATTCCCTGAACAGCCATTTTGCTCTTATGCTATGAAAATGATAAAATAATTGTTAACTGAATATGTAATTTCTTCTTTCAGTCCTCAGACCCTTTCTCATTTACATAGGGAGTTGAGAAACTTCATTTTTTTTTTTTTAATTTTTATTTTTTTCTTTGTTTGGCCACACTATAAAGTGCAGAAGAGTAAAATTTTGTGCTTTGTAGGCCATACAAACTCTGTCATGACTTTCTGACTCTGGTACTATGAGAGCACCCACAGACAGCGGTTAAATGAATGTGTTCCAGTAGAACTTTATTTATAGACATCAAAATTTTAATTTTGTGATTATTTTCACATGTCATGAAATGTTTGCCTTTTCATTTTTTTTCAACCATTTAAAATGTAAAAGTTATTCTTAGCATTCAAGCCATAATTTGCTGATACCTGGTTTTGGATAAATAAAAATGTTAAAAATAGCTTATTTGTGACTTAGAATGACAAATTATAGTTTTGAGGAAAGTGCTTTACTTAATTACCAGGACAACTGGACTTCATTGACAGTTTCATATGGTAAGGATTTTTTAGATAATTTCCATAGAAATGTGAGTAATTTGATGTTTTCTGTTTGTTTCAAGCTTTCTTTATGATGTGAGTCAACCATTGTCATGTTCCCTTTTCTGAAAATAAATAATTTCTATAATGGCCTCCTGTGGATATTTTCATAGTGAAATTTGTTAATATCTTACAAAGATTGTAATAGTTGCATTTTAATTAAACACTGCCACATAAATCTAGGTAGTCAGTAATCTACTTTCTGTCTTTATGGATTTGCTTATTCCAGACATTTAATATTTGGAATCATCATACAGTATTTGGTCCTCTGTGACTGGCTTCTTTTGCTTCATGTTTTCAAGGTTTATCCATATTGTAGCATATATCATTACTTCATTTTTTATTGCTGAATAATACCCATTATATAGATATACGACATTTTGTTTATGCATTTATTAGTTGTTGAACATTTAGTTTGTTTCCACTTTATAGGTATACAAGTTGTCTGTTTTGTTTTAACTTGGAATGTTTCATGAATTTGTATGTCATTCTTATGCAGGAGCAATGCTAACCTTCTGTATTACTTCAATTTTTTTTAGTATGTTTGCTGCTGAAGCAAGCATGGCATACAAGTTTTTGTATGAATATGTTTTCATTTCTCTTGGGTATATATCTAGGAATGGAATTGCTAGCTCATATGGCAATTCTGTGCTTAACCACTTGGGAAACTGCCAGATTGTTTTCCAAGGTAGCCGCACCATTTTATAATCCTATCAGCAGTGTATGAAGACTTCAGTTTCTTTTCATTCTAACCATGATTTATCTGTCTTTTTGATTAGCCATACTAGTGACAGTGAAATGGGTATCTCATTGTGATTTGATACACTTTTCCCTGATGGTTTGTGATGTTGAGCATCTGTGTTTACTGGCCATTTGTATATTATTTGTAGAAATGTCTCCAGATCCTTTGCCCATTTTTAATTGACTGATTTGTCTTTTCATTATTGAGTTATAAGAGTTCTTTATCAATTCCTGATACAAAACCCTTACCAGATGTAAGATTTGCAAAAATTTTTTCCTATTTTATGTTTTTTCACTTTATTGATGATCCCTTTGAAGCACAACAACTTTTAGTTTTGATGATGTCCAGCATATCTGTTTCTTCTTTTGTTGCTTTTATAAATGTGTGTTAAGAGTGACACCCATGGGAAACCCCATGTATCATAAACAAAAGCATCATTTCATTATTTATTTTGAATCATTGCATTATTGTGAAGGTGAGATAAAGAGGCGGGCTGGACTTTGTGACTAAAACAACAATTTTATTCACAGTCAAGAGAGGAGAGCAGAAAGCAGGCTCTTGCAGCTAAAAGAGAGAAAAGAAAAGAAAAGAGAAAAAAGAAAAAAGAGGAGCAGAAAAGAAAGCAAGAAGAAGACGAGGAAAACAAACCTAAGGAGAATTCAGAACTACCGGAAGATGAAGATGAAGAGGAGAATGAGGAAGATGGTGAGAAATGGACCATCTGAATTAATGATAAAAATTCTTTTGTGTTTATCAGCTTCATTTTGAATGTTTTTTGCTGTCAAAACTAATTCTAGTTAAATATTCAATTACTTTAATCTGAAATTGACAGATGACTTCTATATTCACTATTTCTAAGTATTTTACATTGTAAAGTGACATAGACAAACAGAAGGGGAAGACATTCAGGTGTAATTTAAGTTCCCTGTAAAAATTATGTATGTCCTAAACTGATACCATAAGAGGTTTGCCAGCTTTTCTTCAGGTTCTTCCTTACTCTCTCATTCCCCAGTTAGAAACTGGGGAGAGGTCTGGTTCCTCAGTAAACTTTTAACTAAGGTTTAGTGTTGAAGCTGTATAGCACCGGGGCCCATTACTCTCAAAGAATTGTTTATTGTACAATCTGGCAATTATAGTAACAGGCAAATGATTTTGCTCTATTTGAATTCTAATTCTAAAATGCTATTTTAAAAACTTCTTAAAAAAAAATAAAAACTTCTTAAATCCAATCTGTATTGTGATTTTTGGTTAGTTCATGAGACTAGCATTTCAAAGCTTAAGAATGTTAATGTTTTGTACTGAGTTAGACATCAAAATATGATATTTTCATTCTCACAACTATAAAGATTTATTTATTTACTAATGAATACTGATAAAAGGAAAATATGACTAAGAGTGATTTATGAATTATTAGGTATATTCTGTCACAATTTGTTTTGAGATCCGTGGCTCTCAGTGTGATTTATATCCTTTTTCATAATTTCAGTGGAGCAAGAAATTCCCATAGAACCTCCTAGTGCGACTACCACCACCACAATTGGAATCTCTGCAACATCTGCAACATTCACAAATGTGTTTGGGAAAAAAAGGGCCAATGTTGTGACAACTCCTAGCACCAACCGGAAAAATAAGAAGAACAAAACCAAAGAGACTCCTCCCACTGCACATTTAATATTACCAGAACAACATATATCCTTAGCACAGCAAAAGGCAGATAAAAATAAAGTAAACGGAGAAAGCAAAGGTGGTGGTACAGGTGGGAATAGTGATTCAGATAACTTGGACAGCACAGATTGCAACAGTGAGAGTAGCAGTGGTGGTAAAAGCCAAGAGTTAAATTTCACTATGGATGTGAATTCCTCTAGTGATAGGAGATATCCCTCACTGCTACTCCATTCCCAAGAGGAAAAGACAAGTACCGCTGCTTCCAAAACTCAGACACGGTAAAATTTTCTGACTTGTTAACTCTGCACCTACCTTTCCTTTTGCATACTTGGCACAAGAACTTGAAGTAACACAAGTTGTGTTAAACAATTTAAGTCTACCACATTATCTGTCTTCAACATTTAAAACCGGTGTCCTCCTAATCATGTGCTAGTTACGAAAAGAAATTATTAGAACTTTTAAGGTTTAATTTTGAAGTTGAAAATGTTGCATACCTTGGTTTTACTTTAATTATGTCATTTTCATTGATTATATATAGTCCTTTTGGCTTCTGAATCCATTTTAATACTAAAATAAATGAACTCTTTATCCTATTTCTGTTTTTCTGAATTGCTAATAATTTGATGTACCAAATTTTAATTCAAATATTTCAGCAAATCTCTTGAGTTTCTATCTTAAAATTTATCTTTTATTGGATTTTGATATTTCTCTTAGACTTGAAGGCGAAGTGAATCCTAATTCCTTATCAACAACCTACAAGTCAGTGTCATTGCCATTAAGTTCTCCAAACATAAAGCTGAATCTGACTAGCCCTAAAAGGGGGCAAAAAAGAGAGGAAGGATGGAAAGAAGTTGTCCGGAGGTAAGTACAATTAGTCTCATCTTTTTAACTTATCTCCTCGTTTTCTCCTCTTGTGAGATGGTTACCCAGTTAATTAATGACTAATTTGAATGTGATTTCAACTACAATGCCATACTATATCCAGAGTAGACTAAAATTAGAAATTAGAAACAGTATGTAAATTGTATATGTATATTTTATATGATACAAGAAATGTTGGCTTTAGAAAAACAAAAAATACTTTATTAAAGCATAAGATATAGCAGTTTACAGACAAATCATAGAAAAAGGTCACAAACTTCCTAAGAGAGAGATTCACTTGACAGCAAAGTCACGATGTTATTAGTGAGGGCTATGATATTTGTTTAATGGTCCCATTTTGAGTCAGACGAGTTTGTTCATCTACGGTATTTAAATAATGTTAGAGTTCGCTAAAGAACCGTTGTCTGCTTTTAACTAATGCAGTTAGATCACCGTAAAAGGTAGAGAAAGAGCTCATAAAATTAAACTTCCTTCTCCCTCAAAAAAATAAAGACAAATAGCAACACCCTACAGCTAACTTAACAATTCCTTTTATTCACACTGCTTTATACATAAACTGATGAATAAAAACAGAGAGGGACCAGTGCTTTAAAATGTTTCACACAATCCAGAAGGTATTTCAAGCCACTGCTCATGCTTTACAACAGGGAATTAGGACAAGACACAGATTTACTTGTGTGCACTTAATCACCAAAGGACTAAGATGTCTGAGGTTTTATTTTATAATTTTTCTAAGACGTTTTGTCCATTAGAAGCAAACAGAAAAGGAAGAAGTCTTGGCAGAACAGGAGAAATGATGTGCACTTAATAATTAGATTGATTTAAGTATTATATTATTTATGGCCTAGTCTATGCTCTAGCTTTCAAAATGTCTAAATATAGTCTTCCCAATTTGTCTACATTATCATATTAAATTTTGATCATGAAATGTATTTTAGAGTCTGCAATTGGCTATTCTTCTGGAAGGTATAGTTCAAAGCTTGAGGGTGGAATCTTCAAGAGGAGAATCTTGACAGCCAGCAGTGACCACATGAAAATAATGGATGTTGCTTTCATTTGGTGCTGCCAGCAAACACTGGGTTTCCACAGTAATCCTGCAAGAGAGCCAGGCCATCTTGTCAGATCCCAGTGTCAGCCTCTGGTGTTCTAATTCCACTTGCCTCACACAAGTGGAATTCACATACTTGTGAATTGCTTTTTATGTAATTCAACTCCGAGGCTTATTGCTTAGTAAAGTCGTTGAAACTGATAACCTGCCTGTATTCATTTTCATATAGAGTTTAACAAAAATGTGGTATGCATTATTTTAATTTTGAAAGTATCAATATATATGATCATTGTCATTCAGTTAACGTGATAGTTTGAATGCTGAGATCATGAGTGACTTAAGTATAATTTTTTCAAATGGCAATGTGTTTTTCATCTTTACTAAATTAAGTTCAATATAATAAGAGGTCAGTTTCTAAATAAAACCTTCTAATAACTTCCTCTTTAAGGTTTGATAAATAGTATTCTCCAGATGTTCATGAACATACTTACTGAGACATGTTTTTTTAATAAACATTTTGATTTCATATGCTCATGTGTGTGGTCTTCATTTTATAGGTCAAAGAAATTATCTGTTCCAGCCTCAGTGGTTTCCAGAATAATGGGAAGAGGAGGATGCAACATCACTGCAATTCAAGATGTTACTGGTGCCCACATTGATGTGGATAAACAAAAAGATAAGAATGGCGAGAGAATGATCACAATTAGGTAATTGTGAAATATATGTGTGTGTGTGTGTGTGTGTGTATATATATATATAGTTAGTTCTGTGAGGAAGTTAAACTGTATTAGAAGCACATTTTTGTTAGCCATGGTACAATCAGAATTTTATTTCGTGGTAAAGATTACCTAGTTTTTTATGATTTTGATCTTGTTTTGTTTTTTGTTTGTTTTCTCCCCAGGGGTGGTACAGAATCAACAAGATATGCAGTTCAACTTATTAATGCACTTATTCAAGATCCTGCTAAGGAACTGGAAGACTTGATTCCTAAAAACCATATCAGAACCCCTGCCAGCACCAAAGCCATTCATGCAAACTTCTCATCTGGAGTAGGCACCACAGCAGCTTCCAGTAAAAATGCATTTCCCTTGGGTGCTCCAAGTCTTGTAACATCACAGGCAACAACATTATCCACGTTCCAGCCCACTAATAAACTTAATAAGAACGTTCCAGCAAATGTACGTTCTTCTTTCCCAGTTTCTCTCCCCTTAGCTTATCCCCACCCGCATTTTGCCCTGTTGGCTGCTCAAACTATGCAACAGATTCGGCATCCTCGCTTACCCATGGCCCAGTTTGGAGGAACCTTTTCACCCTCTCCTAACACTTGGGGACCATTCCCGGTGAGACCTGTGAATCCTGGCAACACAAACAGCTCTCCAAAGCATAATAATACAGGCCGTCTACCTAACCAGAACGGAACTGTTCTGCCCTCAGAGTCTACTGGACTAGCTACTGCCAGTTGCCCTATCACTGTCTCTTCTGTAGTTGCTGCCAGTCAGCAACTATGTGTGACTAATACCCGGACTCCTTCATCAGTCAGAAAGCAGCTGTTTGCCTGTGTGCCTAAGACAAGCCCTCCAGCAACAGTGATTTCTTCTATGACAAGCACTTGTAGTTCCCTGCCTTCAGTCTCCTCTGCACCTATCACTAGTGGGCAAGTTCCCACCACATTTCTGCCTGCAAGTACTTCTCAAGCACAGCTTTCTTCACAAAAGATGGAGTCTTTCTCTGCCATGCCCGCCCCCAAAGAAAAAGTGTCCATACAGGACCAGTCCACAGCAAACCTGTGTCCCCCCTCTTCAACTGCCAACAACTGCAGCAGCTCTGCCAGCAACACCCCAGGAGCTCCAGAAACTCACCCATCTGGTAGTCCCACTCCTCCGTCCAATAACACACAGGAGGAAGCACAGCCATCCAGTGTGTCTGATTTAAGTCCTATGTCAATGCCTTTTGCATCTAATTCAGAACCTGCTCCATTGACTTTGGCATCACCTAGATTGGTTGCTGCTGATAATCAGGATACCAGTAATTTACCTCAGTTAGCTGTACCAGCACCTCGAGTTTCTCATCGATTGCAACCCAGAGGTTCTTTCTACTCAGTGGTACCAAATGCAACTATACACCAGGATCCCCAGTCCATTTTTGTTACAAATCCAGTTCCTTTAACACCACCTCAAGGCCCACCAGCTACAGTGCAGCTTTCTTCAGCCATGAACATTATGAATGGTTCTCAGATGCACATTAACCCAGCAAATAAATCTTTGCCACCTGCGTTTGGCCCGGCCACGCTTTTCAATCACTTCAGTAGTCTTTTTGATAGCAGTCAGGTGCCAGCTAACCAGGGTTGGGGAGATGGTCCTCTGTCCTCACGAGTTGCTGCAGATGCCTCTTTCACTGTTCAGTCAGCATTTCTGGGTAGCTCTGTACTTGGACACTTGGAGAATGTGCACCCTGACAATTCCAAGGCACCTGGCTTCAGATCACCTTCCCAGCGAGTTTCTACTAGTCCAGTTGGTAAGCTATTGGTAACTGTCATGACTGCGCAATTTTGGGCTTTAACAGCATAATCTAACCTTCCAAAGATGATAAAGCATTTCTTTTATACATAATGTTTATTGCATGATCATGAAGAAATAAGCGTATATCGTAAACAGTAAAGACCCCTTAATGACTGCTGATTGAATGGACAAAAAACTAGTTGTAGGTAAGTCATTCAAATATGAACTGCTTTATATCCTTTTTTATGATCTCTCTGTACCTGTTATCAAGGAAGTTACACCTTGTGTCAGTTCATTTTCTTAGAATTGATACAATATATTCATATAAAGGACCCATAGGATGCTTCAAGGATTCCAAATTCACAGACATTTTTAAAATCAAAGTGAGTGTTTGCATTTCTTAGATTTAAAAAGGTTGAGTTACAATTCAGAATCTACATTCTTTGTTTTCAGTCATGGACACTCAGAATGAATATTAAATGATGTCTTAACCCATCTTGTTTATAGTAGATGGAGCTGCTTGAAGAGATCCAGTCGTGTATGTGCTCTTATTTTTAAAAAACAATTTCAAATCAGCTCTTTGTTCCTTGAAATTAGAAATTAGCTGCTGAGGCAGTATAAGAAAGATTTGGAAAGATAAGAAGCTAGTGGTGGCTCAGAGATATTTGGAAAGCCAGAATCCATTTTCCAGAGTCTAAGGGCCAAAATTGTGTTCCAGTCTGCTCTATTATGCTCTGATTTAGTCCAATCTGCTCTAATAAATGCTAAAAGACAAATTAGAAATTGTGGCTGACCTAGAATGGGGGTAAGAAGTAATAGTGCCACTTATTTAGCATTTTTTTTTCCAGTTGGAAAACTTCCCAGAGCCCATTTCCTTTTTATTAATTATAAACTAAGTTGTTTAAAATTTGTGAGTTTACTAATATGGCATAGCCTTAGCATTTCTATCAGATACATTTCCATTTACTTACCTTTTCAGGAAAACATAGCTGTTATATCGTCCCTCAAATAGAAATAAATGTTACATAAGACCATCCGTGGCCAAAAATATTAATCTCCAAGATTTTTTTTTTTCTTCTTTTCTATAAATAGGTACTACTTTAACTTTTCATTTTGGTCAAACTAATAAAGTTTTCAGAGGCCTCAGGATGAAAGAAGAGCTCATTGCCAGTGCTCAGACTGTGGTAAAATTTAATTAATTTTTAAATTAATCCTTCACATGACTGGCACTAACTAATACGTGAATTTAGATGCCTTAGCTAGAGTTGAGCTTGAGATCTTTCATATTCCAGTGTTTGAGTTCTTTGTACTCTAATACTATATCCCAGAAGATGTGCAGATTATGAATGACTGGAAAAAAGGAAGTCAAGGAAATCATCCATCTAATTTGGTAGTAAACCAGGTTTGGGATCCTTATTATTCAGGTCTGTAACATCAAAATTACTTATTACTAATTTAAAAAGAATATATATTTTTTTAAAGCAAGCATTAATCCTTGACCTTCCTTCCAGGGTCCAGGATTGATTAAGTTTGGCTTCATTTCTTAACTGCCTGGGTGGTTTCTTTTGTTGATATTCTTCTTTCAAAAGACACGAAAGCATGTAGAGAAATTGGAACTTTCTAACTCTGCTGGCAGAAATTTAAAATGTTACAGCCACTTTGGAAAAATAGTTCCTCAAGAAATTAAAAAGGGTTACCATATGATCCAGTAATTCTTCTCCTAAGTATACCCAAGAGAAAACACATGCCTACACAAAAACTGGTATACAGATGCTCACAGCAACACCATTCATAATAGCCAGAAAGTGGAAACAATCCAATGTCCATCAGTTGATGAATGGAAAACAAAATGTGGTGTATCTATATAATAAGATATTATTCTCAGTATAATGTATATTCGGTATTATGAGATAAAGAAATGGAGTAGTTATTTGTGCTATAACACAGATAAACTTTGAATGCATTTTGCTAAGTGAAAGAAGCCAGTCACAAATGACCACATATTGTATAATTCTTTTTATATGAAATTTCTAGAATAGGCAAATCTAGAGGAAAAAAAATATATTAGTAGTTGCTTAAAGGTTCAGATATGGATCAGGTAAAGGAGGATGGAGAGTGACAGGTAATGCATACATTTTCTTTTAGTGTGAACAAAAATGTTCTAAAATTGACTATGGTGATGGTTGCACAGCCCAGTGAATATACTAAAGCCTTTGAATTAAAGACCTGCCTGAGAAGTTTTGAATTTTTTACGTTGATGTTAACTACTTTTTCCTGAAATGAGCACCTATAATCCTTTTCCAGATCCTTGCCCTCTTTCCCTACTACATTCTCAAGAGAAAGCAATGGAATTTGAGAAGACTATCAAATTCAGACTTAAGTAAACTAGATATTGATAGAAATTTTGATGTAGTTTGCAACTTTTGATTTTTTTTTTATAAGATGGAGTTCTGAAATTATCTTTAATTTAATAGTATGCTTTTTCTCCTTGTTAGGAAGAAAAAAATTGGTAGATTTTGTTATTCATCTTGCATAGGAAATGACTATAGTTATAGAGATGAATAGCTATTCTTCCAAGTAATAGGTAACACTTAGTCACAACATGCTGTCATTTCATATCCCCTCCAATGAAGGCTTTGAAATTTATCTGAAACATACTCCAGGTGACTGCCATTCCTAAACACTGGACTTTCTATATCTAGTGTTGCCTGGGGTATTCTTCTCGACTGCAAGAAAAAAAAATGGGTTTGGGACATATAGTGTGGTATAAATGGATTCTTGTTGCTGTGATCCACAGAATAAACTGTGTGCTTTCTTCTTTTTTAAAGAGGAATTAAGTAAACTTTGGACTTTCATTTTTTAAAGCCTTAGCTAATTTGATGTCTTGGACCTGTTTTATTTCAGGATTACCGTCCATTGACCCATCAGGCAGCTCCCCATCTTCTTCTGCTCCTCTGACAAGTTTTTCCAGCATACCAGGAACTCGGGTTTTCCTGCAAGGGCCAGCTCCTGTTGGGACCCCTAGTTTCAACAGACAACATTTTTCTCCCCACCCTTGGACGAGCGCCTCAAACTCATGTAGGAATCCTGGAGGAAATCATCCCAAAAAGCCTCTAATAAGTTATTAAGTCATTTGTTATAGGGAACACCATATTGTAATTTTAAGTAATCTTAAGTTTTATGCAAATACCCAAGGTTTGTATTGCAGTCATGTCCCAAATTATCAGTCATTGAAGGGTCAGGCTATTCTTTCAAGCCAGATTTGAGGTTACACTGAAACTTGGATCAAGAAAAGAGGTACAAAGAAAAGAGAGAAACTGAGGAAGAAGCTGCTCAAACCCTTTTGGTTTGAGTTCAGCTTTTTTGTATCCTCTATTTTCTGATGAACCATGGCATTTTTATCAAGAGTCACCTCTTTTAGTATCCAAACCACCACCTAAGGATCTAGTTACTTTATAGCAATCTAAGCATTATTTGTTATTAACTCATTCAGTATATCTGCCTTGAGTTAAAAAAAAGAGAAAATAAAAAGGGATGTAGTTTTATAATATGCTTTGAGGACAGTATTGTGAAATGGTTTTATTTAAATATCTAATCAGTTTGGTATGATTCCTTGTTTATTTTTACATTTAAGGAAACTATTGCCATTTATAAGTAAAAATATTCCCCCATTCTGACTTATTTATTTCAATATTTTGAATAGATGAAGTTCTAAAATGACGTGAACAGGATTTGATTTTTTTTTTGATGAGCATCATGAGGTAGTCAGTGAATATTGGTCCTTTGACAAAAGAACTTCAGCAAGAATAAATAGGACCTTTCTTTCTAGCCTTGTTCAGTTCAATTAAAAAAAGTTTTTTTTAGACTATTTGTACTTGCTTCAGGCATTAGTAGTATAGGATAATATTTATAGAACTCATTTATTTTCATTTGAATGATCTTGCAAAATGAAAAATTTCTTTCCAGAACCTGTGTTATGGAATAGGTCTTTCCAACAAGGTTTCTCATATTTTTATAATTTGAATTTTTATATGTAATAAAACAATAGAGAAATATTTTGCCACCAGGTGACTCTCCTATTCCATCTGTTTCTTCGGGATCATCTTCACCTCTTTCAGCCACTTCTGCCCCACCAACATTGGGCCAACCAAAAGGAGGCAGTGCCAGTCAGGATCGAAAAATCCCTCCCCCCATTGGAACAGAGAGACTAGCCCGGATTCGACAAGGAGGGTCTGTCGCACAAGCCCCTGTGGGAACCGGTTTTGTCGCTCCTGTTGGACACAGTGGAATCTGGTCATTTGGGGTCAATGCCATGTCAGGTACAGTTACAGTGCCCTCTGTCTGGAGGGATATCTTGAGTAAAGTGTGAGATTTTGCCTTTTAAACTTAGTTCCTTATCTAAATAAATAAGCTTAATTCCTACACTTAACCAATAGGATTGTTTAAACCTTTGAGGAGCCCAGTCCAGTCTCAAAGTCTGGAATGTTTGTTGGGGTTATATATTAATAATAGATGTAATGTGTATGATAGTAATAAATATAAAATAATAAATACAGAGTTGATTAGAAATTAAAAGCATACTTCCTTTCCCTCTTAAGCTTTTCATTGGAGAGTGGGACAATTATTTGATTTCTTTCAGAGAGCATTTAATCTTTTGAAGGACAAGGTAGAGTGTTTGGGATATTCCGAAGACTACATCCAGTTACAGGAACTTGGTTTTTTTTCAGATTGCAAAGATTTTTATGAATGTGTCCTGAGCTACCAAAGGAATGCTTTTGATTAAATTTAGTATGAAAAACTCCAGTGGTAATGTTTTGCTATTTTATCCAGATAAATATCTAACTCTTGAATTCAATTCTTTTTTCTAGAAGGCTTATCAGGTTGGTCACAGTCTGTGATAGGGAACCATCCAATGCATCAACAATTGTCAGACCCAAGCACATTCTCTCAGCATCAGCCAATGGAGAGGGATGATTCTGGAATGGTAGCCCCCTCTAACATTTTTCATCAGCCTATGGCAAGCAGTTTTGTGGATTTTTCTAAAGTGAGTTGACAGACATCATTGTAACTTGTTTAACACTTTGCCAGCCAGTGTAGTCACATGTTAAGGAGTAATTTGTACTAAAATAATTCTCCTTTTTGGTATAACTAGTTTGTTTCTATGAATTTGTCAGATCTTTTATCTGTTTTCAAAAGTGGGTTATGTTGTTTACATTAGTTTGTCCTTGAACTATCCTGAAGATGCTGCCATCTTCTTTCCAAACTTGGAAGATTTGACTTTTGCTGCTTTGCATCTGGCTGCCACAGCTGAGAAGGGAGGCCTCTCCCTCTCTGGAAAGCTGGCTCTGAGCTCACCATTGCTTTCTTGTCTGCTCTGAGAGCTTCCAGGCTGCCATAAGGCCAGATTGTGGCTGCAAGCTATCACGTAGAATTCACTTTTCTTAGCACAAGCTTATTAGTAAATCTAAAATGTGGGAAAGTTGGGGTATTATATGTTCATAAAATATTGGAAATTTCCCAATCTTTGAATATTGGATTTAGTTGTTTTCTCTATCATCATTGAAAAAGTGTTGCTGATGTAGATAACTACTTTCAGTTTCTCAACACTGTACAGTGGTGCTATACATACCACATACTCTATAGAGTTCTTTGAATGAAGGGAAATGAGAGAGATCTATGCTGGTATTATGGAATCATCATTTATAGTCACTTCATGATTACACCTTTCTGCTGTTTTAGGGTCTACCAATTTCCATGTATGGAGGCACCATAATACCCTCCCATCCTCAGCTTGCTGATGTTCCAGGAGGCCCTCTGTTTAATGGACTTCACAACCCAGATCCTTCTTGGAACCCTATGATAAAAGTTATTCAAAATTCAACTGAATGCACTGATGCCCAGCAGGTAATGAACTTAATGCTCTTTTATTTTTCAGATTTATCATGTCATCCTTTTAATTCTTTGGGTAATAACAAGTTCTGAATATCAAAAGTCAAGACATCTTACCACTTTGATCTGAATTAAGTTTTTCAATATCAAAATGATGCTACTTAACATTTTGTTTCATGTACTGTATTCTTTCTAGGCAGAAACAGTGAATTGCCATTGCATTTATATATTCGTTTTGTAAATGTCTAAAGATTCCTAATTAGAAATTCCAATTTTTCCTCCCCCTTTTCAGATTTGGCCTGGCACGTGGGCACCTCATATTGGAAACATGCATCTCAAATATGTCAACTAAGTTAGACGGTCTTACTCTTTAGCCTTGTTTGAGAAATTTTGACCTTGGAAGAACCCTGGGGATTTTTTTTTAATGTGCCTAAGAAATTTTCTCTGAGGCTTTAGCAATGGAAATTTGATTGCCCATTGTATAAGAACAAATTGATTTCCTAACCACCTGATTATGTTCTCTGGTTAGTTTAGTCATTTTGAAATTAGTGCTTTGGGCTAAACATACTGAATGCTACTTGTATGCAGAAAAGAATTAGATGATTACATATTTCAACCTTTTAGGGTGGTAAATACATGTACAATTGTTTACATACTTAAAAGGAAAAAGTTGAGTAAATTTCTTGTCATATAGTGGCTCTACTTAATGTAGCCTGTATTAATGTGAAATATTTACCAGAATATTCAATAAAAAGATGAACAGTGTTTAGAAGTGGGGTGTGATCCTTTCAGTGGTCATGCAGGTACTGCCCAATCCACAATCATATTGAACCAGGTTGTTAATACTATATTTGTAATAGGCTTCTCACATTTTACACTTTTAGAGTCCATTCTTAGATTGCCTTGCAAAAGCACTTCTAGAATGAGTTGTATACTTAACTCTGTTAAACATTCCTTGTTTATGTTTCGAGCCCCTGTATCCTATCTGATTTTAGCAGATAGGCCATTAAAAGGTTTAGCCCTTTGTGGATCATATGAGTATGTTAATAAGAACAATAGGATTTCAGTCAGATGACACTGAACAAACTTAAGATACCCAGATCACCTTTCAGATTCCTTTTGTGCTTCCTGATTTTTTAATCTAAAGATTTATTTTGGTTATAGGTGTTTAAGTTTTGAGTTGGGACATAGGAGGGGGTGGGGTGACTCATATAATTCTGTTATATTGTCAGATCAGCTGAATGTTTATAAATATGTGACTAATTCTGAGCTTAGTTTCATGAAGAGCCAATATGGTGAACAAGCTAAACTCAGGAACCCTGGAATGGATTGCTTTGGCCAAACTATAGGCTATGCCAAGAATTTGATGCAATAGAGAAAAAAAAACTATCCCAGTGAAAAGAACAGTCATCAACTTGTTCATGTTGTAATGTGGTTGAATTACTTGGTCTTAGATAAAAGCAATCTAAAAAATAAAATGTTGGAGACTGATAGAGAAGCCAGAACATACTTTAAGGCAAAGAAGGTTGCACAGAAAAATAGTAACTAGGAGCACAGCCATACCAGAAACATTTTTCTACTCTCATACCAACAGGAGTTCTTAATTTTCTCTGCCCTTCTCCTAGAGCCACCACTAGATGAGACACACCATGTTTGTTCTATCTTAGACATACCTGGTTCTTTTTCTTTTTTTTACATACCTGGTTCTTTTGTCTTCTATATCATATTGCATATGAAAGATTTCTTATTTTCTATTTTGATTGGATTTAGAAATTATCACTGGTGTTGAAGCTGTTGCCTTTGTAGTGCTTAATAACCACATCAGGTAATCTGAAGAGACCTCACCTTGAGGGGAACAAAGGACCCCTAGGATCACCTACATATCTTGCTGTTTCCAGTTATCACTAATAACAAACAAACCAAAAGAAAAAATCGCCTAATATTAGTGAAATGAATGGAACTATTTTTGATGAAATGTATAGTGAGAGATAATATTAAGTAAATTATTCAGTGGGACAAAAATTAAGTGGTGGTCTATCCTAACTAATTAAAGTACATTTGAATTTTTGGAAGAGCTCTTCCAATATCTTCTACACCCTGAGGACAACAGAATGAGAAACTTGATCTCAGGTTAGGAACTAGAACCCATAAGAGGATACAATTATGAGAAACCCCTAGGAGGATTAGGAACAAATAGCAGCTGTGCAGTTTTTAGCAGTTATTTAGGATACCCTTCTTCCTGCCCTCTTTATCTGTACTGCCTTCTTTTCTATTTGAATCCCAGTAGCCTACTCCCCACTACATTTTGCCTGCTATAATCTCTTCTTCCTCTGTCTTGCCTCTTCCTGGCATTACTTTACTGCTATTTTACCAACCTGAACCTTGGATTAAATCTAGCTCAGGTAAGAACTTAATTACTTTCAAATATACAAGGGATTTGCGGGGAGGCAGAGCGGGTAGAGTGGAACAAGTGTCAGAAAACTAAGTTCTCTTTTCATTTCTGCTACTCAATACTGTGTGACCTTAGGCAAGTCATTTCTCATCTCTGGGCTTCACTTTCCTCATCTGAAAATGAAATTTAGTATAACTGAACTCAAAAGGGTCTCCTAGTTCTAACAGATTTACTTGTCTCATGAATGAGAATATGTGGTATAGGACTGCTAGAAGCTGATACATGGCTGAGGTTTGAGAGCCCCTACCATTTGGAATCAAAAGCCTGCTGTTGTGAGAGCCATTATTGATTTTGGGGATTTATTGGAGGCAGAAGAAAACCTTGCACATCCATAGTGAGCCTTCAAGTCATTAAGAAACATCCTGCTGAAACAAAAGAAAAAATAAAAGGAACATCCTGCTGAGGCATAGATCAAACCCTATGAATAAGAGCTCATTCAAGAAATAAAACTATCATCAAGGTTTCTGAACCTACTTATTTCAAGTAGTGTTCAATAAAATAAAATACCACCACCAATAACAGTATTGATGTTTTTAAGACCCTTTAAACCTATTATGGCTACAGTGTGCTGACTTGCCCTTTTATAGGCCAGTCTGCTTCCTTCAGTCCCTGCTCTCAAAGGGGAAATTTCATCACCTCAGCTAACCAGACCGAAGAAGAGAGTTGGACAGCCAATGGTGGCCTCTCCTAACCAGAGGTAAGAGATCTCAGGACCTGGAACTATAGTTTCCATCTTGTAAATTCTGACCAAGTCTTCCCAACCTCAAAATTAGTATAGGAGGTACCATCCTTAGTTTGAGGTGGCTTTTAGAAGGGGAAAGGCTGATCATATTAGAGTTTCAAGCCAGACAGGGAGGAGTACTTAGTATACATGGTTCTGTCCCACTGTTTTAAGACCTTTGTACCACATTGTAAACCTAGGAAGAGGCAAACAAACTGTATGAAAACAGCTTCTGAACATCTTGTTCTCTAACTAGTCCTGGAGCTCTTCTACCAAGAAATGTGGCTGGTTGTGACATCTTCCCAGTGGACCCTGTCCTGGGGTGAGGGACTCTAATAATGCTGCATTTTCTATTCATGCTCAAAAGATTTGTCACCATGTGTCAATGTTATTGACAGGTTACTTTGCCTTCACTCTCTCCTGTAGGAAGTGGTTGAGTATCCAAAACTTAAGTGTGTTAAGACCACATCCAATAAAGGCAGGAGCCTGAGCTTGAAGACCTAATTTGGAAAACAAGATTGTAAATCTAATGATGAGATTGCAAACCTATTTTGTGATTGCTTTTCATCTCTTCCTGTCTTATTTTAATGATACTGATGTTAGTTCAAAGTACTTTGCCTGGTGGCAGAGACCTGGTATTTCCCTACAGGTGTAATCAGATCTCTGAGTTTAAGTTGTTTTTCTTTTTAAAGCTCCTGTACTCTAATGGTCAATAAGTGTTGACAAAACCCTCTGATTCAAGCTCTTTCTTAGTCCTTCATGCAGGTTGAATGGATGACAGATCTGGCTTTCTCTCTAAAATCCAACTACCTATTCTCTAGTTCCCCAACCCTTGTAGCACAGTGTCTCAAGAAAAGTAAGCTTCTGGTGGTAGTCTTATAGTAGTAGAAACTGCTGCTGTTGTTCTATAGAAGAGATTAATAGATGGGAGACCTCACTTCCATACTGATCCTTCTTAACAAACTTTGACACTTGTCTCCTAGTTCTGCTCTCACTCATCTTTCCCAGTCTCTTTTGGTGAAATCCTCTTCCTCTACTACCCCTTAAAGAAATGTTGATGTGCCCAGGTCTCTTTTGGTGTATCTTCTCCCCAAGGAATCTCATCCCACAGCCTTAGATTTTTACTCCACCCAAATCTGAATCACTAGCCCAGAGTTCTCCCTCTGTAGCTTCAAATCTGTACATCTGGCTCCTTATTTAACATTCTCCAGTGTTTTCCATCTGAACATTCCACACACATTATATACTCCCCAATATAACATATGCCCCTCCCCTTGTTTTCCTTATTATATTAGTTGGTACTATAAACTACCAAGACTCTCAAGTCAAAAGACTGGGAATTATCCTAGTTTATCTCCTTCCCACCCTACCCTTAAGTCAATCACGTTATCCTTACTCCTCTGTATATCTGGATCCCCTTCACTTCTCTCCATCCTCTCAGCCACTGTCTTGCCCACCCCGTTTCACTAGGCTGGAGTCTTCACCTTCAGTCTCACTATCCTCCATCCCATCTCTCACTCCCCTCATTAGACTACTTACCTTGCTTAAAAGTTGAGTTGTCATAGACGGTTCCTCACAATCTGATCCCAAGCTTTATGCTACAGCACTTATTGTTAAAACACTTCTTTCAGGCATATACCACTTTCTAAGAGACTCAAAAGCCTTTTTGGAACAGTAAAACATCCTTGCTACCTAAAGTGTGATTCTAAGGACATTGCAAACCTAAGGGTCTGCATCACCTGGGAGTTTATTAAAAGCCTAGAATTTCAAGTTCTAATTACTGTATCAGAATCTTCATTTTAGTAAGATCTCCAGGTGATTTATGACTTGTAAAATACCATGTTTTTTTTTTTTTTAATAAGTAAAGAAATCAGAGCTGAAGGAAAATTTGGTGAAGCCAGAGCTGAAGTAATACTGATAAATGCATGAAATCAGGTGGCTGGAGGAGAAGGGAGACACTGGTGAAGGGTATACTGATTTTGAGGAAGCCAAACAGCAAACAACTAGATCAAGTTGAGATTTTTAATGTACTCGACTTAGTACTTACTCTCTCACCATCTCTGTCTTGCCTCCTTTCATATCACCGTGCCTACATCAAAAAATCTCTTTAAAGGCCACTCTTGGGTCAGTGGTTAAGACTCCACACTTCAGTGCTTCCTGAAGCACAGGGAGCTTGGATACCATCCCTGATTGAGGAATAAGATCCTACGTGCTCGGAGACTTGGGGGAAAAAAAAAAAGCAGCCACACTATCTTGCCAGAGGGCTAAAAAACCAAGCCCTCCTCTCCAGGCCCCAGCCCTTCTTTAGTTTTCTGAGGTTGTGAAGTTAGCTAGGAAAGATTAAAGGCAGGAGAAGGGAATGACAGAGAATGAGATGGTTGGATGGCATCACCCACTCAATGGACATAAGTTTGAGTAGACCCTGGGAGTTGGTGATGGACAGGGAGGCCTGGCGTGCTGCAGTCCATGGGATCGCAAAGAGTCGGATACAACTGAGAGATTGAACTGAACTAAGGCTAGCTGTGGCAGAGATCAAAGAACAGGCCTATAGTATCTTCCAACCTTTATTTATCCTTTAATCAGCCCACTTATTCCTCAACTAATGTCTGTGCACCAGGCCATTAAGGCACTTTAACCCTGTACTGAAACTGATTAATGGGGGGCATAATAGCTGTGCTTAGGGGCACACACTTGAATCAGACACACTCAAGTATGAATCCCATCTCCCGCTCCTAATACAAGATCCGTGACTTCCAACCATGACCTAACCTCTCTGGGCTTTGGTGTCCTCACTTGTAACTGTAACTAATAAGTGTCTTTACTATCCAACTGTTAAGAGGAATGGATGAATACAAGCAAAAAACGTGTGCCATACCTCACGTGTTCCCAGCACCCGCTGGAAACAGTAAATAGTAAATGACTGAGTTTTTGCAGCGCTCATAGGCAAAAGCAGGCCGGCCTGTTTGGGGCCAGGAGGAACTGGAGGCCACTGCGGGTCCCGGGACAAGCTCCAACTTTCGTTGAGTTTGGGGCTTGCTCCCGCGAGGGTAGGGCGGGATCTTCGGGTTGAGTGACAGCCGGCCCGCCCCCGGCGTGACGTCGTCCCGGTGTTGTGGCTGCAGCCGCACGTGGTAGAGTCCGCCACAGACTCCGCTCTGCGTCCTCAGCACCAGCCGCTGCCTTCCTGCTCTTTCCGTTCTCTATGTCCTCATCCACAAGCTGCCCGATTCCTGGGGGCAGGGAAGGACTGCCCGACTGCTACAGCAGCACGCCGGGGGGCACGCTATACGCCACTACCCCCGGAGGTCAGAGGGCCGGGCCAGGGTCGATAGGCAGCAGGCAGGCCTGCGTGTGCTTGTCGCGGGACGTGGGCGGGGAGGTGCGGGCTTGGAGTTGTCTGCAGGCCCCGTTGCAGGTTTTAGCTTTTGGCGGGGTGGGTTCTTGGAACCTAAGCTCGGTTCCCTAAAACCTCAAAGTGATGCAAAATGGCCTTGTGCCTGTTTTCTGGGTGACTCTGGGCAGATATCACTGCGGCCTGGGTTCTGGGCTCCTTGTTCACCTACCCCTGCCAGTATTGCCACCTGGGAGCTAGAGCAGGAGCTTTGGCCCCTCGGCTGTGTGGCCTCAGCAGGAAGCAACTGGGTTTTGCAGAGCTGCAAGTGTTGGGGATCAGGGGCTGGAGGTGGGAGCAGTCCGGGGCAGGGGCTTTAGGCCGCTGCGCTGGCTGGCTTGCCTAGTGGATGATTGGTGAAGCAGCCTGGAATCATACCCACTCTGGGATTCTTGCCAGACAGGCAAAGGGGAGGAGTGAGAAGAGGATAGGGTCTTGTGAGGACACAGCAGGGGCCAAGTCCTCTGGACTGAGGTGAGCCTGACAGGACTTGGGAGGGGTCAGGATGAGAAGGGCCTGTTCCTGGGTTTCACAGGAGGAGCAATGCCCCTCCCTTTCCGAGCCCAGGTGGCAGTGCTAGCCTTCACATCTGTTCTTTGGCTTCCTCATCCAACTGAGGCTGAAGGGCTAGGCCCTACCTTTTGAACCAAATAGGTGAAGTTCAGAGCCAGCAGAGGACAGGAACCTCCAGAAGTTCTTGAGTTCCAAGTCTGGTGGTGCTCCTGGAGCCCCCCTAAACCAAAAGCCCCTGCCTAGACCAGCTGGGATGCACCACTTGCTCTATGGTGCTCAGACATATCTTGGTTAGGCCCAGAAGCCTTCAAGTGCTGTGAGGGCTAGTCAGCTGAGATCCTGACTGGGCTGCAGAGCAGTAGCCCTTAAGAAAAGGAAAGATGTGACCCCTTGGCCCTTTAAAGACCTGTCTGGGGTCCCAAATAGCTTTGTACCCAAGCTCCTGCCTCTTACCTAGCCCCTACCCCTTGACAGGCACCAGGATCATCTACGACCGAAAGTTCCTGCTGGAGTGCAAGAACTCACCCACTGCCCAGACGCCTCCCTGCTGCCTCCCTCAGATTCCCGGGGTCACAGCTCCTCCAACAGCCCCACCCCCCAAGCTAGAGGAGCTGACGGAGCAGAAGGAGACAGAGGAAGAGATACCCGGTAAGGAAAGCAGGACCTAAAATTTTAATATGGCTTTGAAGCCAAAAGCCCCAATTATGTAGATTGGGGGCGGGGGTCAGTTCTGAGGGGGCTGTCTGAATTAACACTGAGGCTGTAGACTGCCAGCCCAGCAACCAGTCCTCCCGCCCTTTCTCTCCCCAGATGATGCACAGTTTGAAATGGACATCTAATCCCGTGCAGATGACCACGTGTGGAATGAGAGGAATCCGTCGGGCTGCTGCCGCTACCTCCTTTCTCTGGGGTATCCAAAGGCCTGCTGGCCTCATCTAATCCGGGAGGGGGTGATCTGTTGGTTCTGGGCCTCCATGTTGGGTCTGAGGCAGCTAGACCAGGGATAGGAGCGGGCAACTTGCCAAGCCCTTAGCTCTACTTTCTCTTTGGTCTGTAGGCACTCCTCCCAACCCCTGGCACTGGGCTCCAGCTGAGGCTGGGCCAGGGGAATGGAGAATGTCACTTTCTGACTGCTTAGTAAACATTCAAAGAAATGCCTTGGCTCCAGTGTTCTCCTCAATGTTGATCTTCCCAGCTCAGCCATACTGTAAGGGCCCAGCAAACCTGGTTAGGATCAGAGGTCCCAGGTCCCTTCCTAGCTCCCTCTGGGCCCACTTTCAGCAGCAATTAGACCCTGAGGCAGGCTTTGGGGACAGGCCATAGGAGCTGCCAAACCATAAACAGCAATAGCCTGACCCCTGCCAAGGGCAGTTCCAGCCTTTCCAGGAAGCACCATTGCCGGAATCAGCCTCTCTAGTAGTCCCTCCCTAGTTGTTTCAAAGCAGGAAACAAGACGCACTGCCCCAGCCTACAGCCTTCTTTGGTCTTTCCCCATGCCTTTTCTGCCTCCCACCTGTAAGTACCAACCTTATTCCAACACTGAAAACCTGTACTCTGCCTTCTCACAGCATGATGTGAACCTCCTGGCCCCTTCCACCTGGTTCTGTTGTCCTCAAAGTGTTAGAAGACCTTAGGGCCCAAACCGAGGCAGCAGCTTATTTGGTGAGTCAGATAAAGAGTCATAATCCTGCTCCCCCTCCCCTGCCCCCATGGGGAAAAATCATGTTCCCATATTGCAGCAATCTGGTCTTTTTCACCTTCAGTTTATATAGCTATGTTATAATCTCTGTAGCACTTGCATATGTCAAGGGTGGTGCAATGCAAATAAGCAGTCTCCTCCTTTTGAGAGAAAAAAATCTCCCCATGCTATTTGAGCCTCTGTTTCCATGTTGAAACAAAGTCATCCAAACATAGATGACTCAGCCCAGAAAGGGATGTATGTTTCCATGTAATTTGGGGGAAAGTGGCAGGTGATAATCTACTCATGCTTAGCAAGGCCATTCATGATGAATAGAGGAAAACGAGGAGCAGAGTAGTCAAGGACACCAGAGGGAACATAGGAAGGGCTCATCTCTCCTACCCAGGGCCCACTGTATTGAGATGTTTTTATTGAAATGCATATGGTATCGTAACAAGCAACTTCATTGTGGTCCAGGTGGGACCTCTTCCCCCAGAGATGGGTCAGGCCAGAGTTCCCCATGGGCAGACCATCTCCCCAGTGGTACAAAGAAGTCAAGTTAGAGAAGCCTCCCATGCCAAGGCACAGGAGGTGGTGTGAGATGAGTCTGGGGAACCCACAGGATCACAGTCAAGCTGGACACCTGGTACAGTTTGGTTCTGGTCAGCTGTGGCTATGGATTTCTCTTCATTGGGCTCCTCCTCTGAAAACAGACTCCTCTTTACCGCAATTAATCTTTTAACTCCCACCATCCACTGACTGACCTCAGTCACATGGTCAACCATGAGTGAGCGGTGGATGTCATCTGCTGCATCCCACTGGTGGCTTGAAAGCTCTAAGGAGAGAGAGGGGCTGAGCAAGCAACCTGGAGCCAAAGATATAGCTGCCACTCCTCCTCCCTCCCCAAGTCAGTCAAAATCTCAGCACCTAGCCCAACTCGGACAACCATGGCAGGATGAGGGGTTAGGCTATACCAAGGGACCCTGCCACACCTTGCACCAGCAGAGCCATCCTCTTCTTTACAGGCATTGACAGCTTCCCTCCAGCCCACTGTTCCTGCAGCAGAGCCAGGCGTCGGCTGATGTCATCACATACCTGCTTCTGAGAGACAGAAGCGCCCTCCAAGTCAGTGCTGCCTGCCCTGCAGGGGCAGGGTAGGCAGCACATGCTCTGTCTGGTCCAGGAACTTTACACTCAGTCTGAGTTATGGTTCTTTACGCAAAGATTAGAGGCCCCACTAAGAATCTGATGAAATCTATGGATCTCTTTTCAAGGAAAATGTGTGTATGGCTAGAATTTTTTAATTTCTGGAGTTTTTCAGATGGTTAAAAATTAATTCTATAGTGCTGCTTTACAATAAGGAAAGTGAAAGTGTCAGTCACTCAGTTGCATCTGACTCTTTGCAACCCCATGGACTGTAGCCCACCAGGCTCCTCTGTCCATGGATTCTAAGGGCCAAAGAGGTGAAGACCACTCTACTTTCCTTTCTTTAAGACTGCTCATAGGATCAGAGTGTCTACCTTTGGGAGCCACACCTGCATCTGACTGTTGATGGGAGCTTTCCCAACTTACCTTTATGTGGCCATGGCAGTCCTCCAATGCCCGTTCCAAAGGTCTCAGTACATCTTCTAGCAGAGTCTCAGACTCAACGACTGGGGAATTCATGGGCTCCGTTCTGGAGGGAGGACAGCTCCCCACAAATGGGGGTGGTCTGGAAGCCTTATTTGACGGAGGTGGAGGCCCCATTGGGAGGAGCCCAGGAGATGTCTCTGAGGTGGGGACTGAAAAGATAAAGCAGGACCAAGCAAACATGACTTAAATACAAAGAAATAAAAATGGATGCTGTGGTAAAGCAGAATAGTAGTAGAGGACCCTACCTAGACTGAGTATTCAAGGAAGGCCTTCTAAGTTGATGTCAAAGTTTACCCTATGTTACACTATGTTTACACTATGTGACATCTGGCAAGTTACCTTTAACCTCTGAGTTTGGGTTCCTCTTCTATAAAATGGGGATATTACAGTAGCAGCACTTATTTCACAAGGTTACAAAGATGATTGAGTGTAAGAATATAGGTACAGCTGCTGAAGTGGGTAGCAAAAAGTGCTCACAAAGTTAAGAACTTGGATAAGATAGATGCAGTCATAAAGAGTTGAAGGAACCAGATACTAGGGTAGAGGTAAGGGCAGTACCCAAGAGAAGGGAAAAGTCCTGACTTGTTCAAGGAACAGAAACAAGGTCTGTGTGGCTAGAAATGCTTAACACTGAGAAATTATGAGCTTTCACTGGAAAGGTAAGTAGGGGTCCAGACCCTGCAGGACTTTGGAGGAGTTTGGTCTTGAGCTGTCTGTGCTTAGTCGCTCAGTAGTGTCCAACTCTTCGTGAGCCCATGGCCTGTAGCCCACCAGACTCCTTTGTCCATGGGGATTCTCCAGGCAAGAATATTGGAGTGGGTTGCCATGCCCTTCTCCAGGATATCTTCCCAACCCAGGGATCGAACCGAGGTCTGCACTGCAGGTGGATTCTTTACTGACTGAGCCACAGGGAAGCCCAAGAATACTGGAGTGGGTAGCCTATCCCTTCTCCAGGGGATCTTCCTGACCCAGGAATCGAAGTGGAGTCTCCTGCATTGCAGGCGGATTCTTTACCAGCTGAGCTACCAGGGAAGCCTGGTTTTGAGCTATTACTCCATTAATGGTAACAGGAAACCATTGCCAGGTTTATAAAAGCAGGGGGTGATGTCACCAAACTTGTTTTTTATGGCGTTCACTCTGTATAGTCTGTGAAAAGTTGATGAGAATAGGTAAAGAAGGGCAGGGACACCAGTTGGGAGGTTAACAACAGTCCAGGAAACAGAATGCTGCCATGGACTAGAGCGAGAGTAGACAAGGGGAAATGGGGAGGTCTGATTTATTTAGGAGGAGACAGAACAAATGTTGATGGGAATGGGGGTGAAAGACGGGAGCCAGCAGTGATTCTTGGTTTCTGACTTTAATGACATGATGGCAAAATCACTATGAAAAATGAGAATACTGGAGAAGAAAAGTCAAAAATTATTTTCAGGTATTAACATGCACATGGATGATAATTCATCCAGTTGGTCTGTCAATTTGACCTCACCTCCAGTGACCACTCTCCTTCAGCCTCTCATCATCTGCCTTGTTCTCAACAACAGTGCCCACCACTCCTAACCCTCTAGCACAGTTACTCAGATTTTCAAGGTGCATTAAAATCACTCCCTTTAAATTCATATAGCTACAGGGACTTCCCTGGTGGTCTCCCTGGTTGAGAATCCACCTTCAATTGCAGGGAACATGGGTTTAAATTCATAGCTACAGATTTTAAAAAAACATCTAACACTGCCTGGAAATCCTATACTTTGCCTTGTTTTTCTCCTCTTCAGAACAATTATTTTCACATTTTATCGCCTATAAGCTTTTCTACCTTCTCCCTTTATTTTCCTTTCCTTGATGTCTACTTCTGACCCTGCCTCATATTTCACCAGGAAAATAAAGGTCATCAAACAGAACACTCATCTTCTCACCACCAGTTCTGCCTACCCACTTGGACCTGGAGCTGCTTTCCTTTCTCCGCTAATAGAGGAAAGGCTCCTGTTCCTCCCAGAGGCTCTCCAGCCAGACTCTATCCACCTCTCTTGTCTTCTCTGGGCTTTATCCCCTTTCCCCTGTGCCATCAGTTCTTCCTCTACTAAACCATCCCATCAGCATACAGAACTCTCCCTTACCTCACATTCCATCCTCAGGTACTGCCCTATTTCTCATCACTCCTGAATGCTGCTGTTAGCATCACTGGTGATTGCTAAGTTTGTCAAACCAACTAGTCCCTTTTCTCCATCTTACTTACCTCTCAGCAGCATTCATCAGGGTTGAATCAAGATATTACTCTCTCCCAGAGTAACTCTACTTGTCTTACTTCATTGGCCACAACCTTGAATTGCTAGAGAACCCTACGGTTCTGTCTTGAATCCTGTCTTTACTTTTTGTACTCAAGTTCACGACATCAAATACTATTCATATGATAGTGACACATTTCTATAATTCAGGCCCAGAGCTCTCCCCAAAGTAGCAGCCCAAGTTCAACATGGCCAAGACAGAAAGCTTGCTTTTCTCCTCCCCTGCCAAAACCCAGTTATCCCGTATCAATGAACAACACCGTCCAGTTCCTCAAGTGGAAGTAAGTTACATAGCCTCCTCTTTCACCTCACCTACTGTATCTACTCATTCCTACTGACTTCCTCCATAACATACCCATATCCACCCAATTACTACTACCTCTAGTACTCCCACCCCGGGCCAAATTATCATATTTTACCTGTGTTATAGTTTTTCCTTTCACTTCTTCCTTAAAATCTGTTTTCCACAGAGTAAACACAGTGATCTTTTAAAGATGTAAGTCAATCAGTGTTTCTCAGTCTGGGGAGATTTTGCCTCCAAACATCTGGAGACTTTTGATTGTCACAACTGTGTGTGGGTGCCACTGGCATCCAGCGAGTAGAAGCCAGGGAGCTGCAGACATCTTACAATGTACTGACATGCACAAGACAATCCCTCACAAAAAAGAATGATTTGGCCCCAAAAGCCAGTAGTGATAAGATTAAGAAACTTATATCATAACTCTGCAGTGTTATAGATGTGGATAAGAGAGGGGTGAAAAGAGCTGAATCTGAGCCCCCTATTCAAGGTCACATCAGTCGTCACTCAATCATGTCCCACTGTTTGCAACTCCATGAACTGTAGCCCACCAGGATCCTCTGTCCATGGAATTTTCCAGGCAAGACTACTGGAGTGGGTTGCTATTTCCTACTCCAGGGGCTCTTCCTGACCCAGAAATAGAACTTGTGTTTCCTCAATTTCCTGCACTGGCAGGCAGATTCTTTACCTGGGAAGCCCTTTCAGTGCCACAGATCATCTTCAACTCTATCCCTAGCCCACTATGCTCTAGCCATCAGATACTCCTTTAGTCTAAATTTGCCAAACTTATCTCAGGGCTTCTGCACTAGCTGTTCCTAATGCCTGGAATGCTCTTGCACCTGATCCTTGCCTTTTTAATCCTTCAGGTTTCAGCTTAAATGTCAGCCCCTCAGATACCTTAGTTACCCAATCACTCTCACATCACCCTGTTTTATTTCTCTGCAGAGTTCTTATCACCATTTCATCTTTCTCCAAAGTTATACTGTGAACGCCAAGAAAACAAAACTTTTTGTCTTGTTCACTGCTGTCTAGTTTGCCTTCAAACTCAGCAGGTGCTTAGTAGATGATACTGATTAAATGAATGACATGTTAAGTCTGAGTTGCTTATCATATAGTCCAGTGACGAGGTAGAACATACAAATGGGTGTACCACCATGGGGTTCCGAGAAAAGTTCCAAGTTTGAAATACAATCTGAAAATAATTTGGAAACAAAAAACTATATTAAAAACCGTAAGTCTGGATGAGGTCACCTAGGACGAAAGCACAGATTCTTTGGAGACAAACCTGGGCAACAGATGAGCTCAGAAAAAGGCCTGAACTGAGCCCCTTTCTGGGACTCCAACCTCTCTCCCTCAGTAAGTCCTCAGAAAAGAAAAATAGGCTCACGGGGCAAGCTTATCTCGGCACAGCCCATTCTCGGGGGGGTCTCGCCACACAGGGCCGTCACGCACCTCTGGGGGATCCATCCTGGGGAGCGGCGACCCTCTTGGTGAGCGGCGAGCGCTTGGGTCCGCCAGCCTGGGTCTGCAGCCCATAGGAGAATTGCGGCGGATCGTTCCAGCCGCGCTCCGTGTTGCCTGCGAAAGTGAGAAGACGCGTGAAGTGATCCCGGCGGGGCGACAGAGGGTCCGCACCCCACACGGTAACCGCCCCCAGCCTGGGCCGCGGAAGGACCAAGCTCCCCAGCTCACCCGGCTTCACATACAGCTCCGCCATCTCCACTTCCGCAAGGCCAGCGGGGCATCACGTCATTTCCGGGGCGGCCGCACCCAGCCGACTGGGACACGCCCCCAAAAGGGCAAGTTTCCTGGAACCCTCCAGGTTGGACAATTTAGGAACGCTGAAAATCGCCCTGCTCCAACTCCGTCTATTCCAGCTAGTTATCACTCGGGAGTGCTGACTATATGGTAGGAAATGAGGCTGTTTTCCAGGAGGTGCTGCTCTAGGAGCTTAAGACCCCTGTGGGTTCCCTCTCCAAATCACAGTTGCTCTCAGAAGCAAGTTTACACCACCAGAAGCTCCTGCCCCACATATGCCCCGCTGTGGTCTAGCCAAGTGGACTTCCAGAACTTCTGTCCACTTCCCTGAACGTTTACACTCTTTTGGTTGGAATATATTTATCTGGAAGCCTAGTACACTTTAAAGTGTCTCAGACCAGGTACTTCTGAGGAGTCTCACCTGAGCTCCCACAACCTTCTGAGATTTCCCAGTTGTACTGCATGTTATCTTCAGTCCTTGACTTTCGTTTATTTGACAGTCTCAGAAGGTGGAGCCCCTATTTGATTACACCTACAATGCCGACCTTAATGCCTAGCACAGAGAAGTCCTTTAGAAATATACTTGTTAAATGAAGTCAGATTTCCAATTCTCTTATGTGACTAGCAGCTGCCACCAACACCAAGGACGGATACAGACACTCATCTCATACAGACTGAGTATACCCCCAACCCTGTCCCAGGCCCAATATACTTACATCCAGTGAGGTCACTGAGGGATTTTTATTTGTACTGATTTTGCTATAAAGTGTTGCTGAGGTAGAGCCAACTGTCCAGGGTTGGACAGGGGCAAGGAACACAGGGACCCAGGGAAAGGAGAGTCTGCAGCCTAGGTTGTGGTACAGGGCCTCTCAATCACCCATACAAACAATGAATTGGGCAACAGAGGGTGGGCAAGTGTCAGTGGGGCACGCAGAGAAGGCTCCAAAAGGTGAGAGGCTACAGGCCCCTGGGAAAAGAAGGGGTACAGAATTGGGCGTGGACCCAGAGCCTCCTTCCCCAGTCCTCCCCAATTAACTTAGGGCATGTGGAGTAGAGAGGGTTTCAGCCGGAAGGCATCAAGAAAAGAGAAGACACCCCGCTTTCGAGGGGCTGCCCCCGCACCCCCAACCCCTCCTTTGAGCAGGGGAAGTGGCAGGGGACCTCCTGGGGAGTCCACAGAGCTGGTCCGCTTGAGCCGCAGGCGGGAACGGGCCTGGGCACCCCAGGCCTTGCCTCGAGCTGCAGAGGCCACAAGACACTTCTGGTACTGAACCTAGGGAGAAGAGGAATGTGAGGATCCAGCTCCTTCTGGCCCCTGGGCTCCCTGAAAGCTTCCGCAGGACAAGGCATCAGGAGGAAAGAAACAGATAACCTGCCATGTCTGGAGCCCCTACAACATTCACAGGTAGCTCAATAACAAAAAGTCTAAAACCTGGCATTTACTGAGCACTTAAGGAACGCTTGACACTGTGTTAAGTTCTTTGTATACTCTACTTGATCCAGTTATTTATCAGGTGTTATAATCACCATTTTGCAAATGAGAAAGTGAGATTCAACGAGAATACATGATTTACCCAAGGAAACAGAGTCAGAAATTAACGGAATTCAAAACTAGTTCTGACTGTAGGGCCTGTGTTCTTAACCATACCTACCACTATGCTGGTTTCTCTCTCTCTCCTTACAGTGGACTGGCCCCTGGCAAAGTGGAGTTCCTCATCAAGGGGACGTTCTACAACCCAGTCCCCGTGCAAAACTGCTCTGCTCTTCTCTCGCCTGAATTCAACAGGGTTTTACAAGGTCTTCTTACTTCTCTGGTGTCTTCCAAATCTTAAATCCATATTGTAGTTTAAGCCATCTTCCAAATCCACAAACTTGACTTCACTGTCTTGCTCAAAACCTTTAAATGGCTCAACGTGCCTCAGGATGAAACAAACTCATCACCCTACCCTGTAAGTTCTTCTGTGACCTGGATTCTGCCATTCTTTCTGCCCGTCTCTCATTCTATCCATCCTTCCCCCCGCCGAGCCCTGCCCCCCACCTTGTGCACTCCATATAAACTACATTCTTTCAGACACTGACATCCCTCTCACCTTGACCACTGGGGTTCCCTATACTTGACAGCACATCTTTGAAACCACTCCCCTTCACCTGGATAACTTCCCTCTTTGGACCAGCAACTCTCAGTTTTCTATCACCTCTTTCAGAGAGCCTCCTTGAACCTCTGAAGGGGCCAAAGCTTCCAGCATCCTGTGATATACAACTTCCTTCTCATCTATCTCTGCTCTAACCTAACTGTTCTGTGAGGGAAAAGGCCATGCCTTCCATACCACTGAATTCCCAGGGTCAAGTATGGTTGAGTTCTGGCACCTACTCATATTTCAGTGAGTAAGTGAATTGAACTGAGTGCAAATGTCCCACATTCATATGCCCAGATACCAGAAAACAACCCAAATGAGAGAAAACAGGAAAGAGAATGTTCACCCTATACGGCACAGCCCTTACACAATTTCAGCTGAATGCTGAAATGTACAAATATGGACTCAAGTGTCAGGGCTTCTGATATTTAAAGAAAAACAGGAATAGCTATTATTATGTGAAATGTCCTGGTCTTTAAATATTGACAGTTAAACCCTACTAAAAACAGCGTGAGGGTCAAATAAAATACTCCTGAACCACAGTCAGCCCTGGCCTGGCTGGTCTGTGATCTCTGGAGAGGCTGCTAATCCTGAACCCCAATGAACAGAATAGAGCAGCTGCAGGGCAATACCACCCACCCATTCCCACCCCTAACTCACCATGCAAGCCGCCTGCACAGCTTCAGAAAGTCCCCCTGCATGGGGCTGGCACCAGAAGGCTGCACACTGGAAGCTCTGATGGCCCAAGTCGACAATGAGACCAAAGGTGTGTGGGTCACGACCAACACCAATAAAGGTCACGAGGCGCACAGGACACTGCCACAGTGGCTCCTCCTCTGCACCAGCCTCTGCCTGCCCAAATCAGGCCTAGTCACTAAAGGGTCAGATACTAGCTGGACCCCTTGAGCACTTCCAACAGCAAGCAATAACCCCTTAGCATCCCCGCCTACCCCTCCACAGCCCCCAACTTCACCCTTTTCTGGCTGGTACCTGAATGGGATGTGCTGTCATAACAGAGTCAGACACACTGAGCATGGCAGGGATCCAGGTGTCCTGGTCCCCACGGGTGGTGAGCGTACCAATGGCCTCGTTCAGCACATCCATGCCTGGGGGGACATGCCCACCTCAGTGTCTCCCAGATGTAAAGAAGGCTCTGCAAGGAGTGTCTAAGCCCCCTCACTGACTTAGGATTCAGAGAGATGGGAACAGAATAGCTGGGGCCAGGCTTCAAATCCTGAGTGGAGAAGGGCAGTACATCCCAGGCTACAGAAGGCCATGGGAGCACTCTGAAAAATGGTGGTAGATCCTTCCTTTTCCACCGTCCACTTCCCTTACACAGCCGAAGCCCTCCAGCCCACTCAGTTCTCACCCATGGCTTTGGTGACTGGCAGGGTCCCCATGTACAGTGCCTCGTACTTCTGAGCAGCCTGGCTCACAGCATCCAGTAGCTCCACTGAAATATATACACCAAGTTGGTCTGGGTACTCTCTCAATGACCCCTTTCTCCACCCTTCTAAGGGAACTGGAGCAAGTAGGAAAAAGGCCAAGGATGTTCCTCCAATTTAGGGTTTGGGATCCCTGGGAAAAGGATATCTCAGAAGTCCTCTATCTGCAGAGAAGTACTAAATATCCCCCCTCCCCATCTTTCACCAAAGTAGCATTTTTGCATTGCAGCCCTGCCCCCCATACCTTGTCGAGGCAGGTCTTCAGGGGTGATGGGGTCTAATGAGCAGCAAGGGGAATCACCACTGACCTCCACTCGCTCCGACAAGATCTGAAACACAGTGCAGACAGCATGCGGTGAAGGGAAGGAGAAGTGAGGTAAGGAAGCCAATACCACCCTAACCCAACAACCTTAGCAGCTTCAGACCCAGCTCCATACCCACATTTCCTGCCCCACTCCTGGCCCTTACCTGGGCACAAAGCCCATGTAGGGCACTGGCAATGGCCTTTGCAGGGACGTCACAGCGAAACACATGGCACTTGAGCATACAGCTGTCTTTGTCACCCGCCACAAAAGCGAAGTCCCTGGCAGGGTCAGAGATGGGGGTAGGGCAGGACTGGAGATGGGGCTGGGGGAGGGGTGGGGGCCCTGCAGTGCCTGCAGGAGGCTGGAAGTCAGAATTAACGGAGGGATGGAACAGGGAGATCAGGGCTGGAGCTCAAGGCACTTGGCTGTCACTCACCTGTCACTGTTCCAGAAGCATGTGGGAGCACAGGAGAGAATCAGCCCAGCCTCTCAGACTCTCCCCCGTCTGTCCCTGCTGGGCTGGAGCCCACCCTCCCCAACCAGGGCTGGATCAGGCAGGGGAGGCAGAGCTTGGGTCCATGTCAGAGGACCTGTGTCCAGGGGTTCAATACAGGGAATGAGCATCAGTGGGGATCACAGCCTGCAAGGGGGAAGGAGAAGCAACTCTCATTTCCAAGGATGCAGGGGGTCCTCACCGGCCCTTGGAGCTGCCCACACCCCATACACGGATGTGCACCAGGGGCTGGCAGTGGATCAGACTGTGGTCCAGGGGATTCACCAGGCTCATGGCATCCTTCTTCAGGATCATCACCATGTTCTGGCCCTGCCAAGGAGAGGTCAGGCTGGAGCTCAGATGAAGGTGGTTACCATGGGGAACAGGCAGTTCAGGGACAGCCACCTCTGCTGGATGCTAGGTTGAATACCTCGAAGGGTCAGCCAGCTCACCTCACCCCAGGCACCATCTGGGGGCTGGCTCCGGCTACAGGTCTGGGCCAGCTGCTGGATGCAGTTATTGACAGCAATACTGCTCTTCCCCGGTACCAGGTCCTCTTCAGGTACTTCCACCCAGCCCAGAGAGCGGACTGCAAAGCACTGACAGGTTGAAGGAAAGGACAGAAGGACCCTGAGTAAGGGAAGTAGGATGAAGTAGGATGGGTGGTGTCACAGGCTCCACATATATAAACCCTCTGGAGACCTCCCTTCACCCTTTATCACCTCTGCCCAGCCCGATCTCACCCCTGACCTTTCCCTGGGGACCCTCCCCAAAGTCCTGGGCTGGCCCTCAGGCTTAAGTCACTACCTTAGCCCCTGGCTCCATTCTCTGGATGTAGGATTCTTCACCATACCAGGACAGAGAGTTACTGGAATAGAGCAGAGCTCGTAAAAGGACCACAATTCCTACAGAAGGCACAATGGTGAGAACCAGACTACTTGATGGGCACAAGATGTGGGATAAGAAGCAGAATATAGAGTCCCAAATGTAAACTCAGAGGAAGACAGAGCCCAGGACATATTAAATAAGTGTAATATAGAGCATGGCTTAGAAATGGAGGAAAAATTCAACACACAGGACATAGAATAAAACTTACAAGCATGCAGTAGGGTCCAAAATGTGGACCAGTGCCCCAAATCAGGACAAGAAGACCCTTGAACACAGGATAGGAACCTCCATGGACAGAAGGTAGGGTAGTCAGCAAGATGTAGAACATGACAGGTCAGGACCCAGAATACATAAAACAACCATACAGCAAAAAAACAGAGCTTGGATCAAGGAACAAAACACTGGGACAATCAAGAATATAGGACAGAACCAAGAACATAGTGTGTATGTGTGTGTGCTCAGTGGTTCAGTAGTTTCTGACTCTTTGCAACCCCATGGACTGTGGCCCACCAGGCTCCTCTGTCCATGGGATTTCCCAGGCAAGAATATTGGAGCAGGTTTCTATTTCCTCCTCCAGGGGATCTTCCCGAACCACGGATCAAACCCACGGCTCTTGCATCTCCTACATTGGCAAGTGGATTCCTTACCACTGTGCCACCCCAGAACTTGGGCCAGAAAGCAGACTGTAACAGGTCCAGCTGCATCTTTGAGTACTATGGAACCCCAAGCTTTTCATTTCTGCCTGGCCTATCCCTCTTACCTCTGGTCCAGTGAGCTCTCCAGGCTGGAGAAGGATCTCCCCTTGGGGGGCCGAAGTCCCCAAATTCCCTCTGTCTTCTGTAGAGAGGGGGATAGGTCAGTGTGGCAGGTATAGGTCCACACATGAGCTCTGGCCCTGTCCTCACACTCCACCTACCTTGCCTGGGTCCTCTGCATCTCCTGACTCCCAGGATGGGCGCTGCCACTGAGTGCTACCGCTGGGTACATGCCAATAATAAGTACCTGCAGCATCGCGGATCTTCCTCCAGCCAGGGGGCAGGCCTGGCTCCCCCTCCAGACTCTGGTCCCCCCACAAGTCATCTACAGGAACGTAGGATTGGAGAGGGAGGGCTTATTTGTGGACTCAGAATAACACTGTCATAACCCTTCCTCCAACCCATATTTGCGCTGAAGGTCCAGTCTAAAGGTCCAGGCTTCCAACCTTGGATACTGCATTGCAAAGATCTGGGTTCATTTGTCCCCTGGTCCTCATCCCAAGACATAACGTACTCAAGTAACTTAAAGACAGGCTCCCTGTCTTTGAGCCTAAGGTAGCCTTTCGCGCCCCCTCGCCCTCCCTCAGCTCCCGATCCTCCCATCTAGACCCTCTGTGCACACCATCGCAGTTGACCAGAATAATGGCCAGCATGTAATCCTTGCCCAGCATAGCCCTGGTCGCGTTCCCGCCGGCCTTCGCCGGCCCTCACTCAGCCCAGCACGCCTCCGGAGCTGCTGTGCCTACAAGTCCAGCCTCTTTGCGCTGGAATCCGCCAGGCCAACGGGAGCCGCACAAACACGGGGAGGAGCAGAGGCCGGATCCTAGGGGCGGGAAAGGACCCGCCAAGGTAGCGCCTCCAGTCTAGAGGTGGCGCGTGTAAACAAGACGTTCGGATCTCCCAATGCCTGCGCGTTCGCGTCCGCGAGTCTAGGAGAGGCTCAAGGACCGCGGCGCACACGCTGACATCACCGCTCAACTGTGAGCTCATCAAGCGGCGGAAGATTCTCCAGGAGAATGGGCGCAGAACGCACACGCGAACAAGTGAGATCATCGCGTTCAGGTCGTCTGCGCACGCGCACCCGTAGCCTGGCGCGGCTGGGGGTGCTGCTCAATGAGAGAGGTCACGTGGTAGTATCTGCGAAAAGGGGGGCGTCAGGAAAGCGCCTTCACCTTTTCCTGAAATGCCCCGGAAGTACCTGTGCCCTCAGTAAAGATGGCAGTAGTGTTTGCCAGGAGGGAGGCGGTGCTGCGCCTGCGCAACAAGTTCTGCAGGGAAGATGGCGGATGACAAGGTGAGTGGACTAGAGGATTGTGTGCAGTCTGGGGTGGGCTTCACACCTTTTTAGTTCTGGGGAGAGGCGACAGTTGGAACGGCTCCTGGATGAGGGTGCCCCTTGTTTCTCCTGGGGGCAAACTTTTAATCCTGTGAAAGTTGCTCAGTCGTGTCCGACTCTTCGCGACCCCATGGACTGTAGAGTTCATGGAATTCTCCAGGCCAGAATACTGGAGTGGGTAGCCGTTCTGGGTATCCCCGTCGCCAAGGGATCTTCCCAACCCAGGGATCGAACCCAGGTCTCCCGCACTGCAGGATTCTTTACCAGCTGAGCCAAAAGAGAAGCCCACAAGGGAAGTTACTCCTGTCAGCTGCCTCAGTAATGGGAAGTGGGGTGGCAGAGCATTACGCCAGTCAAGCAAAGCCAGGGATTTTCCCAGGTGTCCCCCTACCTTCCACTCTTGGACCATAGCGCTTCTTAAGTAACTTGCAGACACTCCTAACTCTACCCCATTCCTTAGCCCCCGAAATTTTCCTTCTAGAGACGGGAAGTTTCTAGACCACAGAAACACATCCCTTTCGATCACATTCCTTGGGCACTTATTAATTTCATACTTACATGCGACCAGAATCACTGAATTCATTTACTCACGCTCCTGCAGACAGCCACCTTCCCTATCTCCTCACCAAACTCCAGCTCATACATCCACACATTACGTTTTGGGTGGCTTTAGGGAGGAAGGGGGAGAAGCCTAGGCAGAAATCAGGTTTGCCCCCAAATTGTCCAAGGAACTGCCTCAGGCCATTACCCACCATTAATCTGGAAGTTCAGCACCACGCACACATTTACTAAGTACCTGCAGATCTTGTGTTAGGCCTCCAAACACATTGGACAAGACAGACTTACAGGTAGCTTATACTCACTAGTGGGCTTCCCAGGAGGCCCAGTGGTAAAGATTCCAGTGCAGGAGATGCCAGAGATTTGGGTTCGATCCCTGGATGGAGAAGATCCCTGGAGGAGGAAATGGCAACCCACTGCAGAATTCTTGCCTGGAAAACTCTGTGGACAGAGGAGCGTGGAGGGCTACAGTTCATAGGGTCTAAAGAGTCAGTCATGACTGAGAGACTAAGAGTGCACACACACACTCACTCATTGATTGGTGCTTGCCTGATAAACCTAACTAAAGGTCCCCTAGCTGTCCCTTCTCCTCCCCTATACGCTGCTTGCTGTATAAAGTTCCTGTAAGAGTGTTTGTAAGTTACTGGTGCAGATCCCGTCTGTCATCCCTTCCCAGGCCCTCATGTGAATTCTTTATTTTTCAATGCCTTTCTTCTTAGGGTAGAGGGCTTTGTCAGCCTTCTGAAGCCAGCCTCTTTTTTGTCCTAGGATTCTCTTCCCAAGCTTAAGGATCTGGCTTTTCTCAAGAACCAGCTGGAACGCCTGCAGCAGCGTGTGGAAGACGAAGTCAACAGTGGTGTAGGCCAGGTAAAGAAAGATGTGCCTGTTCCCTACTATCACCACCCCACCCTCCTTAGGCTTTATTATCCAATATGCTTTTGTATGGGTGATAGAGATTTATTCAGCAAGTTGTTTTTTATTGAGTTCCTGTTCTCTGTGACCCCGAGGAATGTTTCCCTATAAATGGCAGTTGAACTGGAATCTTAAATAGGGGTTAACAGGGTAAAGAGGGGAGGAGAGAACATTCCAGGCAGGTGGAACAGCACAGACAAAACCCTCATAGTGGGAGGTAGCATGATGAACATGAGAGGTGAAAGCAGTTTGGTCTGGCTGCAGTAGGGGCAGCATGCTAGGAAATAAGACTGGAGAAGCAGGCAGGGCTCAGATTCATCAGGGACATCTCTCTCAGTGGGCTTCTCTGGTTAGAGCTTTCGGACCTCAGGGTTCTGACATTGTGTGGTCATGACTCCTAGGTTCTTTTTCTGCCCCAGAATCTTGAAAAACTTTGGTGAGCATACTACAGCTTTCCAGAGTAAGGAGGAGTAGGTAGTGTGATGTGCTAAGCTCGGCTTGAGTAGCTCCTAGATAGAGAAGAGGAAAGCCTGGCTGACTTTTCTCCTACATTTTCCTCCACAGGATGCCTCATTCTTATCCTCCCCATTCCTCAAGGGCTTCCTGGCTGGCTATGTGGTGGCCAAACTGAGGGCATCAGCAGTATTGGGCTTTGCCGTGGGCACCTGCACTGGCATATACGTAGCTCAGGCATATGCTGTGCCCAATGTGGAGAAGACATTGAGGGACTATCTTCGATCACTGCGCAAAGGGCCCGACTAGCTCTGGATTCCATGAGGGAGGCAGGATGAGCAGCTGGGGGCAGCAGGTGGAGGCCTTCAGCCACGGATGCCATATCTGGCCACCCTGGCTTTCACCCATTTGCTGTCTCCAGCTTTCCCACCGCCTTCAGCCTTGCTTCCTTTCCTGCAGAGACTGGACAGTGACTCATCAGCCAACACCCTGAACCCCTTGCCTCCATAACCCCATGGGACTGGCCCCAAGACTGTGGCTTCTAGAGCCACCCACCCTTCCTCTTCTAGCCCTTACTGTGGAGTCTGCAGCTAACTCTGACTCTCAGTATTCTCTCTCAAGGCTCCTCACTCCTGGGAGCCAGCTCCATAACTTGATTTTCCCTGAACTGTCACAACCCCCACCCCACCTTACCCCCGCCTTGCTAGCTACACAGGCCACCCAGGGTCTAGTTTGGGCATGAGTGTAGAGGACGGGGGTGTGCCAGGCCTGGGCCGTCCCAGGCAGGCCCGCTGGACCCTGATGCTGCTCCTGTCCACTGCTATGTACGGTGCCCATGCCCCATTGCTGGCACTGTGCCATGTGGATGGCCGTGTCCCCTTCCGACCCTCCTCAGCTGTACTTCTGACTGAACTGACCAAGCTGCTGCTCTGTGCCCTCTCCCTCTTGGTGGGCTGGCAAGCGTGGCCCCAGGGGACCCCACCCTGGCGCCAGGCTGCCCCATTCGCACTGTCAGCCCTGTTGTACGGTGCCAACAACAACCTGGTGATCTACCTGCAACGTTACATGGACCCCAGCACCTACCAGGTGCTGAGCAATCTCAAGATTGGAAGCACAGCCCTGTTCTACTGCCTCTGCCTCCGACACCGCCTCTCTGCACGCCAGGGCTTAGCGCTGCTGCTGCTGATGGCCGCAGGAGCCTGCTATGCAGCCGGGGGCCTCCAGGACCCAGGGACCACCCTTCCCGGGCCCCGTTCAGCAGCTGCCACGAGCCCCATGCCCCTGCACATCACTCCACTGGGACTGCTGCTTCTCATCCTGTACTGCCTCATCTCCGGCTTGTCCTCCGTGTACACAGAGCTGCTCCTGAAGCGGCAGCGGCTGCCACTGGCCCTTCAAAACCTCTTCCTCTACACTTTTGGTGTGCTCCTGAACCTAGGTCTGCATGCAGGTGGTGGCCCCGGCCCGGGCCTCCTGGAGGGTTTCTCGGGATGGGCGGCACTCGTGGTGCTGAGCCAGGCACTGAATGGACTGCTCATGTCGGCCGTCATGAAACACGGCAGCAGCATCACACGCCTCTTTGTCGTGTCCTGCTCTCTAGTGGTCAATGCCGTACTGTCAGCCGCCCTGCTGCGGCTTCAGCTCACCGCTGCCTTCTTCCTGGCCACACTGCTCATCGGCCTGGCAGTACGCCTGTACTACGGCAGTCGCTAGCCCCTCACCACCTCCACCCTGACTCCTGGCCTGTAGGTTGGGGACCACCATCAGAGCCACCTCCCAGTGCTGACCTCTCCCCTCAGCAGCCCTGTAACAAGTGCCTTGTGAGAAAAGCAGGGGAAGTGAGAGCAGCCACGTTAGTCTCTGGAGGTAGGTTATCCCTGGGAGACTTGAAGGCTGGGTTTGATTAAGGAAACTCTTGCGCCCCCACAAGTTCTTCCAGACTAAGAAATTAGGGGAGCATCCGTTCAGAGGGCTGAGAAGTTATCCTATGCTGATGGAGGAGGCATGCTGCTTCATCCTGCGTGAATGCAGTTGCTTAAAGTGAGGTGTGGGCAGCAGTTGGCTTTCCTTGCCTACTGTTGTCACCCCAGCAGACCCATAGCCCCCCAGGCCTGGTGCTGGCTGCTCCAGCCCAACCATGGTACATGGCTCCCCCATAAAATAACTCATCCCCCAGTGTCATATAGGAAAGCCCAGTTGCCGGAGGTTATGTGTATGTCCATCACCCAGGCCTCTGCCATCTCCTGTAGCTCCAGCAGCGCCTGGAGGTAACACCCCCTGCTCTCTCCACACCTAGCCTTTGTTCTGGAACCCTCAGAGAGGACTGGGACTTGACTCATCTCAGGGAATGTCGCCCCTGGGCCCTGGCTTGAGTCTACACTCCTGATCTCTCTGCTCACCCTAAGGGCTCTCTCAAGGCCCATTGTCCCCTCTGGAGCTCCTCGGAGGTGGTGTCCTTCCCCCTCTGGGTCCTGCCTTTTCCTCGCAGTGACCCAGCTCCCATCTGCCTGGGGAAACTCTACATGGAGTGACCTGGGACCAGGCACAGGGAAACTTGCTTAACTCAATCAGTGTCTAACTGCATAAGCAATAAGGTCTTAATAAAGTGCTCTGGGGTGTAGGTGGTTCCTACAGTTGGTCATGATTGTCCTGTGTCTTCTGTGTTGCGCAGCTCCTCTCAAAGATAATTCATTCCTTTGGTGCCCTGAGTGTCTTAATCCTGGGGTAACTTACAGATTAAGAGAAAAGGCTGCTTTCTCAGTTCTTGCCAACATGGTAATTTCCTTTGAGAACTCTGTGGAGCCAAATTTTCTCTGGCACAGAGCTTTGGAAATTTCTCTGAAGTACAAAACTTGTTTAGTTGCTAAGTCATATCCAGTTCTTTTGTGAGCCCACAGACTGTAGCCTGCCAGGCTCCTCTGTTCATGGGATTTCCCAGGCAAAAATATTGGGGTAGGTTGCTGTTTCCTTCTCCAGGGGATCTTCTTAACCCAAATATTGAATCTGTGTCTCCTGCATTGGTAAGCAGATTCTTTACCACTGAGCTACCAGGGAAGCCAAAACTTGGGCCATAGAGAATTTGTGAGGAGTCTTGGGACTCAGTAAGGAAGACTGCAAGCTGTAGGCTAGAGAACTCTTAGGACTCAAGGTGGTTTTGGTTCTCATGCTCCAGAGGAACATGTCAGGCCCCACTCCTGTGGTAAAATACCTGGTAAGTTTGTGGGGGGTTGGGGCGGGGGGAACCAGTCCTGCTGAAGCAGAATCTTAGGGATTGGGGTTTGGGAATCTTTTTATTTCTTTTTTTTTCTCTTCAGTAAGTTTCCTAGGTGATTCTGATATACACTACAACTTGTAAACCACTACTGCCTGCAGTGTAGAACTATAGACAACCAGGCATGAGTGTTAATTCTGGCTCCAGCACTTATTAGCAGACTGTCCTTGAACAGTCACTTACCTCTCCTAGCCTTAGTAGGCTTATCTCTGAAATGGGACTCAGATGATACCTACTACAATGTAGGGTAGTGTGTGTGTATGTGTGCGTGCACTCAGTTGTGTCTGACTGTTTGTGACTCCGTGGACTATAACCCCCCCTGGCTCTTCTGTGTCATTTCCTAACTCCAGGGGATCTTCCTGACCCCCAGGGATGGAGCCCATGTCTCCTGCACCTCCATATAGGGTAGTGGAAATCTCTAAATCAAATAAGGGATATTAGGCGTTTAACAGGGACTGGCACAATGCGCCCTGGTTAGTGATGTGATTATTTATCTATAGTAGAGGTAAGCTTGGCTGTTGTATTCCACCTTCCTCTCCCTTCTCAGACCTTTACAAACGAGGAGAGAAGAAAGTGCCCCTGTCGGGTTCCTGATCACCAGATTTCTCCTCAGGGCAGGTATCCAGCACGACCGCTGCCAACCCGGTCTGCCGAAGTTGCTTATTCTGGGCTTGGAGCTCCTGGTTCTGTGTGGCCAAGCTGATGGAGTCTTGCAAGATGCCAGCCAGCAGGCTGCGGTAGTGATGCTCTGTAGTCATGGCCTGCTCCTCGCACAGCCCCCGCCAGGCTCGAAATACCTGTGCCCAGATTCCAAGATTCCCATCAGTCAGGTAGCCTTGGGACCAGCTCAAGACCTGCCCTCTGTCTCTCCCAACTGACCTGCAGCACATGGCATGTCTGAGCCCGGGCAGCCTGCACATGTAGGTCATAGAGGGCTGTCAGGTCCTGCTCTGCGGCATCCCGTTCTGCCTGAAGGGCCTCCAGCCGACATCTCAGCACTGTCTGCTCCCGGTGCCATCTCTGCCTCTCCTTGTAGTCCTTCAGTGATAAAATATGCTCTCTGTGGAGTGCAGCGTGTGTGCCAGGCTCGGCTCTACATTATATTATAATTTAATTGAGCTAATGATAACCTTTGAGGTAGTTGCCATTTTATAGATTTGGAAACTGGATCAGAGAAGTGACCTAACTTGCTCAAATTCACGTGTCTAGTGAGGGACAGGACTGAGATGACATGCCTTTCTACATTTCACCATCATCCTTGGTGTAAAGTCCAAATGCAGAGTGTTGACACCAGCTGGTCTCTACCTTTTCCTCTGACCACACACCTGCCAGGCTCCAGCCAGATGGAAAATACGCAACACCCAGAACCTATTTTGCTTCCCTTTGGACTTTCGCTCATAGGGAATGCTCTTCTCAAAACGTCTCCCACCTCCCCTGACCCCACCTCTGTGCACACGTTTTGTTTCTTGTTTAAACAAGTTACATTTACAGGATGCCTCTATGTGATGAGCACAAACTCATTTAAATCCCTGTGGATTTAAATCTAGTGCATTTCTCTGGCTGATTTGTTTGTTGTTTAAGCCTCAGCTTAGATGCCATCTCTGCTCCATTGCAGCCTGGTCCAGGTACACCTCTTTGTTCCAGTGAGTCACTAACTCCCTCTTTCACAGCACTTAGCACTGAGAATTGCCTCATGTGTCCCCCACAAAGCAGTGAGGGCCATGAGAGAGGGTGTCACCCAGTCTTTGATGCTAGATCCCAGCCCCCAGCCCCCAGCCCCCTGCCTGGCCAGGTTAGAAGGAGCCTTAAGTCCCCTACTGGGCCCTCCTCACCTCCTCAGCCACCAGACCTTTGACCTGGTCACCCGCCACCACCTCGTCGTCCTGTTCCATGTGCTTCAGCGCCTCTTGGATCCACGCTTGGTGCTGCCCTCGCAGTCTGTGCCTCTGGGCCTGAGCCAGGAAGAAGTGCAGGGCCACATCCGGGGTCTGCTGGGCCTACGTGACATCGATCTAGGCTCAGCCAGAAGCCCATGTGTGCACACAGTCTTGGGACAAAGGGCCCAACCTGTCCAGCAGAGCCCCATTGCCAGGGCAGCCCCTAGAGTGACATCAGGAGGCTAGCTGTCAACCTGTGCCCTGGACAGAGACTCAGGCTGTGAGGGAGGAGGAGAGATACTGATTTCTGCCAAGAGGTGCCATGGAAGCCCCAGTAGGGAAACAGCACCTTCCCATGCCCATCCTTAGGAATCCAATAGCTCTACAGGCCCTTTATTTGCCAGAAGCTCTGCATTTCTCCCTGATGTTAGGGCAAGGTAAGCAGGAGACATATAATTGGCTCTCTGTGACTCTTCCAGTTCTGGGGTACATGGGGTGTTACTACCTGTTCCTCAGAGCCCCTGAGTGGGTTCATTTGGTGGAGATCAGGTCCTATAGATGCTGTTCTTCCTGCCACTGGAGGAGAATTCAGTTAAGTAACCAAAGATGGAGAAGACCTCCAGCTCCACCCCAAGCACCAGCTTCACCTTGAGGCTCCTTCTGGAGACCTGGGCTGGGGCTTGCTGTTGAATGTGTCGCCTGCTGAGAATATATTATGAGTGAGAAGTCTGTACCTTTCTTCCCAGGATCAGGGTCCCAGCCCCACCCCACCCCCTTTTCTTAGCTGTATGACCTCAAGCAGCTGGCTAGTCTTTTGAGCCTCCGTTTTCTTGTCCATGAAGTGGAGCTGATAAAAGTTGTAGAGAGCATTAAGTGAGAAAAGGCACCCAAAGCACTAAGCAGTGGCCAGCTCTGTTCAATAACCTGGAGTTTATAGGCCTAATCCCCAAGGCCCAGGGCTGTAAAAAAGATGAGTACTAAGTAATTATGAAATGGGAAGGACCAGGAGAAGTCGGACAGAGGCTACTTTCTAGTCACCCTGTGACAAATCATGGAAGACAGTGCCACCTTCTGCCCAAGGGAGGCCATGCATCCTAAGAGAATGAGAGCACTCTTCTGGATCTTAAGACTTGGATGTCTGCACCTCTGCTGCCTTTGATGACCCTAGAGACTTTGGATTACTCACATCACTTCTCTGAGTTTCCGTTTGCTGAAAAGTGGGAGCAGTATTGTCATCCCTGTTTAAAATAAATTGTGGCTTCCCCTTGACCTTCAAGGCAAAGTCCAAACATCTCAATATATTTACAAAGACCTGCATGACCAGGCCCCTGCTTCACTCACCAATCCTTCTCCCTGGACTTTCTTCCTCAAACTGTATCCTCCACCAGATTGAGCTGCTTGCTGTTCCCCAAAGAGACCAAGGACTTACCTCTGAGACTTTTCCTCTTATTTTCTCTGCCTGGAATGTCCTTCATTCATCTTTGCTAGTCACTTCCTTCAGGTTTCAAGTTTCCATGAGATCACCTTCCCTCTCTTGCCAAGACTAACTTACATGCCTGCATAGAACCCTTCGGATCAGCCCTTCAGAGCACTGATCACGGAGTAATAGTTTCTCTCCAGAGGATTGTAAACCCCATGAGGGGTTTTCCAGGGCCTGCATGATGTTATGCCCAGTACATAGTGATCAGTGTAAATGTTTGAGAATGAGAACATAAATGAATGAAGGAAGGGCTGCCTCACAGTGCTCTATAGACAGAATAAGGCAGCAGACATCAATAGGGCTCCTAAGAGTTTGGATGAGAAGCTGTACCTGTGGTTCTGGGAGCCCCACAGCCTCAGTTTTGACCGCTTTGAGCATCCAGCTTCCCCAACGCTGGCTCCAGGCTTTTACCACCTACAGAGAAAGGATTCTGGGCAGGCTCTGGCCACTGCTGGCTCAGGCACCCCTAGGCCTCACCTTGCTCACATGCAGCTCCCGCAGTGCCCTGCCCAGCTGGCTGAGCCCACTGTCTGTCAGGGCGTCCCCAAGGAGGCCTGATCGCAGGCTCTTCAGACCAGCTCGGCGGGCCCGGGCCTCTTCTACTGCATTCCACAGGGTGGGCCTCACATGTTTCACCTTCTTCCTCCTTCCTGCAGCCCCCAACAAAGCAGACTGGAACAAGCTCAGGGGGCTGCCTAGTAAGGGGAGACACACAATGAATCTCTCCTTCCTCTGAGATCCAAAGCACACTGCTTGTAATACTTTTAATTTTTATTAAGAGTATTGTTCATGAAAATAGCTAACACCTATCAGGCTTTTACATGTGTTTGATGGTACTGTGCTAAGGCTTTCTGTGAATTGTCTCCTTTTATCCACACAATGCTCCAATGAGACAGCAACTCTGATTTACTCTGCCTCCCTCCACATTTTCCAGATAAGGCAGCCGGAGCTCAGAAGTCAAACAACTTCCTGGTGAGTGGCAAAGCTGAAACTCAAGCCTGGTTCTGTCTGACACTAAAGCCTATGCCCTTAAGCATGATCCCAAACTGGTCTGTACATAAACACACTTCTTTTACTCCCTGATTTGTCCTTGAGAATGTGAACTGCCCCAACTTATTTTCCTCATTCCACAGGGCCTGACATAGGGTGAGGCCTGGGAATACATTGGCCAAATGAATATATGTCTGTTGATTTTGGAGACAGAGCACCAGACTTGTTTGTTTGTTTGTTTTGTTTACTCTTATTAGTGGAAAATTTCAGACATATGCAGAGTCTGGGAGGTCCATTCTCTTATCATCCAGGTTCAACAATTATCAACTTAAGTTCTTGTTTGTTCTATACCCTCCACTTGACCTCTTCCATATCTCTGACATCATATTTCACAGAGTCTTGATCTTTTAAAGAGTGTGTGAAAATAGGCAAGCACCTCCCCTTCTCTGATCCTCATTTATAAATGTCTTCCTTTCCTCACCCATAGATTTGATCTGCCTCATGAGGTTGTGGTAATAATCAGAGGTTTAAGTCAGCATAAAAATGCTTGATACACCATTGAAGGCCACTGAAAGGGTGAGGCTTTTACTGTTGGCCCTGCCTTTCCAGACTTTGGCAGCTGGACCCTTCTGGAACTTTTCTGAATCCTGACCCCCCCATCCCTTTCTGGGCTTGCTAGGGTTGGGGCTGCAACTGGTTGAGTGACAGGTAATGCCAGATCCTAGAGCTTCCCGAAGAAACCACATCCTACCCCAAGTCACCTTGAGGATCCAGGCGAAGAAGAAGGCTACTGTAGTTGTTTCCTTCCAGAAGCCATGAGACAATCCAGGTCAGAGAGCCCTCCACCTCCTCACCAGCCACATTGCCAGCCAGTACCTGCAGCAGGGGACAATCTCTGCCAGAGGGAGGGAGGGAAGTAGGAAGAAAGGAGTTGGCCACTGGTAGATGGAGAGAGAACTGGCCCAGATCACACTCTGATGAAAGGTTGACTATTTCCAGTCACTTTTGTATACCACCAGACAGATTTGTGACCTTGTATAGATCTTTATTTCATTATTTTTAAATTACACAAATAATACATCCTCATGGTAAAAAAGAACTTAATTGCATATTTGACAAGGGACTTGTATCCAGAAAATATAAAGAACTCTTACACTTCAGTAAAAAAAAGTACAACTTGGGGAATTCCCTGGTGGTTCAGTGGTTAGAACTGTGTGCTTCCGTTGCAGGGGGGAAATACACACATACATAAAAATGCAACCCAATTTTAAAATGGCAAAACAAGGTGACATTAACAAAAATGGCAGAATAGGGAATCTAGGGCTTTGTCCCTCCTCAGAAGCATCTGGCAAAAAAAATTATCAGAATCAACCTTACTGGAACTCTAGGAGTTAGTCAAAGGTTTACAGCAATCAAGTGAAGTTTAATCAGGAGAAAGGCAACTTAACTATAGTAAGAGATCTTTGTGGTGTTTTTAAGTTACTCTAGCCCCAACCTTCTCCCCAGTACAGCCCACATTTCTGATGGCGGTACCTGGTTCTGAAAGGAGCAGAGTAGATCTCGTTCTCAAGGAATTGTGTTTGTTTTGACTGTCTGGGTTTCACACAAAGGACTGTCAAAAGGAGTTTCCCTTTGTTTCACTTGTCTTAGAATTTTATTGGGGCAGAGGAGCTTTGCCAGAAGGTGGTCCCTCCAGACTTTGAGAGATGAAAGAACAAGAAAAAAATAACAGGGCAAGTAGTAGACACATGAAAAGACTGGACAAAAAAGTTGGGTAGTGAAATTTGGGGGGAATAAAAGTTTTTGAAAAGTTAACGTGTGTACTAGGGGACCTAGAAAGTCACACACGTGTCCAAGGCAGTGTGCATGGTGAGAAAAGACCTGAGACGACCATAGGCTTTCACCTCTGGCTGATTTAGGGCTGAGTGCAAGCAGGATGTGAAGCTAAGGCAGAGCTGTAAATGGCCTGGCTAAGCATTGAAGGAGTGACCCAACACAAAGTCAGTGTGTAGAAACCTAGAGATTTTTTTTCTTTGTCTTTCTTCCTTTTTTCTCCTATCTTCCTCCCCACCTCCTGCTTCCTTTCATTCCTCTCTCCTCATTCCCTTTCCCCTTCCTCTCCTCCTTCTCCTTTTTCCCCCCTTTCCTATCTTCTTTCTGAGGTGGGGGTGCATTCTTGGAGGTTAGGGAATTCTGTGTCATTGGCTAAGCACTGAGATAGCAGAATGAAGATTTCAGTGACTGCAAGGAATACAGTCTTTGCAAAAATTGTTTGGAAAAGTAACTAAATAAATGGATGGCTGATGCCCACAATAAGCAACAAGTCAAACCCTGGAAAGGAGGGAGAATCCGACGTTCACAGTTACCAGGTTATCATATATAAAATGCCAGAGCACTGAGGTAAAAGAATGGAGACTTAAGGGACCAGCACAGTAAATAATATAGTCTTCACAAAAATACTCAAATTGGCCAGTTTCCAGAAAAAAAAATTATTAGGAATGTAAATAAGAAAATATGGCTCACTCAAAAGAAAAAAAGAAAAAGAAACAAATAAAAACTGCTCCTGAGGAAGCAGACACTGGATCAGTAGACAAAGAATTTAAATCAACTGTCTTAGATATTTTCAGAAAACTAAATCAAGAAAATGATGTCTCAGTGATTATCAATAGGATAGAAATTATAAAAAGGAACCAAGTAGAAATTCTGGAGCTGAAAAGTACAATAAGTGAAATTTAAAATTCACTAGAGGGCAGATTTGAGCAAGTAATTCTGGGTGTGGTTGTGGTGGTTTAGTTGTTAAGTCATATCTGACTCTTGTGTGACCCCATGGACTGTAGCCTGCCAAACATTTCTATCCATGGGATTTCCCAGGCACAAATACTGGAGTGGGTTGCCATTTCCTTCTCCAAGATAGGTCAAATAAAATTATCCAGTCTGAGGAGCAGAAAGAAAAAAAAAAAAGGAAAATGAACCTCAGAGACCTGTTGGCTGCCATCAAGTGTACACACATATACATAATGGGAGTCCCAGAGGTAGAAGAAAAAGAGAAAAGGGTAGAAAGAATATTTGAAGAAATAATGCTCCAAAATTACCCCAAACTTATGAAAGACTTACTATGCACAAAGGATCTTCAATAAGATTTAAAACCAATTTCTCATTAGAAACCATGGATCCCAGAAGGCAGTGGGATAACATAGTTAAAATGTTGAAAGGAAAAAAAAAACTGTCAACTAAATTTTCTACATCTGGCGAGAAATAAGATATGCCCAGATAAACAAAAAATTTGAGGAAGTTCATTGCCAGTAGACCTGCTTTACAAGAAATACTAAAGGGAGCAAATCCTTGCGCATGTCAGAGGTGAGGGAAAGAGGAGACTCTGATGCTGCCCTGGGCCTCTACATCCATATTTCAGCCACCCCCTCCCCAACCCTTCCCTAAAGCTATTAAAAACCTCCATGAGACTTACACTTCTCCTGGAAGCTGCAGGATCCGCAAGGCTCCTTGCCACATGCCCTGGGTCCCAGGCCCCTCAGGAGGGTCAGACCCCAGGCAGGACATGGTGACAGTGAGCAGAGAGCAGCTCCTGTGATGGAGATCATAGGATCAGGCCAAATGACCAGGGGGTGAGGGTGGGGTGGGGTGACAGGTGTCCTCCTGTCCTCACCTGCCTTCTCCACATGCAGCCCGCAAATACAGCTCTGAGGCAGCTCTTGAGTCAGATACCTCCACTTCACTGGCATTTTCCACCACCCTGGAGGAAGGGAAGGCGGAACTCAGCTCCTAAGCACAAGGGTTCTGTCCAGCCCCCAGAATCTCTGGATGGGGAGCCCATGGGCATCCCTAGAGCCTGTAAGAATCATCCCCAAGGCTCCAAGCTCAGTATTTCTCCTAGAAGCCTCTCATCCTTATGATCTTATATTTTTCTCCTTTTATCTGCCCAGTGTGGGAAACAAGGTAGTTGGGACTGCTCTCGTTTTATAGATGGATAAACTGGAGTTCTGCTCAGTGAGATGCTCAGATCACCTGGAATGGGGATGACAGAGTTGAGGAGGTGTAAGTGGATGGGGTGGAGAGAAGAGTGAGAGGGATGAAGGGAAGACTGTGAGAGGGAGTCCTGGGGGCAAATCCAGGCCCTGTAAGCATGACCCCTAGTTCAGAGCCTTTCTTCCTTGGAGTGGTAGTGGGGAGAAGCCTCCAACAACTTAGTTTGGGGTGTCAGCCCTGCCTTAAGATAAGTGCTCTCAGACCTCTCTGGGCCCTGGACACTCACAAGCCCAGAGGAGCCACATCCAGCACAGAAATGTTCCCTGCCCCTGGAGTCAGCAGGTCCCGGCTCCTCCCACTGGCGCTGAGCTGAGATCACACAAGCACGACAGCTGTTACAAACCAAATGTTTGCTCAGACTTTGGCTCACATGACTGTCCCACTGGGGCCCTGTGAGCCAAGCAGGACACCAGAATTCAGCCATTTCAGGCAGAAAAAAGGAGCACCCAGCAAGGCAAGCCAACACTGGTGAGCAGCAGAGACTCAAGCACTTCAGGTTGCCCTCGAGTCTCAGGCTCTATGGCAGCATCACCAGGGCCTTGGCTCCCCAGGTTTCCCCTTCCCCAGGGTCTCACCTGTACCAGGCTAAGAGTGCTAAGCACAGCGTCAGAGCCCTTGAGGGGCAGAGCTTCTTCAAACAGCATCTGTAGCAGCTGAAGTGGAGAAAGGGGTCCAGTGCAGATTGAGAAAGGATTAATTTCTTTTTCAACATTTCCCGAGGGCGAAGTCTATGCCTGACCCTGTGCTAGGTGCCGTGGACAGGGTGGTCAAGACAAAAATAGCCCCAGGGCTCATGGTTCACAGGAAGCCAGACAAGTGAGCAGATATTTTCAGTGGGACCTGATGTTTGCAAGGGCAGGGGCTCATGACAAGATTTTGAGGCAATTATTTTAGTTTGGGGGCATTCTGATGAAGCCTAAAAACAAAACTTTCAACTTTATTATCAATATTACTAAGAACAGTGAAAATTAGATTTGCCTGAGTATTTGATGTTTGCACATCACCCCTCCCTGACCTTCACCCTATGTACCCCAGCCACCCACCTTCCCTGACCTCTCAACAGCTTCATGACTGATGCAGGCAAAACAACCTGTATGGACTCTGGGGCGCTATAGGAGCCCTGAGGAGGGACATCTAGTCCAGCTAGGGTGGGGAGGGGAAAGTTCTTGGAGGTCTCCTGGAGGAGGCAACATGTGAGTCTCGAAACAGCTATGCCTGATGCCTTCTCTGGGACTCACCTGAGGCACAAGCCGGGGCGCCTCTGTTTCCCGACCCCGAAGCAGCAGGGCCACACTGTACCCTCGGCCCACTGAGCCCAGTGTGGGCCGGACTCGTGCTAGCAACTCCTGCTCTGCCTCCTGCCGGAGACACAGGCACACCCCCAACTCAGGCGCCCTGACCCAGCCCACCCTGAGCAAAGAGCTTCAGAAGCACTCAGCACCCCAGGATCAAGGGTTCTGAGTGCTCCCAACCACCTCCCATCACCCTATCAGAACCCCGTACCTGAGCGGCATCAGAACCCAGGACTCTATCAAAGGTGATGCATTGTTCCTGTGAGCAGGATAGGAGTCAACAGTGTCACTCCCATCTTCACACACACCCCAGCCCAGCCCATATCTACCTGACTCTCCACAGACCCAGGCCGAAATAGGCAGATGCTCTTGGCCCCCTCCAGAAGGAGCGTAGGGCAGCAGGTCTCCTTGGGGCCTGAGACAGGTAGACTTCATGTCAACACTTCTGGGGGAAACTGAGCTCCCAGGACCCCCGAGTCCTGCCCTCAACCTTTGCCTCAGTTTCCTAGTGAGATGGCCTTGCCCTCCCCCTCTCCCAGGAGGCTCTCCCAGGCTGTGTTACTTCTGAGATGAATGTGTGGGGGCTTCTTACCAGATCTTGTCCGCTCTACTTCCACCACCACTGTCAACTGGGCCTGTGGGTTGTCAGTGAGGGCTGCGGAGGCTGAGGGGCCCTGGCCCAAAGCAGCCCCTGTGCCCATCACCTCTCCACACTCCATGGCTTCTGTACCTCTCAGATTCCCCTCAATAATTCATCTCCCCGACCTGAGGGCTCTGGGCGTGGCCTCTAAACAATAACTAAGGAGAGACGGTCCTCTATTTTCTGAGTGAGTCAGACTGTTGCATGGAATTTTTCTTTTCTTCCTCTTATGAAATTTTCAGACATTAACTGTGAAGAGAATAGTTTAATGAAACTCCAAGCACTCAGCTTCAGCCATTATCAACTTAACGGCCAGTCTTATTTCTTCTGTTCCCCTTTCCACCCCTAGTGGATTCTTCTGAAGCATATCCCAGACACTTTATATTTCACACATAGCTATTTCAGTATGTATTTATAAAAGATAACCACTCTTTTTTGAAAAAATGATAGCTTTATTGGGAGATAATTCATATACCATATAATTCATCCATTTAAAGTGTGTGTTTCAATGGTTTTTGGTAAGTTTGCAGACATGTATAACTATCACCACAGTTAATTTTAAAACATTTCCATCCCTTTATAAAGAAAGTCGATTTCCTTTACTGTAACCTCATTACCCCCCACCCTATGCTGACCCTTAAACAATCACTCATCTACTTTCTGTCTCTCTAGGTTTGCCTATTTTTGGACATTTCATATAAGTGGACTCACATGTGTTCTTTCTGTGACTGGCTTGTAGCATCTGTCAGGAGAGTGAATGCTCCTCGGTTCATCTGTCTCCTGTCAGCCAAAATTTGCAGCGATGGATGTTAGAGACCTCGGTGTGTCATAGGTCTCGAACAGACCGTGTTATAGCTCTTAGACAGATCAGTGTTACAGCTCCATGTTACAGCTCTATTTTATTTAGAAAATAGCAGGAAAATACATCCTCAAGGCATGAGGGAATGCCGATCAAAAGACGCAAAGAGAAGAGAGTGGGGGAGCGCTCCAATGCGCGGGAGACAGAGAGACCCCCGGCCCTTTGGCGCCTCTTTTTACATGTCTTTTCCTACCCCCTAGGCCTGCCCTATGTAAATTGGGCTGGCCAGGAGTGCTGTTTGTTCTACCTGAGGTCCTCACTCCGGTCCTCGGACCTTCCTTTGTTCCATTTTCACGGGTTTTCCCTTCCTTGTCTTTTAGCCACCGCCATTCTGGACTCCTGTTTCCTATTCTAACTACCTAACACTTCTATCAGTGCCTCTTTCCTTTCTGTGATTGAATCATGTTCCATGTAGGATTAAATTGCTTCTGTTAAGAGAGCCCCAGAGTCTGGCCAAACTTCACAGGTGAGGACACAGGTGCAGTAAGACTGCCCTAACTTCAGACGCTTCTTCTGCAGCTTCCATACTTTGATAGAATGACTTACAGAACTCAGCTCTGCTGTGCTCAGTCACTTTTTAAGTCAACATCAGACAAGGCCTGGAAGGGTTCTGAGTGAAGGATCTCCTGTTTCTATGGCGTGAGGGTATGCCTTCCCAGTACATCAGTATGTTCACCAACCAGGAAGCTCCCTAAGCCTCATTGTTCAGCATTTTTCAATGAGTCATGATTAATTAAATCATAAATTATATGACTGAATCCAACTCCAGCCCTTTCATCTGCAATTTTTATTTTTTTTTGGGTTGCACTTGTGGCCTGCGAGATCTTAATTCCTTTACTAGGGATCCAACCTGTGCACCCTGCAGTGGAAGCTCAGAGTTTTAATCACTACACTGCCAAGGAAAGTCCCTGAATAGTCTTTTTTTTCTTTTTTCTGGTGAGCAACCTCCTCCATCCTGAAGCTATCTAGGGACCCTGCCGGCAGTTATCTTATTAGCATAACAGAGAGATTCCTATTGCTTAGGAATTACAAAGGTTTTTGAAGCTTTGTGCCAGTAACTGGAGACGAAGACCAGATATGTTCTTCATTATATCACAAACCACTCTGGTTTTTCACCAAGGATCTCTTATAGCCAAAAGAATCATACCTGTCTGACCATCTATATTCCGTGTTCAGTTTGTTCAGTTCAGTTCAGTCGCTCAGTTGTGTCCAACTCTTTGTGACCCCATGGACTGCAGCATGCCAGGCCTCCCTGTCCATCACCAACTCCCAGAGTTTACTCAAACTCATGTCCATTGAGTCGGTGGTGCCATCCCACCATCTCATCCTCTGTCTTCCCCTTCTTCTCCCACCTTCAATCTTTCCCAGCATCAGGGTCTTTTCCAGTGAGCCAGTTCTTCACATCAGGTGGCCAAAGTATTGGAGTATTCGGTGTACATCTGTATAACATGTGGAGCAATAGTATCAAGATGAATATGCCTAACCTTTGGAGGAATCATTTTGGGGTAGGCATAGGAGGCTTGTATTTTCCCATATATTTGCCTATCATCACTGATACTGTATGCTTACCAACAATGCCTGTTATTATATCTCATTGTGTAGCTGTTATGTGGGCTTCCCTGGTAGCTCAGTCAGTGAAGAATCTGCCTGCAATGGAGAAGACCACGTGCAGTACTGGAGACCTAGATTCAATCCCTGTGTCTGGAAGGTCCCGTTGAGAAGAAAATGGCAACCCACTCCAGTATGGTTGGCTGGGAAATCCCATGGACAGAGGAGCCTTGTGGGCTACAGTCTATGGGGTCGCAAAAGTCGGACACGACTTAGAGACTAAACCACCACCAGCTGTTATGTGAAAATAAGGAGTAATTAGTTCAGCCTGTCATTATATTTTACTTCCAAAATGTCACCCACAGCAGGGCCAACCAGATTTACTGTCTTCTCAATCTTGGCAGGTTCCAAAAGCAAAAGTGGTCTCAGGATTAGATGGCTTCACCCTCTGACATCTGGTATAACTGAACTAAAGGACAGGTCATCGTTTTCTCTGTGTTAGTGTAATATTGGAGTGTTAATGTTAGTGTAATATTGGAGTTAGTGTTAGTGTAATATTGGAGTTCCTTCATTCCTTCACTCTCAGCCATGGTTCCTCCTTCTAAAGTCGTATGGATGTCAACAGATGCTGAATGGTCAGAACAATCTTATAAAAGAAGAACAAAGTTGGAGGACTCATACTTCCTGATTTCAAAACTTACTGTGAAGCAAGAGTAGTGGAACAGTACGCTGTGGTACTGGCGTAAAAGCAGAGATTAGTCAAAGAGCAGTAAGGGTCCAGAAATAAACCCATGTTTCTATGGACAACTGATTTGACAAAGACGTCAAGAACATTCAGTGAGGAAATGATCTTGGCTGACCTCTGCTTGCAGCAGCCTGAGATGGGGCTTCAGTTCCCTGACCAGAGATAGAAGTCAGGTCTAAGCAGTCAGGGTACTGGATCCTAGCCACTAGACTGGTGGTCAGTGACAAAGCCCTGACTTTTTGACTTTGCAGAAAAGAATTCCCACAAAGATGGAAAGTAGTGAAACAAGAGTTTATTGGGACAAAAAAGAGTATAACACATGTGGATAGACCCATGGGTAGGCTCAGAGAGAGTCGCACCCTCATCGTAGTTTGAATCACTTTTATGGGGCATTTCTTCCAAGTTTTCTTTGGCCAATCACTTTGATGTGCCTGGTTCTGAGCCCATATTTGGTATATCTCAGGGTCCTCCTCTGTGTGCATGTGCATCTCTTAGCCAAGTTGGATTCTAGTGAAGAGGCCTGTGGCTGATTGCCTCACTTACTATGAGGTGACACCCCATCTTTTTTGACCTCCAAGGAGCCTTTCTGCACATGTGTAGGCAGGGAGGTTTCCTTAACTTCAAGAACATGTGGTCTTTTATCACTTACCTGGGCAGAGCCCAGCCTCTTCCATCATCCTGCTTTATGGAGTTTCTGTCCACAGGAGAGAAACTGTTCAGCCTGGGGTCATCTATCTCCTACTTTAGAAGGATTAATCTTTTTAATAAATGACACTGGTACACCTGGATATCCAGATACAGATGAATGAAACGGGACCCTTACTTCAGACCATACGCAAAAATTAACTCAAATTGATCAATTTCATAAATTTAAGAGTTATAGAGAAATTAATCCTCATGACATAATCTAGCAGTGAATTCTCAAATATGGTACCAAAAGCAAGCACAACAAAAGAAAACATGATAAACTGAACTTCATCAAAGTTAAAAATGTTTGTGCATCAAAATATGAAAAACAACCAACAAAATTGGAGAAAATATTTCTAAATTATATGTCTGACAGTGATCTAGTATCCAAGATATATAGAAAGTTCCTGCAACTCAGCAACAAAAAGACAAACCACTCAAGAAAAAAATGAGGAAGAGATTTGGATAGCTATCTCTCCAAAGAAGATATATGCAGTAAAAGATGCTTAACATCATTATACATCAGTGAAATGCAAAAAGATAAACAAAATTAAAACTAAGCAAAGAATTTGAATAGATATTATTTATTCAAAGAAGCTCAACAAGCATGTGAAAGGATGCTCAAAATCCTTGGTCATTAAAGAAATGCAAATCAAAAACAATTAGGTACTACTTCATACTCACTGCTGCTGCTGCTAAGTCGCTTCAGTCGTGTCCGACTTTGTGTGACCCCATAGACGTCAGCCCACCAGGCTCCCCCGTCCCTGGGATTCTCCAGGCAAGAACACTGGAGTGGGTTGCCATTTCCTTTGCATGACTCTAATAAAAAGAGAGAGAAAAAAAAGATGGTCTCTGATTTCAGTACACAACTGAAAATATAAGCTTTCAGGGCATGTATTGCTTTAAATGTATAATACAACTTGCTGCCAGACCAGATGCGTAGAAAAACAAAACCAACTCCTTTCTATAGTCATTGAAACAAAGTCTACTGTTCCGTTTTAACAAATCTTTATTGTATTTTGCACTGATTGACACACATCTGCTTATTTAGTAGCTAAGAGTACCTAGGGCATCCCTGGTGGTTCAGTGGTTAGGAATCTGCCTTGCAATGCAGGGGACACACATTTGATCTCTGGTTTGGGAAGATCCCACATGCTGCAAAGCAAGTCTGTCTACCACAACTACTGAGTCCATGCGCTGCAACTACTGAACCCGTGCTCTGTAACTGAGAGTAGACACAGCTCACCACAGCTAGAGAAAACCTGCATGCAGTAATGATGACCCAGCATAGCCAAAATAAGTACAAGAGTACCCGATAAAAGTCCCGGCAGTCTGTTTGTTTCAATTCAGCCGTTTCTACACACTAACAATGAACAATCTGAAAAGGAAATTAAGAAAAAAAATTCCATTTAAAATCGCATCAAAAAATAAAATACTTGGAAATTAAAGAGATGAAAAGACATGTACAGTGAAAACTACAAAAATTGCTGAAAGAATGAAAAAAGACACAAGTGGATAGAAAATCATCCCATGTTCATGGATTGGAAGACAATATTATTAGGATATCAACACTCTCCAAAGCAATCTACAGATTTAATTAAATTCTTATCAAAACCTAATGGCTTTTTTTTACAGAAATAGAAAAATCCATCCTAAGATTCATATGGACTCTCAAGGAACCCCAAGAAGTCAAAGAAATCTTGAAAAGAAGAATAAAATTAGAGACCTCACACATCCTGATTTCATACCTTATTACAGATGTAACCAAACAGCATGGTACTGACATGAAGACAGATATATTGACCAGTAGCATTGAAAAGAGCCCTGGAGAAGGGAATGGCAACCCACTCCAATAGTCTTGCCTGAGAAATCCCATGGACAGAGGAGCCTGGCAGGTTACAGTCCATGGGGATGCAAAAGACACAAGTTAATGACTAAACCACTACCACCACCATTGAATAGAGAGCCCAGATATAAAACCTGAACTACATGGTCAAATGATTTTCAACAAGGGTGCCAAGACCATTTAATGTCTTTTCAAACAATGGTATTGGGAAAACTATTGACATGCAAAAGTGTTGGGAGGCAGATATATTTGAATAATATCCATCGAACTGAGAAAGAACTTTGAGATGAAAAAACAAAGCAGGCAACTCCATAAAGTACAGTTTGAAGTTTATTGTGGGTACTGACATACAGCCATGTTACTTACATAATGCAGGTATTGTGAATTTACATACAGCCAACATCCAGAGGCACTCACAGCTGCACTCTGCAAACGGGATACCTGAGATTTAAAGGGGTCAAGGCTAAAAACAGAATTTGACTACCAAGTAAGCTGCACATCTGCATCCATGGGAACCTGGGCTTTTTCCTCTCTGAGGGTCTCATGACCGTTAACCATCTGTGTCAGCAAAAGGCATCCTTCCAGTTTTTTTTTTCTTCCAGTTTTCATATCAGATGAAGGCAAGAGTAAAAGCTGTTAGGTAAGTTATCTGGCTTGGGTACACTCCTTGTGAGTAGAGTAAAGCTCAGTTATGCAGAGAGAGGAGGGGGCAGGACTGTGGGCCTAAGATGAAACTGAAAAAATGGAGCCAGTGAGGTTTGGCCACACAGATTGGCAGTTTATTTAGCTGTCCCTGTGATTCTTTGAGTCTGTAGTCTGATGACCTGTGTAACTCTCCCATCAATGTAATAATGTGCATTATCTGTTCCTATCTGTGTGGTTCTGGACACTGGAGGGACGCAGGCAGGAGAAGGGCTATGTTTACATGCCTCTCCCCACTCCTCTTTAGGTCCCCGTTGAGGCATATCTAGATTCCTTATGGATGTGACTGCCTCCTCGATGTGATGAAGAAGGAACCCTTAGAAGGAACAGTCCCTCTTGGTTGATGTCCTAGGTCACTGAGATAATGTGGTTCAGGGGACATATACTGGTAATTGCTGTATGAAGGGGTCCAAATAAGCTGTGAAGGGTCTAAGATGATATCCTGTTTGCAAATCAAAGAACAATCATACATTTGTATATTAGCATAATTGCAAAATCTCTGGTTCAGAGAAGGTTAAATTACAGCATCTTGCATCAGTTCCCCATTCTCAAGCTCCCCCATTATTACCTGACAGAATGAAAATCAGTGTACCTCTGTAGGCAGAGAGGCTATACACTACAGGAGAGCAACCTTGAAATTATCAACCTCAGAGCTTAGGTAGAATGAGTGGCATAGCTGTCTTTCCTCACTGGGGGTTGGAGGAAAAAGAAGAGTAAGAATAAGCAAATGGCTCTGGGTTTTATAACCTTGGAAGGGAGCAGCTGCGTCTTGGAAAATGCACCAGAGAGGATCCTTCCAGGCATGTTTACCATTCAAACATCCTTTAACACAGGTTCTAGTAATCTGTTCAGAAAACCCCCAATCGCAGGGAAACCCTTGGTTCTCCCACGCAGCCCTAGACACGCAACTTTTCCCTGCCCCTTCTGCCCCCGTAGTTCCTTTCTATGGTGGGGAGGGTATGGTTTCTAGCAAGTTAGGAAGAAGAATGTTTAAGTATAATGGATTCCCTGCTCAGCAGTGTGCCCGGTAAACATCTGCTGAGTGAATGACACGGGTCTGCTGTTTAAGATTTTAATAAGGATGGGGCAGAAGGCTGGTTGGTTGAGAAGTCCTGACGAGGGTCTCCCGGAGCCAGGGTAATCTGAGCCAATTCATTCCTCTCCCTTCTCTTCCCCCGGCCTTACGCGAAGCCTCGGGCTCCTTGAAGCAGCGCCAGGGTTCCTGACACCCCCATGGTCAAGGCCGAACGCGCACAGGCTGGGACCACGCCGGAGATCATCGGGGCGTCTTGGTGCTGGAGGGCTCCAGGGTCCAGAAAGGGATTTCCGTCCAGAGTCAGGTCATTTACCTCGGGCAGCTCGTCTCGCCGCGGTTCCCTGCTTAGCTTGTTGCAGCTGAGATCAAGCGCGCTGAGCTTGGGCGGCAGTCCTTTAGGCACTTGCTCCAGCCCAGCGAACGACAGATTGAGAGAGCTTAGCGCCCTGGGCCAGACACACCGGGTAGCGCCCGGGGCGGTGGCGCGCAGCGAGTTGTGGCTGAGGTCCAGGCTTCGGGGCTGAACCCTCGCTGCCTCCAGCGCCGCGCACACGCCGCTCAGCGTCTCCATCCCCGCGTTGCGTAGCGCTAGATATTGGAGGGCCGGGAACTTGTGCGGACAGAGAGCCGCCATCAGCCCGCTGTCGCCGAGACCGGGATTGTTAGACAGGTCCAGGGTGGTGAGAGCTTCGAAGGCGGAGAGCCCTGCGCAGGGAAAGGCAAGCGAGTGTGCTTGGGCAACGTTCAGCTCCTTGAGCCCAGGCTTGAGCCACTGCTGCAGTTCGCCGAGCCAGGCGCGTCCTGTTGCCCACGATACGTTACGGAGACTGAGGCTGGTGAGCGCAGGCCCAGCGGCTTCCAGAGGCGTCGGGGGCGTCGGGCCGGTTACCTCCAGGTCCTCAAGCGTCAGTTCCTTGAGACGAGAGTACCCGAGCGCTCGCAGAACGGCGACCAGAAGCTGAGCGGGAACCTGTGCAGCGCCCAGCTTGAGTCGCCGAACGCGCAGAGCCTTGATTGTGTCAGCATACTGCTTCGGGTCGGCGTCAGCTCCCTTGAGAAATTGTTCCAGGCTGCGGCCGCCGCCACGGATCTCCACCTCGACGGCAACCATACACTGAATGGCGCTGGACCAGTCAGGCTTGGGATCCGTGAAGTTGCAGACACAGCGGAAATCGTCGTCGTCCAGCTCGCAGGGCTCTGTGGTGTCCGCAGACACACGCAGCAGCGGCGGCAGCAGCAGCAGCAGCAGCAGGCAGGGCACGCACACCTGGAAAGACAGCGGAGGTCAGGGCGGCCCAAGCCGGTTCCTAAGGTTCCCCGAATAGCCCCCGCTTCGGCCCCAAGAGCATACTCTCACCATACTCGGTAGATCCTCAGAGCCTCTGCCTCTCTCTCTGGTTGTCAGCTGGACTGTGGCTTCTTTCCTTTTCAGTGGCTCACGCCGGCTTCCAGGCTCCACAAACCTATCTGTCCTTACTCTTTGGCAGCCTCTGAAAGTTTATGTAACCCTGTGATGTCGCTCTGCTCCCCCTTCTTTGAACCCTGTCACTCCCCACCTTTCTTCCTCCCAGCCACCCCATTCGCTACTCTTCCTGGAAATTTCGCAATGAAGGATGTTGCCAGGAGAGGGGCTATAACAGGAAGGATCTTGCAAGGCATCTATTCCTCTGACCCAGGCAGTGCCCGGATGACTCAGATGCCTCCAGGCTTGTCTGGGTTGGAGAAAGAGAGATCCCCAGTTCCTCAGGCCAGGATTCTCAATGTCCCCTGCCCCTACCCCAGTGATTCAGGCTGGGTACTTTCCATAACTTTTCCCTAGTCTTGGTGGTTGTTATTAACTTCTTGCCAACCAAGTTCAACTCCCTGAATATCCTCAGATATTTAACTGGATATATTGTGGAAGAGACTGCAAACTTCATTTATTGACTCCAAGGGATAGTTCGAGAGAAGGAAGTTGGTCTAAAGAACAGCTTCCCCCCAATGTGCTTTTTTGTTTTTTGCTGACTTGTTCTTTAAATGTATTTATTAAGTAACAGGTTTTTAATTTTTTGGGGGGAGGGGGGCCTGCTGCTTGTGTGACCTTAGTTCCCTGACCAGGAATTGAAAGTCCCCTGCATTGGGAGTGGCAGTCTTAACCACTGGACCACCAGGGAAGTTGCAGACACAGCAGAAATCTCCATCCATCAGCTCTGGTGTGTCTTGCTGCTGCTGCTGCTAAGTCACTTCAGTCGTGTCCGACTCTGTGCGACCCCATAGAAGGCAGCCCACCAGGCTTGCCCGTCCCTGGGATTCTCCAGGCAAGAACACTGGAGTGGGTTGCCATTTCCTTCTCCAATGCATGAAAGTGAGAAGTGAAAGTGACGTCGCTGAGTCTTGTCTGACTCTCAACGACCCCATGGACTGCAGCCTACCAGGCTCCTCCGTCCTTGGGATTTTTCAGGCGAGAGTACTGGAATGGGTTGCCATTGCCTTCTCCAGGTGTGTCTTAGGAGAAGGTAATCCTGATAGATTCTTTTTTTTAATCGAAGTATAATTGATGTACAATGTTACGTGTAACAGGTGTGCCCTGTGGTGATTCATGAGTTTTAAAGTAACAGCTTTCTTAAAAGTAGCGAAGTCTATGTGTTGAACAGAGACACATCGGCCAAGTGCCTCACTCTCTTAGTTTCCACTTCTCTATCCTGAAATTTGAGAAACAAGATATTCCTAATATAATTTTCTCACTTGCCCCTAGCTCTCTCCTGCCCTCTCCCCAGCACAATTCCTATGTCCTAGGAAGGAAAAGCTGGACCTGTGTTGAATGAGGATTAATTAGTAACTCACCTACTCTTTCAAGAAAAGAAAAGCAAGTGTCCCAGAGGGTGCGGAAGTATTACCAAACCAGGTTCGTTTGGCCAACAGGCACTGAGCCAAACTCTGAAACCCTGAAGTTTGTAGAAAGGATTTATTCATGAGGAATCTGAGGAGCAGGAAGAACAAATCTCACATTTACCTCCTCAACGGAAAGGGGCTTAGGATACTTATGGGTGAAGGGTGTAGATTGGTTGGAGGTGCAGAAGAAGGTGATTGGGGATAGGAAAAAAGGTGAGGTAATCTGTACTCTGCTGGTGTGTCTGAGTTATATGCTTCTTCATGGGAGGGACATTCATAAAATGGTAGTATTAGCATGGTCTGAGGGTGAAGTTTTAGCCCTCTGACATCAAAAGGCCATCCATCCAGCACTCACACAGACCTGGTTGGAAGGTTGTGGTTTCAAGCAGTCTTAATCAGCTGAAATGTGAACTGGACAAGATCTGACTCTAAGTTCCTGAAAAATCGGCTTAAGGAACCGTTACTATAGCAATCCGTACATCAGAGGTATTGCCCACGAAGAGGTACTAATGGAGTCTTGTGACATACTGTGTAAGCTACATGAAGGTATGTAATTTGCAAGAACAATTAAGGCTAAGGCAAGCTTGATTGATGAAGGCAATTTACATGATATTATTTATTAAGCTATAGTTCAAGAGATCTAGTTGATGACTGCCCTCAGTTTCAGAAGGGCTGTACTTTTAAAAGAGCCCTTGTAAGTCTGAACTTCTAGATTTCTGGGCAAAGCGCTACATAAAAACATATGAATTCTCACTTCCCTTTTCCCCAGAAGTAACTACACATCTGTCCCCAGTGCAAACAAGGAGCCCACATTGGACCACACTGCCTCCTGTATGTCCTGTTGGGCATGTCCTAATACCCAAAGTCATGCCTAAAGTCCAGACCATGTCACTGGGACATCCCTGAGGACCAAGATATGAGTATAGTTCAGTGTGAAATACGCCAACTGACTGCAGTCAGACAAACAGGCTTGGAATCCCAACACTACCACTAAGGTTGTAGCAGTAGCCCTTCATTGTTGTCTTCATCAGAGTCTCTGCATTCAGAGGACCCAGGCTACTGAAGCCTGACTCCTCAGCAAATTCCATCACCTTAACAACAAAGATCTACTGTGTAGTGCAGAAACTCTATTCAATATCTTATAGTAACCTGTAATGAAAAAGAATCTGAAAAAGAATATATATATGTGTGTATATATATATGTATATATAAAAATATATAAATGACTGAATCACTTTGCTGTACACCTGAAACTAATGTAACATAAATTAACTATACTTCAATTTTTTAAAATGGTTTAAAAGATTCCATCATCTTAGGGGAGACACTCCAAGTTAAGAGGGGCAATAATGGTTTTGCAAAGGTCCCCAAGTCACAGCTTCATTCAAAAAATATCCACCATTTGTCTACCAAGTGCCAGAGCTGATGCCAAGTCTTGGGATGCTGATCTGATCATCACACAGTTCCTCAAGTACTCTAGAAGGTGGGGGAGGCAAATGCAAACACAGAACTACAGTCCATGGTGAACAGGATTCTTACACAGGAGAAAATAAGGACTTGTGGGAGCTCTAGAGAAAGAAACAGCTAGGCCTATAATAGGACATGGGGCTGTTTCTTACAGGGTTAACAGTGTTGCCAGGCAGATAAGTGCAATAAAACAAACAAACAAAAAACAAGCCCTCCTCCCTCACCAAAAAAGAAGAAACAAAAACAAAAATAGTTTGGGCAGCTATAACTGAGCAGACACTCTGGGCAGAGCATAGATTTTTCCTGGGGACTTGCCTTATCTTTCATATTATGAGAAAGATGTAGGTGTCAGAAGCCAGCCTGTCCCATAAGGAAGGGGACAAGTCCCAGATCCTATTCCCCAGCTAGATCATGGTGCATCAATAATGATACTCAGGGAATTCCCTGCTGGTCCGAGGGCTAGGGCTCTGTGCTTTCACTAAATAAATAAATAATGCTCAATAAATGATTGTCCAGAGGCTGGATGGATGCTGGAGCTGAAGGGAAGATGTGGAGGATAAGATGATGTTCTGCAGATATTTAACTACATGTTTCGTGGAAGAAATCAAAGACTTCCTTGACTAACTCCAAGGAGTGGAATTAAATCCAAGGGAAGGAAGTTGGTTTGAAGAACAGTTGGTTTGAAGAACACTTTCCTTTCTTGGATTTGTTCTTACTTGCACTTTTGCCTAAGTAGTAGCTTTCAAAAAATTGTTGTTGTGTCCATCTCTTTGCAGCCCCACAGACTGCAACACACTAGGCTCCCCTGTCCTTCACTAACTCCCAGAGTTTGCTCAGATTCATGTCCATTGAGTCAGTGATGCTATCTAACCATCTCATCCTCTGCTGCCCTCATCTCCTTTTGCCTTCAGTTTTTCCCAGCATCAGAATCTTTTTCAATGAGGCAGCTCGTTCCATCAGGTGGCCAAAGTATTGGAGCTTCAGCTTCGGCGTCAGTCCTTCCTGAATATTCAGGATTGATTTCCTTTAGGATTGACTGCTTTGATCTGTTTGCTGTCCAAGGGACTTTCAAGAGTTTTCTCCAGCAACACAATTTGAATGCTTCAATTCTTTGGTGCTCAGCCTTCTTTTTGGTCCAACTCTCATGACTACTGAAACTTTTTTTGGCAAAGTGATGTCTCTGCTTTTTAATATGCTGTCCAGATTTGTCATAGCTTTTCTTCCAAGGAGCAAGTGTCTTTTAATTTCAAAAGATCAGCAGATTCTATAAGAATTCTTTAACTTTTTTTTTTTTCTTGGCACACACCTTGCCCAGGATCTTAGATCCCCACCAGGGATTGAACTCTCTGTCCTCAGCAGTGAAAGCACAGAGTCCTAACCACTGGGCCACCAGGGAATTGCCTCAATAAAAATTCTTAAGTGCTACCAGGACTCTACTCTTTTGGAGTTGTGAAGGGTGTTTGGGAGGAGAAAACATCAAACAGTTGCACTGTAACAATGACAGCTGTGAAAAGGGTTATGAAGAAGTGTATGATGCTACATGCTCTCAAACAGGGGCACTGGTCCAGTTGTTCTGAGTAGGGCAGTGGATATTTTGAGGATGGTGTTAGTTAAAGGAAGGGGGCTGGTTGTAGTAGAGGTGGGGTGGCAGAGACTGGGCTCCAGACAATGGAACAGCCTGTGCAAAAGCCCAGAAGAGAAAAAAGTGCAAGGCTTGTTTAGGGAACAAAAATCCTAGGAGAGATGAGTAAGGCACGGCTGGAGAGGTATGCAGGAAATAGACCATGTAGGGCTTAGTTGGGCACAATTCAGATTTTTGAGGGTATGGAACAGTTTTTGTTTGTTTTGGCCGCGCCGCCCAGCTTTTGGGATCTTAGTTCCAGAGGGCGGATTGAACCTGGGGCTATGGCAGTGAAAGTGCCTATTCCTAACCAATGAACTGCCAGGGAATTCCCTGGAACTTGGTGTTTAATTCACCAGTGTTTCCCCATTACCTAGTAGATTAGTGGTGCTCAAAGTTGATGAAACAATTACTTTATTGTAAAAATAATGCCATTCACTTTTATGCAGAACAGTGATCCATAATTGTATTTGATTCATTTTACTCACCTGTAAAATGGGGATTTTTACTCTCCAAGCCAGGCTTCAGCAATATGTGAACCGTGAACTTTCAGATGTTCAAGCTGGTTTTAGAAAAGGCAGAGGAACCAGAGATTAAATTGCCAACATCTGCTGGATCATAGAAAAAGCAAGAGAGTTCCAGAAAAACATCTATTTCTGCTTTATTGACTATGCCAAAGCCTTTGACTGTGTGGATCAGAATAAACCGGAAAATTCTGCAAGAGATGGGAATACCAGACCACCTGACCTGCCTCTTGAGAAACCTGTATGCAGGTCAGGAAGCAACAGTTAGAATTGGACATGAAACAACAGACTGGTTCCAAATTGGAAAAGGAGTACGTCAAAGCTGTATATTGTCACCCTGCTTATTTAACTTATATGCAGAGTACATCATGAGAAAGGCTGGGCTGGAGGAAGCACAAGCTGGAATCAAGATCCCTGGGAGAAGTATCAATAACCTCAGATATGCAGATGACACCACCCTTATGGCAGAAAGTGAAGAAGAACTAAAGAGCCTCTTGATGAAAGTGAAAAACGAAAGTGAAAAAGTTGGCTTAAAGCTCAACATTCAGAAACATTACGGTCCCATTACTTCATGGCAAATAGATGGGGAAACAGTCGAAACAGTGGCTGACTTTATTTTTCTGGGCCCCAAAATCACTTCAGATGGCGATTGCAGCCATGAAATTAAAAGACGCTTACTCCTTGGAAGGAAAGTTATGACCAATCTAGACAGCATATTAAAAAGCAGAGACATTACTTTGTCAACAAAGGTCCATCTAGTCAAGGCTATGGTTTTTCCAGTGGTCATGTATGGATGTGAGAGTTGGACTATGCTGAGCACAGAAGAATTGATGTTTTTGAACTGTGGTGTTGGAGAAGACTCTTGAGAGTCCCTTGGACTGCAAGGAGATCCAACCAGTCCATCCTAAAGGAGATCAGTCCTGGGTGTTCATTGGAAGGACTGGTGTTGAAGCTGAAACTCCAATATTTTGGGCACCTGATGCAAAGAGAGCTGACTCATTTGAAAAGACCCTGATGCTGGGAAAGATTGAGGGCAGGAAGAGAAGGGGATGACAGAGGATGAACATCACCGACTCAATGGACATGGGTTTGGGTGAACTCCGGGAGTTGGTAATGGACAGGGAGGCCTGGAGTGCTGCGGTTCATGGGGTCGCAAAGAGTCGGACACGACTGAGCGACTGAAGTGAACTGAACTGAAAATGGGGATAACTGTCATGGCAGTGTCCAGGATTTAGCTAGCACTCATCACTGAGATGTCATTGTTATTGGTGAAAGGGCATTCGATATTTTCAGGGTAGTTTTTTTGTTGTTGTTGTTGTTTTGGTTTGCTTTGCTTTGGGGGCTTTTAAAGCGGCACTCAGGATTTTAGTTCCCTGATTAGGGATCCAACCTCGCTGACCCCAACGGAAGCGCGGAGTCTTAACTACTGGACTCCAGGGAAGTCCCTTTAGAACTCAGGGTAGTTTTGTTCTTTTAGACTGTGTTAGGGGCAGGAAGGTTTTGTTTGCTGACACTAAGTAGCCGGGGGTTTCCAGTGTCGGCAGCCGAGAAACCGAAGGCAGAGGGACAGCTTGTTTAGTCGCAAAGTCATGTGGGATTCTTTTGCGCCAGGGTCCTCTGTCCATGCGATTTCCCAGACAATACTGGAGTGGGGTTGCCACTCCCTTATCCAGGGATCGAACCTATGTCTCCTGCATTGGCAGGCGGGTTCTTTACCACTGAGCCACCAAAGAAACTCTAAACCACAGCTGCTACTTGGAATTCGCTTGGCTAAAGGTCCCATCCCTCAATCAGTGGCCCCTCCCCGCCCTCGCCCCACCCAATCCTGTCTTTTTATCTTCCCTCCCTCGGTCTGCCCCACCCTCTCGCCGCTTCGCCCAGGCCGGCCTATGGTCGCGCCCCCTCGTTCCGCCCCGCCTTCACTTCGCTGCGTGCCCCGCCCACTGGCACCTCCCTTTCCGCCCTGCGCTGCGCCTGCGCCGGCTGTGGCCTGTTTTGGATCTCTGGGTAAAGTTGTTGGCTGTCCAGTTCGTGCAGAATTTTTCCACTTCTATCATGTGGAGCAGACGGCGAGGCCTCCTCAGGCCGTTAGGCTGCGGAGTGGAGGAGCTACGGTGCCGCCGGCGGGAGCGGGAGGCAGGTGCGGGTGGGCGAGGGAACACGGGAGGATGGGGTTATGGAGGTCGGAGATGGGGCAACTGGACGAGCCCTGGGTTGTGGGTTCCCCTCCCATGCTCAGCCGTCTCTTCCCCCCTCAGCACTGCGGAAGGCGCGGAGGGAGCAGCAGCTGGTTAGCAAGAGGCTGCTGAGAGACGAAGCTACGGAGGAAGCCGAAGGGGGATGTGTGGTCGTGATCCTCGGAGAAGCCGAGGTGAGCGGTCAGGGTGCGTGGTGAGAGTCACACCCACTAGGCGGCAGATTCCTTCTGTTGTACTGGAGGGCTGTCTCCAAACCTGAACGCGGACCCTTCAACACCTCTATCCGTCTAGTGCTCAGTCGCTTCAGTCCTGTACGACTCTGTGTCTCCCATGTACTGTAACCCGCCAGGCTCCTCTGTCCATGGCGTTCTCCCGGCAAGAATACTAGAATGGGTTGCCATTTGCTTCTCTATCCGTCTGGTGGGCCAAGCCAGAAACCAGGAAATCATTCTTGACAACTCTCTTCCTTAACCCCACACCAATACATCATCGAGTCCTCCCCTCCCCTCCCCTCTCTTCCCTTCCCCCCCCCGCTTTTTTTTGCCTCCTACCTCTTTACATGGCGTTGCCGTCAATAATGACAGTACCCTTTTCTCTGCATACTTAACAGAAGCCTCTTAACAGGTCATCTACCGAAATTTTGCCTCTCTCAAATTCATTCTTTGGGAGGGGGGTTCAGGATGGGGAGACACCTGTACACCCGTGGCTGATTCATGTTGATGTATGGCGAAAACCTCCACAATATTGTAAAGTAATTAGCCTCCTATTAAATTAATTTTTAAAAATTCATTCTTTACACGTCAGGCAGATGCGTCCAAAATCCTTCCTCTGATCTACACACTCTAGCATAGTATAACTTCTGCCATTTGCAGTCTTGTTGGTTTACTCATTTCAGCCACATTGTCCTCTTTTCAGTTCTTGGAACAATATACCAGCCCCATTCTTCTCTTATGGCCTTTGCATTTGCTGCACCTAAAGTAGGTCTGCAGAATGTTAATTATACTAATTGTTTGCTTGTTTGTTACCTTTTTTCTAACTAGACTTTATCCACAGGAACCTAGACTTTATCTTATTTGTCATCATTGAAAATTCAGACGCTTATACAGTATCTGGTGTATAGTAGATGCTCAGCATTTATGAAATAAGTGAACAAAAGAACTTATTTCAGCTCCTTTATTCATTTAGCAAGCATCAGGCATACTGTATGTTCACACTAGGTTTATGTGTATAGTTTATGAAGAACTTATACTTAGGTTATGTCATTTATTCATTGTTGTGTCTATTTTGTACCAAGACACCTATGCTGGGTACTCAGGTACACAAAAAAGAAAAGAGTCCCTTTCTTTGACATGTTCCCAACCCACTGAAGGAGACAGATGTGCTCCTACCTGTGGTGAAGGAAACATGAGGTACAGTAGAAACCACTGAGTCTTCCAAAGGATACCAGAAAGAACTAACTTCCCAGAGGCAGTTAGAAGAGAAAGCTGAAGTAAATGAAGGACCTGTGGATGGTATCCCATGCAGAAGGGATGGATATTGCAAAAGGTTGGAAACATTAAAAAAACAAGTCATGTTATGCTAAATGTTGTTGCAATGTCAGTTGTATGGGGACAATGGCTGGAGGGGTAGGTTATGCCAGGCTGAGAGATTTAAATATTATTTTTGAAATAAGCCAGTAAGACACCAGAGTAGATGTTACTCCCATTTTTCAGGTGAGAAACTGGGTTTAGTCCCCTGTAGAATAAGTGGCAGGACTGGTATTAAATGCTGTTTTGATTCCCTCTTCTGTCCACTCTACTGCAGGGTTAGCATTTATTAGCCATAATAGTGTGAATGACAAGTTCTTGGGATCGTGCCATATTGGAGGGCTCACAAGTGAAGTAGGCAGAGCAGAACTCATGTCTTGCTATCTGGCATCGATGTGTTGCCATGTCTCATTTCCATGCCCTGTGCTACAGATCCAGGAGTTCCTGCGGTTGGCCCAGCGGGGGATAGAGGAAAAGGAGAGGGAGAGGGCTCTGGTCAGCCTTCGTCGAGGCTTGCAGCACCCTGAGACACAACAGATCTTCATCAGGTCAGTGTGGATGATGTGAGTGGGTGGCTGGGGCACTGGGGGATGGACAGGGGTGTGGAGGGGATGAGCCGCTAGCTGAGAAGGACTCTGGTGCTCACTCACGTAGGCTGGAGGGCAGCATTCGGACCCTGGTTGGGCTCCTGACCAGCAACCAGGCCCTGCTGCAGCTTGAGGCGGCTCGGTGCCTTCATGAGCTCTCTCACTCTGAGCAGTCTGCGGTGGCTGAGGCCTGCCTGCCAGCAACTTCCTACCTTCTCACCTACCTCTCCGGTCACAGCTCAGACTTTATAGTAAGCTCTGTCCTGTCCTACCTTGTTTTGGGTTTGGATTTAAAAATTGTGCTTTTGGGTCCAGTTTGAGCTGGCAGGTAGGTTAAAGAGGAAAACCTGGTTCCCTGACAGCCATAGCCATACATGCAGCATCACCTGCCCACTCCCTTGTGCCCAGATTCTCAAGGACTGGGATGCTTGATCTTTCCCATTCCCACCCTAGCCCCTGCCCACGCACACCCCCCAACCCCATCCACCCCGGGCCTGAGATCCTGAGGTAGGCCAAGCCCAGTGCTTTTGTTGTTCTGCTCTCAGGAGCTCTGTCTGTATACCCTGGGTAACCTGATTGTGGAGAGTGAGGCTGTGAGAAGGCAGCTTCTGCCTCAGGGCATTGTTCCGGCTTTGGCTGCCTGCATCCAGGTGAGTGTCCACCTCCTTTCTTCCTCCTGGAGTACCCATCTCCTCACACGGCCCATCTGCTCTGGTTAGGCAGCTGCAGCCTCTTCTCTGCGCTAAGAGGTTGAAAGTCGTAGGAAACCTTACGGCCTAGCTTCCAGAGTCAGACCCCTGCTCTGCTCCTAGTCTCCCCGTCTGACTGTGCTGGAAGCCCTTGGATATGCCTTGTCCCAGCTTCTGCAGGCTAAGGAGGCTCCAGAGAAGATCATCCCGTAAGTCAAACTCATGTGTAGGCAGGTGTGACCTACTCGGTAGTGTAGCCCCTGGATGCCTCATTGAGTCTTGTTTCCAACGCACTGGACATTTTAACCCCATGCGCCTGACTGGGAAGAGCTTTGGGTTTGGGGCACTTTGCCACCTGCTCTTCGGGTTTGGGAAGAGTGATTGACATCTTGCCTTCCATGGTTCCTACTCAGAGCTCTGCTTCTACTGACAGCTCCGTCCTGGGCTCTACTCTCCCCCAGCACATACTGCAACTGTTACAACCCGGCCCAAAGCTGAACCTTGGGGTAGCTGTGGAGTTTGCCTGGTGCCTTCACTACATCATTTGCAGGTAATAGGGCAATTGGGAAAGTGCCAGACTTCCCCTGGGGCTTCCTTCCATGACACTCAGGCTTTAGTTTCTGAAATTGTGGGGATGAGTCTTCTTTCTTCTCTGGTCCTCTCTTCTTGGAGCCCAGGGAACCCACAGACCCAGGCTGTTTGCCAGCTTAATGTAGGACTGAGTAGTGACTGCTTGCTTCCTGTTGCCCAGCCAGGTCAACAATGCCCTGCTCATCACCCAGGGGGCTCTAACCACCCTGGGGCTGCTGCTCTTGGACTTGGCTGCGGCTGTCCAGAGAACTAAGAATGCAGGACTGGAGCTGGTACGTGGACAGGCCAATATCTGGGTGACCTTCTGATTCAGTTCCGGCTCGTGTGCAGGTTGCCCCTTCCTGCTTAAACCTGAACCCCTGCTTGTCTTTACAGCTGGTATGCCCTGTTGTTCGGTGTCTAAGCAACTTGCTGACAGAGGCAGCAGCAGAGACTGTGGGAGGGGCAGTGCATCTCCGAGATGAGCGTGTTGTGGCAGCCTTATTTATCCTTCTGCAGTTCTTCCTCCAGGAACAGCCCAGCCTGCTTCCTGAGGGCCTCTGGCTCCTTAACAACCTCACTGGTAAGCACCACGATCTGCCTTGGCCTGGACCTTTAGCTCCTGGGAATATTTCTTCTTGGTCTGGGCTGAAGTGGGTAGGATTGGGAGTGGGTTGGTTTCATGCCTGAGTTGGAGGAACTTCACTCTGACATTTTCCCTTTCAGCAAACAGTCCTAGTTTTTGTACCTCCTTGATCTCCCTGGATCTGATTGAGCCCCTCTTGCACTTGCTGTCAGTGTCTAATGTTGTGAGCGTATTGGTAGGTATTTGGGTCCCTTGGGTCCAAGATATGGTGGCCTAAGTGTAAAACTGGGAGCAGACCTGAGCCCTCAGAAGTACCCTGAGCTGAGAGCTGGCAGGTGGTGTGGTATGGATTCCTTCAGAGCCATACAGTCACAGAGCAGTCTAGGTGTGAGTTCCTAAACTAGAGTTTACTAGTTATTAACCTTGAGCATGTCAGCTAACCACCTTAAACTTCAGTTTCCTCATTTATAATTGGGAATATAATCCTACCAGAGGGTGCCTGAGAGGATTACAGAATATACATATTAAGAGTGCTTGGCCTGGTGACTGGGCATGTGGTTAGCACTCCATTCCAGCTATCTTTAAAATCTTTGGGTTTCATTGTTTGTGGGGACTGTGTACATGTTTCTGTCTGCAGGTGCTCACAGTTCTGTGCAACGTTGCAGAGAAAGGTCCTGCTTACTGTCAGCATCTATGGCCAGGGCTCCTGCTCCCCACCTTGCTGGACATGCTGGCCCTCTCTGACACTGAAGTAGTAGGCCAGAGTTTGGAGCTGCTGCAGCTGCTGTTCCTCTATCGGCCAGGGGTGGGTTTCTGGCCTTAGTCCCCAGTGCCCCCTGTTCCACCATGGCCCCCTTCCTTACAGTCTTTAGTTAGTTCTCTGGGCCTGGCTAGCCTATGTGGGCTCCAGGTTCAAACTTCTGTACTCTTTTTGGGAATGCACTCTTCCAAGAAGAGCTGGGCTAACTCAAGGCTGTGGTGTTTGTGTGCTGCAGCTCAGGGACCCAGTGTTGAATCTCTTTCTTTCCTGCTCTCAGGCTGCCCAGGCCTTCTTGCAGCAGTCAGGGCTGCAGGCCTTACAAAGGCATGAGGAGGTGGCACAGCTTCAGGATCGCGTGCATGCTCTCCAGCAGACAGCTCTTTATGGGTAACTTGACTTCTGAGAGTCATGTACTCCACTCCTTATCTCCCATACTCCCATATCCTGGCCCATAAATCCCCTTTGGGGGTTTAGAACCATAATGGTATCATGCCCTCAGCTCCCACACCTAAGCCTAAGCCAAGACCTCTGGATCCCAGCTCTTCCCCTTTCACCCAGCACTGTCCAGGCAAGAGGACCAGATGGAACTCAGTGTGGTGTACTTAATACAGGTCCCTGGAATCTCCTTTTTTGTTTTTCTTTCCTTTTTTTTTTTTTTTGATTCAGTGGCTCATGGCTTTTGATGGGACAGAATAAAATAAAGTCTTATTTTTATATTCAACTGCTTTTCCTCAGATGGTTGCACAATAAGGGGTAGTCGGTGGGATGAGAATCAGATCATCTTGAGACAGCATTTTCAGCACAATCTTTATACAGAACAGAATACATTTCTCCACATTGTACTCAGTCCAGCAGAGCCCAGACTCTGGGGTTGTTGTTCCTAATCCTCAATGGAGACTTCAGGCTTTGCTACTTAGCACATTCTCCAGGGCTCTAGTTACCTGATCAGCACTGAAGTTGTTCAGAGAGACATTCTTCTCTTGGCCAAATGCTGAGGAGACAGGAAGATTATTAATTATTCACTCTGCACTGTACAGGCTACCAAAATAGTCTTCCACTTACACTCTTGGTAGGAAGGGTAGTAAAGAGATAAGACCAAAATGTATCTGACATGCCTAGAATTTATCCAGTGGGTCTCTAACATATCTTGGAAGCCCAGGTCTAAATAGAATTTTGGCTCATTCTGGGTGGTCATAATGGGAAGGAAAGTGGTTCAGGGAAGTTTTAAGGGGCATGGTAGCACTGATTATTAACCATTGTGAGCAGAGTATTACATGGGCCTGCCTCTTAATTGTGCCCATTTAATGGCTCCTGTAGTTCATAAACTAAAGTTATTTGTGTGTCCATCTCCTCTAGTCTACTAGCTTTCAGAAGGAAAATTTTTTTCCTGTAAACAACTTTTAGTGCATGGCATACTGCAGTTAGCTGCACTGTTAAAACCAATCTGCCCTGGGTGTGACTCCCTGCCTTTCCCCAGACATTCCTAGGGCACAGTGTAATTAAAAATACCATTATTTAGTGAGTGAAAGTGAAGTTGCTCAGTCCTGTCCGACTCTTTGCGACCTCATGGACTGTAGCCTGCCAGGCTCCGCCATCCATGAAATTTTCCGGGCAAGAATACTGGGGTGGGTTGCCATTTCCTTCTCCAGGGGATCTGCCCGACCCAAGGATCGAACTTGGGTCTCTCACATTGCAGGCAGGCTCTTTACTGTCTGAGCCACCAGGGAAGCCCAATTGTTCAGTAAGTATGAATATTTATTGTGTGTCTATATTCAGGCAATATAAGAGTAGTTTTCAAATTGTGGTAAAATGACACAGGTAGTATGTTAATAAACACTTGGTAAAATGAAATAGTGTAAAGAAGCAATGTTACATAACTGGTCAGGGAATGCCTTTTTGAGGAGGCGATATAGAAGTTCAGACCTACAAAATAACCTGAATTGTAAACTGGAAGAGCCAGCTACTGAAGTCTGGCAGAAGTGCAGTCTAGGATTGGGGTACAAATGTAAAAGCTCAACCGTGTTATGCATCTTGCTGAGTAACGTTAGGCATGTTTCATACAATTGTTCATTCAGCGTTCTAATCTCTACAAGATGAGAAAAAGAATCCACCCCTCATATACTTAAGGTTCAAGAGATTTGGACAGGAAAGCACTCAACACGGCCTAGCAGTAAATGCTCAACATAGCATTATTTTAGGGTTTTACTACTGCGATTCCCATATGCCACCTGGACCCGCACTGACCACTGGTAACTTGAAAGGACCTACATTTGGTGGACTGGACCAGCATCTCTTCTCCCCTAACTGAAACCTGAAGTACAAAAACGATTCCTATGTAGGGCAGGGCCCGCCTCCACATGTTACTTGGATACAAACACTCTAACTCTGCAAATGCATATTTCCTTATTTGCAACAAGATCAACAGAAAAGCTGAAGTCTGAGTCCCAGTCCCTGTATAGGTTTCTGTGACCTTGGGCGGCCCTTTCCTCTTCGAACCCTTTGCTCCCCTCACCGGGGTCTCCGGTTCCCTGCGTCCCGCGCTCACCGTAGCGGGCCCAGAGCTTGGGCTGCACATCCGAGCACTCGCGGATTAGGATGGGCAGGTCGGGATTCGCTTTCTTCAGCTCCACATAGCGTTTTTCAATGAAGTCCCTGCGGGGCAGGAGAGAGCACCGCGCGTGCGGTGTGGGTACGGGCCTCTCCAAACACCCGGGAGGTCGAGGTCTTGACCCTGGCGCCCCGAAGCCCACCCGCCTCACTGGGCCGCGCCTCACCTGACGCCCTGGCTGCCGGGCGAGCGCTGGCACAAATGGATACGAACTTCACGAAGGCCCAATTGCCCTCGGACCCCACGAATCGCTGCAGCCGCCGCCATCTCGGCTAGTACTCAATCATCCGCTCTAGACCTTCCGGCCAAGTAATCCTATCAGATCAGCCTCTCCAGCCCTGTGATAGGTTGGCGGACGCAAGGGGCGGGGCTACGTTTAGCCAATGCCATAAAAGCACTGCCAATCAACGCCTGCTCTGATTTCTCCTCCCGCGGCCGAGACGGAAAACCTGGGGCCCGAAAGGAATTGTGGGTGGTCTCCTGAGGTGCATTGTGGGGAAGTTCCTGTAGCGTCTGTGTTGGTACCGGATCCTCGCTCGTTGTTGGGGTTGAAACACCGCGGACGAAATGCCAGAGCGAGATAGTAAGGCTCGGGTCATCTCTCCTTTCTCCCCCGCGGGACTCGGGACATTTGGCCCGTTATTTTGGCCTTCAGAATTTAAGCCGTATATGTGGGGGATGGGGCGGAGTGGAGGCGGGCCGAGAGTGTGACGCTTAGAGCCTGGCGAAGCAGTTGGGCCCCGAACGAGGCCGGTAAGCTCCAGATTGTCCCTGAATCTTGTTCTTGCCCAAGCCCACGACAGATAAGATTTATCTGTGAACCTCCCCCAACCCCTGTCACTTAATTTTCAGCTAAGTCAATTTATCTTTCGCGTCGTATCTTAGATGTCATGTTTAGGATTTCTTGGCTGATCCTCCAGCCTGGTTTAGGGGTCCCGTTTTCTGCGCTCCCGTAGCTGCTTGTATTTTTCCTGCTTCAGCGTTTTTACATTGTGTTGTCAATGTCGCGGTTGTTGACTTTTTTCCCCACTAGATTGTGAGCAAGTTGACAGGAAAAGACATCTGTATTGTTCACTACTACTGAATCCCCAACTTTTGCACAGGACCTGACTCTAAAAAGATTGATTAAATTAACATCAATTCTTTTTCTTAGGCGAGCCGTTCTCCAACCCCTTGGCTCCAGATGGCCACGATGTGGACGATCCTCACTCCTTCCACCAGTGAGTGTTTCGATGTAGAACCGTGAGAATGAACTGGGGAATGAGCGAAGTGGTGGTGGTGATGGTGAAAGAATTCTCAATGTCTTGTCAGGAAGAATGGTCAGAGAATCATACCACTTGCCCTTTTATCTCTGTGAACTTTAACTGGGTCAGGCCAACTGCATCAAAGTGTTAGAGGGGAAATAATGGCAGGGTGAGTGCTACTTTTTTTAAATTTATGTTTAATTTTTCATTATTTAGGAATTAATTTTTGTATAAAATTAAAACATCAGAATGAAGGCAGTGTTATCTTTGATAACATACCCAATTTCAGTCCCTTTTTTAGAGGTAACCACTTTACCTTTTTCATGGCAGTGACAAGGACTCCTTTTTTTTTTTTTTTTTAAGTTTGTCTTTTGTCAGTTTAATTTGTAGATCTCTGGTACAGAATATAGAGGGTACAGGGAAAGTTTTTCCTACCCTGCTTGTTACCTACATACTTGTTGGCATCAAGTATACTAATAGCCAGTCCTACCTGATTCTTGTTCTGCCTCAGCAGCAGCAGAGACCAACCCTCACCCTTAGTGTGATATTCAACTTCATCTTTCTCCCAGGCAAGGTACCCTGCCTTCATCTTCCCTCACAGCTTGTCCTTTGGCTTTCTCTTAGCTCATGCCTTGTCTCATCAATGGCCCTCCAAGCATGAGCATGGGTCCCCAGACTACCTGGCAGGGAGAGGCATGTGAGGTTCATGTAGTAAGTGTCCAGATGGCTGGAGCTGGACTCTGGCACACAGTACACACGGAACTGATTCCATACCGGTGCCACCAGCTGTGATGGCTGCACATCCCCCACATAGGTTTCAAAAATGCTGGTGGATCAGGGCCAGGGCTCAGACCCCAAAATCCTACCCTGAAAACTCTATAGTATGGGATAGCTGTGTCCTAGTGACCCCAAGTGGAAATGTAGTCAGCCCCGAAGTAGGGATGCACACCTCTGCTGAAGGACTCCCTTCTTGACCGAACTCTAGTCAGGCTTCTGCAGGGCTTATGTTTTTTACCAGGTCTCCTGAACCCAGTTTTAGCAAAGAATTCTGTTAGGGTATGGAGAATACTATCAATCAATCAGTGAGATCCAGTCACGCCTCTCGATATCTAATCAAATTCCTCTTCCACCCTGCCTTTGATGTCTGAGTAATTTTCCGTAAATTCCCTTTTGTCTCTGTTGTATTCAGAGTTGAATTTTCATCCCTACCCCCTTTTGCAATAGTCTTAATTCCTATTTTCATAGTATTGAAAAGTCATTTTTGGGGAGACCTAGCAGGATTCTTTGCTACAGTGGACTCAGCAGGCCAAGGAAGAGGCCTACTCTGAAGAGAGTTCAAAGGAAACTTACTTGAGTTTGGGCATTGTACCAGTTAAAATTACATTTTATACCATGAGTGCTGTGTTCTCCACACTTGGGAAATACTGTCACAGTTTATTTATTAATAGTCTCCAGTGAGAGTTTAGGTTGTTCCCAAGTTTTTATTATTTTCAAAACTAATTAGATCTCTTTTACAGGCCTTATGCACATAATGCCAGTAATTGACCAGGTTAAATAGACATGAATGGAGTTGCTGCATCATAGCATATCACACATTTAAATTTTAAGAAAGATCCTGCCAAATTGTCCTCCTAGTTATCTGTGCTGATTTATATTCCTGTTGGCGATACGAGAATATCCACTTCCCAAATTCTCACTCATTCTTGATTTATCAAACTTTTTAATCATTAGCACTGATGCATTAAAAAGGGCATGTCTTTGTTTTAATTTTTATTTCCCTGATTTCTAGTAAAGTGAAACCATATTTTTTGCATATTCCTTTTCCAATTCTCATCGGGTACTAATTTTTAAAAATTTTTGCTCTTTAGATCAAAACTCACTAATGAAGACTTCAGGAAACTTCTCATGACCCCAAGGGCTGCACCTACCTCTGCACCACCCTCTAAGTCACGACACCATGAGTAAGTTCTGGGGTAATCCAATCTGTGTTCTGACTATTTCCTATGGAAAATTTATTGAACTAGATGTCTTAGGAACTTGAAAGCCCTTTTTTTTTGAAGTCCATGGTTGTGATTCTCTCCCTCTTGAAACTGAAGCTCCAGGAAAGACTGGGATGCTCTAGGGATCTCAGTTTTTCTCAGAGTATGTTCACGGACCATTTGTTGGACCAACTAGAGTTGCTGCTGGTGCTTAAATAAGTAGATTTCTGGATCCATTCCAGCCCCACAGACTCAAATTCTAGGGCAGATATTTGGGTATATATAATTGTAGTAGTCCTTCACATGGTTGTGATACTTTCTAAAATTTGAGAACGACTCACCTACAAATATTGACATGGATCTCTGCCTGATTAGAACTGGACAGTTTTTGCTTTGGTCAGTATTCTAGGCTTTTCTTTAATCCTCCAGGCCACTTCTTGGGATTTCTGCGGCTGTGGCAATATTTTGCTATCAGTGAATTTTTTTGCTAGGATGCCAAGGGAGTACAATGAGGATGAAGATCCAGCTGCACGAAGGAGAAAAAAGAAAAGGTAAAGGAAGGTGGAGGAGTATTGGGTTTTTTGGTGGATGGTGTTTGGGGGTAAGGAATAGGGGCTAGTTAGGAGCCAAGAGATTGAGGTTTTCCTTTCTTGTCTTGAGGTTCTCTGCTTTCATAGTGGAGAGGAATGATATTTAGAATGGCAGTTTATTGGGCAGTTTAGGGCTTTGGAGCCACCTTGTGGTGTTTTAATCTCGCCTTTACCAGTTTCTAGCCTGGATATTCTTGGGCATTTTGCTCAATGTCTCTAATCTTCACTATTCTCATGGGTAGAATCAAGATAGTGATAATAATTTTTATTAGGTTGTCATGAGGATCAACTGTGACAGTCCATGTAAACAGTACCAGTTCCTGGCATATAGTAACCATCCAGTCAGTCTTGGTTGCCACTGTCATCATTGTCATTGCCATTATTTATATGACCCCAAGCTTCCTGGATCTCGAACTTTACTTTTTCCTCTCTTCTTGAGGAGGACTGGTAAGAAATGACTTATTTTCAGGTGAAATTTGGAAGGTGATAAAAATTCAGGTGACTGTGGTTGCCATATGGAAAAGTCTCATATCTGTAGAGACTCAGTGATATAGTACTGGGTGATAGTGAAGGATTCTGAAGTGACAGATGGAATATACTGGGGTGACTGGGGTGACAGCATATCTGTGAGCTGGAAGATGCTGTAGTTCTGATTTTGAGGATTGTCAGGAGGTGGCCAGGGACTTCCTGGTGAACCAGTGGCTAAGACTTCGCCCTTCCAATGCAGGGCACCTGGGTTCAATCCCTGGTCAGGGAACTAGATCCCACATGCCCAAGTGAAGATTGAAGATTCCTTGTGTCACAACTAAGACCTGGTGCAGACAAATAAATACTAAAAACAAAACAAACAGAGGTGACCAGCAGTTCTGTCAGGACATATATGAGCTTTCAGCATAGAGAATTGGATGAAGGTATAAAGAAACAGGCAGGAACAGGTTGAGCCTCACACATTTGCTTTTCCCTGGTCACAGTTATTATGCCAAGCTTCGCCAACAAGAAATTGAAAGAGAGAGAGAACTAGCAGAGAAGTACCGGGACCGTGCCAAGGAACGGCGGGATGGCGTGAACAAAGATTATGAGGAAACGGAACTGATTAGCACCACAGCTAACTACAGGGCTGTGGGCCCCACTGCTGAGGCGTGAGTACTGAGCAGGCCAGGGCATGATTCTCAGCATTGCAGAGTCATACAGTGGCAGTATGAATTCTTCTCATTTTCCTTGCTCTGGAAAGTCTTTTCCCCATACCAAGCCATTTCAAGAGGCACTTCCCTCCCACAAAGGATGGTTATTTTTTTTTCTAGGCTTCATTTTTCAATTTATTTATTCAAAGGATGGTTCTTATGTGGTCTGTTTCATTCTCCAGGGACAAATCAGCTGCAGAGAAAAGAAGACAGTTGATCCAGGAGTCTAAATTCTTGGGTGGTGACATGGAACATACCCATTTGGTGAAAGGC